AGATAAAATTATATTATAGGTCATTGAACGTTTTTATAGCTCGCATTCGTTTAACGTTCTTGTTAATAGTAACTTTCCCCGAAGCAATATTCGGGAGAGATTAAACAATCTTAACTCAATTATTACTATCGACATTCTAGTATTAGTATTCTAATTTTCCTCCTCGATAAATATTCGACTATGTTTCTAATTTACAGTAAAAAAAGGCGAGAAAATTCGTGAAATTACACAGACGAGATTATGTCAATTTTCATCGTTTTGCAGGACATTTTTACAATTCACGTTCATTTTCATCGTTCATATCTTTGTCAGAAATAATTAAACAGTCTAATTGTTTTTAACATTCTCATCCAGAAACCTTGTTATTTTATTAAAACTTTATTATTAATTTATTTATTTACTACTTTATTATTAATTTCTAAAAAGTAAATTTCAAATAGATTTGTTCCACGCTCTGAATATTACGACAAGATTTTTAATTAATCAGAGTTTCTTTATCTTGGATTTTTTTTATTTTATCGTCACAGATAGATAGATCAATACAAACTTTATTATTTTAGATTTTCGCACATTGAGCGAATATATCTATTTTTCGACAACATTCTAATCGTCTGCTTCTCGACAAACCTAAATTTCTTCAATTCGTCAAAATTCACTTGTTTTATTACACATGTATGTACCATCCGTCTCGAACGAACATCGTATAATTACTCAACGATCCTATACTTTCCGTTCGTTCACCCTCGATATTAATTATACCACGTCCCCTCCCCGGAAGTGAGGTTCGAGCACGAATAAACAGCCTTAGCAATTATTTCCATCATCGGAAGAACATCGAAAAAAAAAAAAAGAAAAAGAAAAAGAGCGGATGAAAAAGGAGAGTGTCATCGTTTTAAAGACGGTCGAGAGCTTTACTTTGATCGGAGAACGTCCATGGGGAAAAGTTGCCGGCGTTTCCGTTTCCTCCCCCGTGCGTAATGACACGACGATGAGGACGACGACGACGTAGGCAAAGGCGTCGGTGGCGGAGTTATCAGGTCGTAAGTTCAAAGAACCGCGGGTGGAAGAGCATCGGGTGTATCGACTGCGGTGCGGCATACACGATATTATTACGATCGTTCGCGAGGAGACGTGACCGTGCATAGAATTAGCGCTGAAACTTTCAGGAGATAAAATTCCGCGCCTCGACCAGCTCCTCATAATTATCAGTTGACTTTTGGTCGCGACTTTTGTTCTTTCGCCGGGAGAAGAACCGACGCCGGAGGTGTCTTTGTTAATACGATAAAATCGATATGGCAGATGCGAGAGGATTGTCATTTCAAGTTTTGCGAAACAAGTTTCTAGTAATTTACCTTTTTTTTTTTTCTTTTTTCGAAGGTTTGTACGTGATGTTTGGCTTTTTCTGAAAATATGCTGTTTTTGATCTTCGCAGAAGATCGACGCAAGCGAACTTATTATCAGCAACAATTTGATGATTATAAAATATTATATTATTGCAGAGCAGTTTAGTTGTAACATTAGGTACACAGTAGTAATTATAAAAGTAAAAAAGTAAGACAGTAGTGATTATAAATATAAAAATAGAAAATTATAGTATTATATTATAGTATATCGATAGTAAATCAGATTTCTTATATATTATACATATATTTTATTTATTTATTTTTTTTTTATATATATTTATCAGGATTAATTTCGAGAAAGAGGATCTTAGTTTTCCATTTGTATTTCAGATGACACACATACATGCATGTACATGTAGATTACGTACACGGTTCACACAAAAGAACACAAGCATACGTTTCCAATATACTTACGCACGTATATACAAGAATCGAAATCAATCAAATTTAATTGATACAATATATTAATTTAATATATTGTATCAATTAATATCGCATATTAATTCAGTTTAATATACAATATATTAATCAAAATCGATCGAATTTAATTGATAACAAATTTCTCATTATACGCCAATAGTTTCGTAAATAATTCACGATGACGTGAAACGTTCAAACGTTCGTCTTTTCGAATCTTCTTCGAAATTTCCAGCCCCCTTGTTACATTGGCGCCAGCAAACCAGCGCCAGTAAAATGGCCTCGCCGGTGCATTAGAAATTGCACAGCGTAACCGATTAATCCGCATGAATTATAGGACTGGTATCGCGGAAGTTGTTTCTAAATTGATTCGTAAATCAATGGCGGGTAGCGTGACCGAATCTCTCCGCTGTTGTTCCTCCTCTTTCTCTCGAGGCATAGTCCGCCGCGCGGCTGATACGGGCGCCAGCGCGATTCCCTCTTGGCTGTCCTCGCTGTATTTAGCCCGCATTTATCGGAAGACGAGCACCGATGATCCGTACGTACGATCGAGTCGAAAGGCACGCAGAAGGCACGTCGGCCAGCACCTCGTGACATTTCGAGTGGCTCGTCCTCTCGCCTAGATCTATCTGCCTGCTCGCCTCTCATCGTTTGATCTCTCTTTCTCTCTCTCTCTTGTCGTTGCCAGTCTCGATACTGAAATTTCATCGATCGAAACAGTGTTTCCTTTTCTGAAAAAAAGACGCCGTTTCAAGCCTCTGATCGAGTGATATGTGGTTGGGGATATTGTTGTGTTATTGGAGCGTAGCATCCCAACTGTTTTTCAATCAAACTGGTCAAAATGACCAGTGTAATTGTGTTAGAAATTTTTGTAGATGTAAAAGAGTGTAATTTATTTTTATTTTTATTTTTTTTTTTTTTTAATATCTCTGATTTTATGCTTTAATCGTCGATTAATTCTAATATTAATATCTGAACTATATCAGTCATGTTACTGGAATAAAGTATATATATATTAATAAAGTTCTAATAAAGTAAAAATAGTATATATATATATTAATAAAGTTATTAATAAAGTGTCTATTAATGACGGATAATGTTCTAGTTACTAATAGACGTTCTATTGTGGTAACATAATATGTAGATATATATATTAAGATACTTAAAAAATAGAGAAGACTCTACTGTATTCAATTGTCGATCTAAATATGTTATCCTATCAAAAAGATGACTGTAAAATAATTTTTAATACTCATTGCGCGATCTTTGGCAGTGTTTAACGTTTTCTCGTGGGTTTAATTAAAATAGAAATATAATTTATATAGATAAATGAATTTATATAAATAGACAAATATATCTGTGTTACTTCGTATTTTTTGTATTTTGAATTTCATGTGATAAAGCTATCGGTGTACATTAAACTCTTCCAGTCGTCTGTCATTCGACTTTTAAACGTGATTAGAAATTTTTCTAACAATTCATAGAACACAAATACTACTAATAACAAACATTCAGTAGTTTATTATCTGAAAATTTAGAAAAATTCCTTCGGCAGTGAATAATCTATTTATTTGAATGATTGACTGAAATTAATAAGCGTATGACTTATTCATTTAAATTTCACGAATCTTTATTATTTAACGATCAAATTTCTTGAATGGCGGATAATGCATTAATTCAAAATTAATAAATATATTAATCTAGATTTCATTAATTTCGATCCATTAATTTAGATTTTACGAATCTCCGTTGTTCGATAGTGAAATTCCTCGAACAGTATGAACAGTACGTTTGTTTGAAAAGCAAACTGAGTACTAAAAACATTATATACCTGTATATGTCTTCTGATTAACTGGACAAATGATTATCACACTGACAAACAAGTAATTTGTACACCTACAGAGATACGATAGCGTTTACTCGGCGAGAAGGACGTCCTTCTTTCATTTCAAGTGCACATCGACGCGATGTAGCTCAGGTTTTACGTCAATTGGATTGTTCGATGATCGATACGTCAAAAATCAAGCGTAATTCCATGATGTTCCTTCGCGGGGCACGTGACTGTACTTCTGCCTTGTGCAAACTGCAAACCTGCTGTTATCGATTTCCTATTATCTCACGTGGGCTAAGCCTATCGGCGAGTGCTTAGAAACGAGCCTAGAAATAACCATCCTTTTCTCCAGTTAACACGTGAATGCTAATCGTAATCGAGATCTGCAACTTACGCTCGAGAAAATTCCTGTCACGTAATTTATCTTTATCTTTGGCCAATTCGAGATATTATGTCATGCCTGATGCGATATAGGCCAATTTGACTGGCATTGGCAAACATTATCAATTGAACTTCTTGCATCGTTTTTACGATGCTCGCATTAGCGGTCGACATTCGCTACAAGATTAGATAAAAAGTGAAATTCGCGGAAGTTTCAAACACAGGCGAACGGAAGGAAGTTTAACTTCTTGCGCTGGAATAGCATGCCACGCAGGTCGAGAATTTTTTGTACCAAATTGTAACATTTTCTCAGTTTTAAGTATATGTAAATGTAACCCAGACAAAACAATTGTAAGTTTATTAATAATTAATATTAATATTATTAATAATTTAATAAGTTAATAATATTATTAATAATTTATACCTCTTAATAATTTCTATCCAGTGATATCATACGGGCGAGTTCAAAAGAAAAGAACAGAGAGCAACGAATTATCGTATACGGTTCGGTCACTCGTTATGGTCCGCGAACCAGTCGTCAGCGCAAGAGGTTAAAAGGCAAATGTCTTTTTGATAAATGTAATATGCAATCTTACTCGGAACGAGATATCGATAAAAACAAAAATAATAATAAAATAAAATGAAATAAAATAAAAAGTAAAATAAAATAAAATAAGATACATATTTTGCAAATAGAAATCATAAAGAAACTGAGAAATTACAATTACGTAATTATTGACTTATATCGTTAATACAGGAAAATTATTCTCGAAGTTACAACGAAGTTATAACCGTAGATTTAGTGAAGGAGATAACTGAAACTTTTATCCGAATCTATTAACGACATCGCGCCATCGCAGTTATCTTATCCATAGATAAAACAGGATTTAATTCACCTGAGGAACTGCGGTATGACTTACGTATTTACGTTCGCACGAAAAGGCGTAATTGTCAATTTGTTTGCAGGTAATGACAGACTGACACGGCGGAATTCAGAAAGCACAGGTTCACAATGGAGCATCAGCAGAGTCGGAAGCAAACGATGAACTCGACAGAAGTGGCGAAAGCCAATGAGGAGTTCGACCTGTTCTGCAATGCCACTACCCTGAAATCCATTCTGGGCCATTTCCGGCATCTCTGCGAGTTGCTCAAAGTCAGGCCGAACACGATCAGTCAGTTTTATCCGAAATTGAAGCTCAAATTGCGATCGTGGAAGGCGCAGGCACTGTGGAAGAAGTTTGATCAGAGAGCCAATCACAAATGTTACAATCGTGGCAAAGCGTGCCTGAATACAAGAGTAAGTACACTTTCTTTTTTTTTTTTTTTTTTTTTTATTCTACTACGATGCTCGAGTTTTTATACTTTCATGTCTAACAAAAAAGTCGAAAGGAGAGCTTGTCAGAATTTTTTTCTCGTAGTTGAGACATTTTTGAGACATTAGATTGAAAATGACCGAATTACGAATGTTAATTAAAATACAATTGGTAGTTATTTTGCAATATTGTAAAATAAATTTATCTTGCCTTTATTTTTTTTAATATTGTGTTACGAGACGATGAGAAAGTTTTTGGAGAAAATTCATTGACCTGGCACGGTCCAGCAAGATCGTTTAAGATGACAAAGACGCAATCAAGTGATCTAAGTGCATCTTGTGATTTGTTGCATACTTCGTAACGAACGCTTGGTCTATCAATCTCTGGCTTGTTAACACTTTTGAGATTGCCGCGCGCATATCAAATACTGATAATGCCCCTCAACAATAAATTACCCTTAAAATATATTGACTGTACGAAGAACTGAATAATTTTTAAAATTAGTTAGATAGACATTTTTATAGTATACGACTATTTTTCGTACATTTCTAGTTTATGACCAAAAACTGAAATTAATAGCTTAATTAACTATTAAGAGACTAAACGAGAGATTTTAATTATTAAATTCAAATACTCATAGTCTTGACTTGTACAGCCAATTAAATACTAGCCTTAGTCTTCGTTAAAAAAAAAAAAAAAAAGAAAAGAAAGCTTCGCAATGTCTCTGAATATACAAAATTTCCTCGAAATTTTTTCTTTAGAATTGAGAGATTACTGATAACGAGCAATGTTGACTGTTTAGGTATTAATCATTGGCGGCGGTCCCTGTGGGCTTCGTTCAGCGATAGAGGCCCAGTTGTTAGGTGCCAAGGTTGTCGTCGTCGAAAAGAGAGATCGAATGTCCAGAAACAACGTCCTTCACCTTTGGCCCTTCGTCATTCAAGACCTTCGCGGCCTAGGGGCGAAGAAATTCTTCGGGAAATTCTGCGCCGGATCTATCGATCATATCAGCATCCGTCAACTTCAGTGCATCTTGCTGAAAGTCGCTTTGATCCTCGGTGTCGAGTTCCACGAAAGTGTTAGCTTCGATTCTTTGATACCGCCGCCAGAGAATCAGGAAGAGGGCAGTGAGTAATCCCTTTTTTCGACCCTTTTTTTTTTTGATCCGATAATCGATCCATTGACACGTGAAAGTTTCTTGACCTGTAAAATGTTCCTCTTCGTTCCGCTTTTCTTAAGTTTTAAATTAACTTTAACGTGCAAGAAATATAGGAGAATTGATAATTCAAGATCGAGTTACATTTTGCTTAAAATCTCGCCGGAGAAGGAAAACTTTTCCATTTTATGAATTGAATGTCACAGCTTTGTTCTCGTGCTACGAAAGTACGAAAGCAAAGGAAATTCTGTAAATTATAGGTTTAAGATTAATGGAGACAAGGCAAGTTATTTCGTTGCTTGATGTTTCAATAGAGGCAGAGAGAATTTTCCGATTCACGAAAATCGTATACTTGGCGCAAAATGTTCCTTGATTAATACAAACTTGTCGTTGCTTGTTTCGTGACTCTTTCAGAGATAGGTTGGAGGGCGAAAACTACCCCCGCCGATCATCCAGTCTCTCAGTACGAGTTCGACGTGCTGATAGGCGCCGATGGTAAAAGAAACACGTTGGAGGGCTTCAAGCGTAAAGAATTTCGTGGCAAATTGGCGATCGCAATAACGGCGAATTTTATAAATAAACGAACGGAGGCGGAGGCACGGGTGGAGGAGATCAGCGGAGTGGCCTTCATCTTCAACCAAAAATTCTTTAAAGAATTGTACCAGGAGACGGGTATAGATCTGGAGAATATCGTGTACTACAAAGACGATACTCACTATTTCGTGATGACTGCCAAGAAGCATAGTCTCATAGACAAGGGCGTGATTCTGCAGGTACATACGTCAATGGTGTAAAATTAATTCTACAACGTCTATACAACGACTTGTATACCTACGATTCGAAATAATTACCACCGATGGTGATGATATGTTATTAATTTGAAAATATATTTCAGGACTACGCAGACACAGCAAAGTTGCTCGCGAAGGAAAACGTGGATCGCGAGGCATTGATGCTTTACGCCCGCGAGGCTGCCGAGTTCTCCACGGAATACCAGATGATCGGTATGGAATTTGCAGTGAACCATTACGGTCAGCCAGATGTGGCCATGTTCGATTTCACGTCTATGTATGCGGCGGAGAATGCCAGCCGGATTTTAGACCGTCGGGGCCATAGGTTGCTTATGATCCTCGTCGGTGACAGCCTGCTCGAGGTATTGTCATCTCTCAACGTCTCTAACTTTGGTCATTTCTGATAATTCACTGAAGTGAATGCATCTTTGCAACCAACCTTAACAACTGTCGTACAACACTACCCAAAATTGTTTAAATGATGTCAAAAATTGTCATTCATTTCGTATAAAATCGAATATAAAATGTTTACAGCCATTCTGGCCAACGGGATCCGGTTGTGCAAGAGGATTTCTAAGCTCGTTGGACGCTTGTTGGGCGATCAAAAGTTGGGGCGCTAATGTATCGCCGTTGGAGGTAATCGCTGAACGTGAGTCCATTTATAGGCTACTTGGACAGACTACCCCTGAAAATTTGAACAGAGATTACGCTGCCTATACGCTGGACCCCCACACCAGGTATAGCATTACATTATTATCACTACGAAATTAAGTTATGTCTATAATTTATAGATTTTGTCATTTATTATTTCCGTTTCATTTCTGCAGATACCCAAATCTGAATGTATCCTCTGTGACGCCAATACAAGTGCGAAGTCTACTCGACACAGACGATCCTGACAGCATCAAACAGCCTACTGTACAATCTGATATCGATATTCCCAAGAAACGACGTCGCCGAGGTAAAATTGAGAATTACTTGTATCAAAGTATAATGTCGATTAACGTTGTTAAACATATGCAGATTTGCGTGGAGATTCGCAAGTGCACCCAGACACGCTGCTCCGTTGGCTGCAAAAGCAAGTTGCTGTATACGACTCGGTCCAAATAAAAGACATGGGCGCCTCGTTCAAAAATGGCCTGGCCATTTGTGCGATAATTCACAGATATCGCCCAAATCTGATAGACTTCCACAGTTTGAACCCAGACGATGCGGTCACGAACAATCAGCTGGCCTTTGACGTCTTGGAGAAAGAACTAGGCATACCTCCTGTAAGTTGCGCACAAATATAACACTTCATCGATATCAAATTGAAAGGAAAAGCAAGTCGACATTTTAATTATGAATCATTTTAGATAATGACAGGAGAGGAAATGGTTCAATGCGACGTCCCCGATAAACTCGCCATGTTTTCTTACCTCACACAAATATACGAAGTTTTCCGCGGTGAAATCCCGTACATTAAACATCCGAAATTAGTAAGTAGATTCGCACAATGTAGAACGAAATCGGATGATTTTTAACTATGTTACGGCCCCTCCCCCCCGTATTTTATAGTATTCAGTGTATCGTATCCGATGTCACAGGTCAAACATTTATCACCGCCAGAACACTTTTTAACAAACAAGATCCATCCTTATCCGCGAACACCCGATCCTACATCCCAGTGGAATCGTAGCCCGTCATTCATCGTTTACGATCAAACTGCAGAATCATTGTCACATCCTAACTCTGTAACATTGTCTGTAACATTAGACCACAACAATAATCAAATATCGTTAAGTGCAAACGTCGCAGAAGTGGATGACAGATTTGCAATAAGCTGGATAAGAAATAAACTTGAAAAGAATATAGTTGCATCGTCATTGAAGAAAGTATTGAAACCACCATCAAGTTGTTTCGACATAGATCACGGGCGTTGTCGTTTGGACAATAGTAAAGTTAACGAGAAGCTACCATAAATCACAAATCGTTTCTTTCCTTTCTTTTTTTATCATAATTAATTATCCTCGTCACAGTAGCGATTCTGTTGATCTTTTTTTTTCTCTCGTATAATTGTATAACGATTGCATTTGATCGTCTTTTATAAAGGAACCTGAAAACGAAGAAAGGCCCGTACATAGTAAACAATTGAGCCAATTAACACCTGACCAAAAAGTTCAGTCAGTTGACCGTGTCGTCAGGCAAGATAGCGCAACAAGAACGAGACACTCACGCTCGCGACATAACGAAAATTTAAACCCCGCGGATAAGAAGGGGGACACGATTAGCCGACGTTCTCGAAAGAGACGAAGCACGGAGAAGATGGGCGCGACAGTGGTAAGCATTCTTCATTGTTTTATCAGATCGCATCATCTATCTAACGCGCAACGCCGCGATACAGAGTATTTCTCTTGTCTACTTAAATTTTTAATCGTATGTTTATTTTTTTTTTTTTTTTTTTCTTGAGAGCTTCTAGTTAGCAGATCATCCTGAGGTTAAGGCATTATTTTCTTTTTTTCTCTCTTTCTCTCTTTCTCTCTCTCTCTCTCTCTCTCTTCCCATTTCAATATCAAAATCAATCCTTTGCACTTGTAACATAAAAACTGTAACTGTAAACGTTCAATGCAAAGGATTGAGTTCTCACATACTTGAACGCTTTATGGAATGATTTCTTTAATTTCATTTCAAGTTTCACCAAGTTGTTCCATAAGGGGTTACGAATCAAACGCTAACATTCATACACACGAAACTTACAATGCTTGTATCCTATAGTCACGGTGGCAGAAGATTGAAGCACTTATGTATCGTGGGATAATCGTATCGTTGTTAATCTTAATTATTGGAGTTACCATTACCATGGTGCCGAAGGAAGTCGTTACATTCTAATCCCCTCGTATAGTCGACCAAAGTATCAGCGGGACATTGCAAAAACTCTCGGTTATGTTGTAAACTTTTTCTATGATATTTATGTTTATGTTATATATTATATAATATATATTTGCTACGCCAGCTTTTGTATTTGTCCTATTTTACTAAAAACTTGTTTAGAACAGATAGATTTGTGTAGAACGAGCTCCCTAATAGTCACTCGGCTAGCGTCCCGTTAGAGAGTAATAAAATAATCTAGATCTCAGAACGTAAAAACGACTGTTGACTGTTCTTATATTCTTTTTTTTTTCTCTCTCTTTGTTTTTTCTTCTTGGAGAATACGACAAGTTAACGTAGTCAACTCGAGTTAAAGAACTCTCGATTTCTTTTGCCCTCTTTTGTATCGTTATTCGTCCATTGTGATCGTTTATGAAATTTAATAGATGAAAACCACGTAACATAAGCTGTACAAATTGTGTAAATAATTGATAAGCAAAAAAAAAATTATGCTGATTATAAAGAAAAGAAAAAAAAACAGTCATCGTAACTATGCGAATATATTGAATTAATGTCACTGTATCATTTTACGGTGGATGTAAAGGAGGAAAGGCAGAAGAGACTCGCAGAAATAGAGAAAAATCGCGCCGAACGTATGAGAAAACGACAATATTTGCGAAACATGGCGACGCAGCAATTCTACAAAAGTATGCAGATGCTGCAAGCGAACGCAAAACGTGAGAAAGACGAGCCGTTCGAAGATTATTCGATATTCTTATATCGTCAAACTGCGCCGGATTTCAAGGATAGAGTGAAATACCTAGAGCAGAAAATATTATATCCAGTAAGCTGGAAAGTGAATGATTTTGGGAGTGCATAATGTTTTATATATATTTTTTTCTTCCATTAAACACATTCTAAATGTATTATTTTTATATATTTCTTTTGAGCAATGAAATTGACAGTAATAAATATTTAACATAAACGTGTTGCAAATAACGGAAAACCGTACGATTACATTACTAATTATTCGTTGCAAAAAAAAAATAGGAAATTGTAATTACAACTATACATGAACTAACTATGTAAGAGCAATGTATAATTCTAAATGATGTGCATGAAATTCACGCATCGATAATATTGAAAAGTGCAAAGGATCTAAATTACACTACTAACTACATATCTTCAAAGTGAAGAGATGTTTATAACATCGGTTGCGAGTGCTTATATACACATATTTTATAAACGACTGTGACACTAACACTACACGAGAAATAACTTACGACACGTTGATCTCTATTTCTCATACATATATTGATAAATTATGCATTTTTTTTATGTTTCTTTTTTTTTTTATTATTTCATGTACTGTGATTACAAATTATAGTGCATTTTCGCTTTTCTTTTACGTCTTTTATTACATCTTACAAATTTGTGATTTGTCTGTTTTAATCGTGCATTCAAATTTGTTTCATGCCGTTTACTTGTTTAGGACAGAGAACCCAAGATTCACGCTGGTCATCACAGAAACAGCATAGACGAAGAATTCTCTGGTAGAATAAAAAGCATTGAGGATAAGCTGAAAGGATCTACTACTACTGAGAAGAAACCCAGAGATCTTTTACGTGCCATTGGTTTGTTTCTATCTTATTTCTTCTTTTCTCTACAGTTAATTCCCCTCTTCATGTCAAACTAAACATTTTCTGTAATATTGCGCATAAAGGTAAGATCGAGAAGACTGACTGGAACGTGAAGGAAATCGAGAAGAAGATCGAAGAGAATAAAATGGGTCGTTCTGTGCGGCATGACAAGGTGGAACGAGTGCCGAAATGGAGTCGAGAACAGGTTGGCATGCGAATGATAAAACAGTACTCGTTAATCAATGTTTTTCAGATGTGTATATGCTTCATTCAGTTTTTAGCTCGACAAATCAAGATGGAGAAGAAGGGACGGGATCAAAAGGAGACAGATAGTAAGTACGCTGATATTGACAATACCCTGAAGAGTATTGACAGGAAGATCAAAGAGGGTAATGTCCTCGGGTACAATAAAGTTTCGGCTATGGCCGAGCAGTTTTCAAATAAAAGTCAGGACGCGGAGCCCAAGGTGCACAAATCGGTAAATACGACATTGCAAAATTTCAGTACTGGAGGATATAGTCAGCAGAACATTCGGAGTCTTTTTGACGTTTCATTGCACTTTGTACCTTTTGTATTGATTCTTCTTCTCGTTTCAACAGAATCAAATTGTCATCTGTACCCATGTCTCTGTAAATTTACGATTTCTTACAGGATATATAGAATATATTTTTACACGATATATATGTATGTCTGTAACAACTCAAATCATGTTTCCTTACGTTCGATATTTCCCTTGCTAAATTACTTAACTAACCAGACTAAAATGTTTGTGATCCCTAATGGAATTTATGTTGAGATGCGTGTATCATTTAATTGTGATACTTAATACGCAGTTACATATTAATTGTTAAAAACGCTCGATTTGAAACACGCTGACTAAGATTCTTTTGTACTAACAAAATTTGGAGTCTATGATTACTACTTTGCTTTCCCGTACTTCTCTTGCAGAATGTCAAGCCCACAATAACGTTACCCGCCCAAGGAGGTTCGGAAATGTGTCACTTTTGCAATAAGAGAGTTTATTTAATGGAGAGACTTACTGCAGAGGGGAAGTTCTTCCATCGAGGCTGCTTCCGTTGCGAATATTGCTCTACCTCATTGAGAATAGGTTCGCTTTTTATTCTTCATCTTAGAAACCAGTGGTGGTAGAATTTTTGTTAATCGTTCTTTCGATAATAGGAAACCATACGTTTGACCGGGACAAAAATGGAGGACGGTTCTACTGTACACAGCATTTCGGTTTCTCAGGGACGTTAAAAGCTCGTGCCGAGAAGAAAAGAATCACAACGTTGAATAAGGAAAATATACCTACCACGCCTGTACATCTAAAGACACCAGAAAAGGTACGTGTTTGAACTTCAAGCTGTACGATCCCTTTTTAAAATTAAAAATGTAAATAATATTTATCATTTCCAGGCGAAGATATCTTTGGAAGGTGTCGTTGGTCTTGACTTGCTTGACCGCGGCCAAACACCTGAGAGAATAGAATTCGAAAACTTAGCAGGAATATCAGACGCTGAAGAACCCCAAAGTCAGATGGACGAGGACGAATGGACGGATAGAAATTTTGGTGCTTCCACAGCAGAAATGGGTTCCAGTGACGACATTTCGGACATGAGGCAAGTTTTTTTTTTTTTTTTTTAATAAACTAATTAAAAAATGCAATAATATTTATTAATATTTCACCAGCGATTCGGATGACGATAACGAAGTATACGAAGAAGCAATAGATCAACCCCTAACAACAGAAGGAACTCTTGAACTTGCGAAGAATTGGACCCTACGATATTCTCATCCACACGCTGCAATGGGACAGTCTGACACTGGGAGCAACGAATATGAAGATTCTAGCGATGAATATACGAATGAAGGTATGCCTGTAATTCTTCATTTTTATTCCATTTGTTGCCAATAAGAAATTATATTTTTGTTTGCATAGACGACGAAAGTACGACAGCTACGGAGGATGAAGACGACATACGCGCTCGAGAACTTAGAAAACAGGAAGTTTGGCTGAAGAATCCTACCCGTAGCTCCGATACAGACACTGGTTCGGAAACGGAGGTGAAAATTTCTCAAGATTCTATAGATAGTATAACTCAAGAATCTTTTACACTTCCTGCACAAACTCCTAATTTAATATCACCCCAAGAAATAAACGTGAATAACAGTGAACTTGATCAAGACGTTGTCAGTACAGAAGATATTCAAAAATTGTCTAATAAAGAGACAGTGATGATTGATACGTTGGTAGGAAATAGAGATCATCAAGTAACAAACGATACAAAGTTTGTTAGTGAAGAGAACGCGTCTCAAAACATAGCATCTGGAAATTTAATTTGTTCACTTGATTCCTCTTTTAATTTAGTGTTAGATAGTAGGGAAAGTAATACCGTAAATTCAGATTCGTCTTTAATTGTTTCTAATCCGATTGAACAAAATAATTCCAACAAACATAACAGCGTGGATGAATGTATTTCAGAATATGAAAGTTTAATAGATGATCTTTTAGATTTAGATAGAAACCAACAGATTCAAAATAAAAGTGAAAATGATCAAGTCAGTTTTAAGTTTGTCGATATTGGTAATAATGATGTAAATGACGAAGTAATTTCTGTTCATGAAAATGTAGATAAAATAAGAAATGTAGAAAATAGTGAATTAATTCAGACGGTGCTTTCTGATCACAATGAGACAAATAATGAAGTAATGCCTGGCCCGGATATTACACCCGAAACACCAGATACTCCAGAAATAACTAGTACATCAAACACAAAACTGCAAACAGTGTTTGCAGGAATTATGCTTCCAGATGCTATTCCATTTAGTCAGGCTAATTATGATAATACAGTCCAACCTAACATCGAAGAAGTTGTAAGCCTTAAGGAAAGACTACCGGATCTGATAACTTCTTCTCCAAATTCTAGTAGAGATTCATCGCCGTCTTCCTCGTGTGAAATATACAAATCAACTGAAACATTGTACGATGAATTATTAATGTTCGATACTCAAGACAAAATTACTGCAGAATCTTGTGATTCAGATAGCTCCACACAGAACTACAAAAGATCAACAGGCGATATTCCGGAAGATAATAAATTAAAATTATTTATAAAAGATTCTAAAATTCCAATCGTGACTATCACTTCACCGTCTCCCACAAGTGAAAAATCATTGGAAGAGACACCTGTTGAAAATGCTAAGTTAACAATACCCAAAGGAGCAAGCGGTCAAGCAGTTCAATTTGACGGAAATAGTTCATTCGACAAGTTAAAGCGTGATTTAAGACAGAGGAAAGCAAGGAATAAAATGTCAGTGGGTGAACTTCGACCATTAACCACTGAAAATGCTCGAAGAAAAATTGATAAGTATTTCATAGACGAGAAGAAACAGAAAGCAAAAAGTCAAAATACACAAATTCAAGACGAAAAATCGCCTGATGTTAAAGTCGTCGAATTAGACATTAAACCGAAGTTATCTGCCAAAGTTGAAGTGAAAGATATAATGAAATACTTCCAAAAAATAAATCCGGAATCTTCTGAAAAATTAAACTATGAAAGACCTGAAAATCCAAAAGGCAAGGACTGCACAAATATCGACGAATTAAATGAAATCGATGTTGACGCTGTTGTTAAGGAATTCGAAGAAATAGAGCGACAAAATGAAGAAATATTTTCGATTGACACTGAAGATATTGAGTCTCAATTGCATTTGAATGCTCTATTGACGGAATTGCATTTAGAAGACACGAATGAACAACTAAACGCAAAAGATGTAAATATGATAGAAGACTGTGAATTACCTTCTAAATTACACGAGGAAAAGCAAAATATCACCATTGATTCTCCTGAGAGTATAACCAACTCAGAACAAACACAATTGGTTTCACAACAAATCAATAACATCTTAGATACTAAGTCGCACGAAAATGTAATAATCAATCCTCATAACAGTGCAATCAATGAAGAACAAAAAATATTGACCTCACCATTAATCAATGATACTTTAGAAAACACAATCGGTTGTCACGAATTACAAAAAACAAATACAAAACAAACAATTTTACAACCTAACAGTTATACATTAAAGCCTGAATTGGATGGAGGAAAAACAGAAGTAACAAGTAATCTTCATATAGAACAAACAACTTCACAACTGGACAATGAAATCAAATTTCGTGAAGAAGAGACTAACAAACAGCTTGGTTCCGAAAATGTGCAACAAGCAATATCGATTCCATATTTGGATTGCAATATCCTGGAAATCAAACTGTATGAACAGAAGATGCAAAACACAACTCATTCTAAAGAAAATATTAAAACTGATGTAAAACAGATACTACCGACGCCGCAATTTAACAATATTAAAAATAATAAATATGATATCGTGCATAGAAGTGACAATACTTTAAATACAAGAGAAAAAGTTACTCGAAATGAAGCATTATATAAAAGTTCTTCTGAATTAACAAGTTTGCCCGTCGAACACGATCAAGTTACTAAAGTTAAAGTCGTTGAGCAAAATCTCGAAATACCGAAGCACGTTAACAAAATGAATGTATATAGTAATTTAATTCTATCGAACACAGTAGAAATTCCAAAGAGACCAGAAAGGAAACATGTACATCATAAACTCAGTTCTTCGATAAGACCCGATGTACAGTTTGCTCCTGATATTCCAGTAAGAAGAAAATCTTCAAAGCAAAAATCTAATGTTCCATGTTCATTGGGAGAGTCTACCTGTAACGTGCAGTTGAGTTCTACTGCAATTAATAAAAGATTGGTTGAATCAGACATTAATAATAGTAATACAATAAACACAGAGACTAATAAGTTGAGACATTCAACTGAAATGACAAAGAGTAATAGTGAAATAAGTAAAACAACAAATACATTAGGAAATACTGTTGATGAACAGTCTCGTCTCACAAAGTCTCCTCCATTAATAAACTCTGACCAGCGTGACTCTGCGAAATCCATACCTTCTAAGAATGACCGAACAAAGAAAGATAAATGTGTAGTGTCTTAGCATATACATATATATATATTAATATCGAAACCGCATATACGAGTGCATATGACGAAAAAATCTTTAAACATGACTACTGTATTTTTCCAATATATTTTTCAATTTTATGACTTACATTTAGGGAAATTGTGTGAGATACGTTAATAAAGTAAAAACAGAAAAGATATTGCTTATACTTGGCTGATGGTATATCTTATTAAAATACCCAAAGCCGTTGGAGAAAAGGTAAAGCATCTTTATATACGAATGGAGTGATCTAGTGAACTAATTTCAAATTAACAGTGACTCAAGTTGATTAATGATTTGTTTGTGTTTGATTCAGTGTTTATGCTAAAACTGGCATTGTAACTCTCTGACCAATTTTGTATTAATTTTGAAATTACCACCAGCCAATACTTTATTAAAAATCTCACTGTTTCATTCTAGAAAAATTCATATGATTATCATGATCCGTTTCGCAATAAACATTATTGGGCGAGTATCAGTAACTAATATCTCAGGAACATCATATATATTTTTATCTACATTTATAAGACTTCACAGTATCGAACTCCAGTATTGAAAGTATTTAACGAGCTTTAATACTCCAGAACACTCTTCTGACCAAATTGCATTATGTCACTTGCCACTAATTGTTTCACTAATACACTAAACAGAATTTTTTTTTTTTTTTTACTTTCTCACACGACATTTAATATCGTCATTCGTTCATTAATTTATAATGTATAATCTCGCAGGTTGCCTCCAACGAAGGTACGTCGGAAGAAAGCGAAGAAAACTCAGCTACGGAGATATCGACAGACTCTGAGTTCGAACACGATGGTACAACTCCGACGCAGCATGAAATTCCAGAAATCACAATTAACGATACGTACGTTCGCAAGACAAGGGGGAATTACGTTGAGCCTAAGAAAGTTCAAGTGAAAAGTAAAGTTATTTCATCGATAAACGGAAATTTGAGGCAAGATAAGGATTTAGACGTGAGATCGCAGTTAAAAGCGGATCATAATACAAATTCTCATTTCGAGAAAGAAAGCAAGCTGAATTTATTGGGGTTCAACAATACGAATATAGCCCCATTAATAAACCCACGCAAAGGAGATTATCTACTGAACCGCACTCACTCTACCGAAGGTATCGCGTCTAAATTGTCCTTGGAATTAAAAAAGAAATATTTACTCGGTGGCACGGCCTTTGGTGGTTCCGTTATGAAGTCAGGATCAGCCTCGAATGTAGATACTCAGTTAAGAAACTTCTCAGATGCTATTTCCCAGCATCAAAAGCTTTTAAATCCTGCACCAGAGCCAAGCCCTACGATGCAAGCGTTCTTGCAAGGGACGAGCAAATTACGATCGAGTAACACTCAACTTTCTCCTATATCGCCCACAGCTGCTGTATTCTCTTCGTCACCGGTGAAGCCGTACATTGCCAATCGTTCCTCGCAGAATTTATTAAACAACGATCCTATTTATAAAGCAACGATTTTACCTGAAATATCGAAAACTCATTTGCCAGACTTGGTGAAGGAGTCTAGTATATTAAAGTCAAAAACAACGCCTAATATTGTCTGCAGCGAATCCAAGGACGTAGGGAGCAAAGAGCTTACGAAAGAACAGATGGCATCTAGTCAATTGCATACAGTTAAGGGCTCGCAAATGTTAGAAAATGTGCGAAACGCTCAGATTATAGAGAGCAATTTTACCGCGAACGCAGATGAAAACAATGGTTTCCGACCACGAAGTCCCTTGCATGAGACTTCTATCATTGTGCCCCAGGTTGATTGGAGTAAAAACAAGCAAGAAGGAAAAGACGGGAGTACAGGAGATTCGGAGATAGACAGCGATTCTTTGTCTTCCGGCGATGGTGAAGACGCTGAGGAAGAAGCTCAAGACCAGCCACCAGTCATCGTAAATCTATCTCCACCGCGTTTACAAATTCACAGTACCGATGGAGATTTGCTGTTGGATGAGGAAGCCAACAAGTTTAAAGATTTCGATGATGGCCAGTCGTTCGAGCCAGATTCCATAGAGTGTTCTTATTTGCGGGATAAAGAGTTGAACGGTAAAGTAAACACTGCTGTTTCAACTCCAATTTCTTCCGTGAACAAAGCCTCAATGGAACTGGAGCTAATAAAAAACGAGATTGAGCAGTTGGAATTGCAGGATGAAGGTAAAATGAGCATCAGCAATTGCAGTACTCCTACATCGATAACTTCTGCCATTTCCAATAAGCATGATGATTCTGAAGAAAATGACATCACCACAGCAGCCCTTACTGAAACAGAATTCTCAGAGTGGGCTCGCGATGGTGAGGTTCTAGTTTCAGACGATCTGCGGGACGTTGAATTCAATATTAATCCAGAATTTATAACTACGAGGAGGAAGCCCACATTATCAGATGCCTCGAAGAGAGGTTACACTCCAATTACGATAGCCAAACAGGAGGATTTGACAGACATGGACTTAGATTCCTCGAAGTTTGACAAACAGATAGATGTTCCTGTTAACAATACCTCAAAACTTTTAGCTAACGGTGAAAATATAGATTTTATGGACACAGATAACGAATCACTCTTGGATGATAGTTTGCAAGACGCTTCTAATACTGTTATGCTCAAGAATAGAGGATATATAGAATTTGTAAACATTAAGAGCACGCCGACGCTTACAGGCTCGCGAGATCAATTAATTGCCGACGCTCCTATCGCGAAACTAGAAGTAGAGAACGATTCGTGTTCAGAGGAAGAGGTTTACAACGACAAAAACGTGATAGAAATAAATCCAGTTACTATGGACGATGTTATGAATAAGCTAAACGACGCTATAAATAAATCTGACAATGATGCTACATCAAACATAGAAACGAAATCGAATTTCGTTCAAGAAGATCAATCTATCGTAGAAACAGTAAATAAAGAATTGTTCCAATCGATGGAGGAAGATAGTTTGCTTATCGTCGAACCAGCTGAAGACACCACTACCAGTGAAGTAGTCACTATTCTTGCCAGTCCAGTAAATCCACAAGTTTCAATAGTTCCGAACCAAGTTCAAAAGGAGCCTGAACAGCAAAAGGAAGAAACGAAAATAACAGCAGATTCGAGCAATCCTGACTACCTGGAATACGTAAAGCGACTACAATCTAGAATCGCTGAGTTTAGCAACGCCAAAGACTCTATAGACATCAGAAAATCAAAAAGGAAGAATTCTAAAAGTTCTCTGCAATCTCGTACCGCTGAGATGATAGCAGAAGAAATCAAGAATCAAGAAATCACGATAAACAACAGCTTTAACTCTCCGGCTACCTCTAGGAAATTGGAAGAAATCACCAGAGAAAGGTCCAAGCAGAAGAATGTAATACAAGATTTATTAATGGATAAAGTGGAAGCTCATAAGCAAAAGTCCGCAGAAAAGAAGGCAAGAAGAGCTGCCAGAGCTTCATCGTTCAATTCAACTCCCACTTTATCGCCGATAAGGCCACTTATTCCTAATGTTTCGCTAATTAACAAATTCATGCCTACGTCCATTACAACGCCAGAAAATAGTCCTTTGCGTACTGAAACTAAAAAGTCTGTAGAAAATGAAACATCTTATGAAACGCAACAGCTGCCTTGGAAATCAGAGATTGAGAAGTTCACGAATGAAGAAAGTAATAAAACTGATATTCAGTCGCTTGAAAATACTGTATCAATGAAAATAGGTAGTGAAAGAGAAGATATCTTTAAAACGCCGGTCGCACCTCCGAGATTGAAACACGAAGAAGCAAAGAGAACAGCAGAAAAGGCAAGGCAAGATGCAAGGGAAAGAGCCAGATTGAAAAGTGACGAAGATTTAGGTCTTAGTCCAGAAGACAAAATCAAAGAGCTAAGAATGAAAGTTGCACGAAGACCACTTTCCATGGAGGAAAAGAAACCTAAAGAAGACACGCATGAACCTCGCCTAAGACACTACAATTCTGGAACGAACAAGACTGGATTAAAATTACAAACGAGCAAAAGTACGGATAATATGAAGGCCGTGGCGGAGGCAATAAACTTTGCAGGTCTATCTACTGCCAATGCAAAATCAATGGATCAACTGTTACATTCTGATTCTCCGAAGTCAAATAGCTCTGTTGCTGTCGTGAAAAGAGATAAGAAACAAAAGACAAAAGATCCAGAAAGAAGAAAGAGTATTATTCAAGCAGTGTCAGACTTCTTCTTCAGAAAAGAATCTTCTTCTTCGCCGTCCAATCAAAAAGACAAATTATCTATGTTCCGTCTAACATCAAAGACAAAAGGCAAAGTACGTATATCCTATTTTCTCCTCTTGCTAGTCTCTATATTTCTTCTGTTGTATAGCGTGTACATATTCCTGTATCTCTTAACTAATTGGATTCTGAAATGTTTCAGTTATATAAATCGTATTCGGAAGGGTCAGATGTAAGCAACTCATAAGTCATTGATACTAATTTTTCCAGTATTAGCTTTCTTATGCCACTATTTGTATTCGCTATTGTATATCGTGCAGGTACTATGATTTTATTTTTGTTTGCCGCATTTTCTCGTCTGCTTTAAAGGGGTAACATATTGATTGGCATAAATTATATTAAATTGTTTATTATTGTTTTTATGTTGTTAAACCTAGTAGTCGGCCGTATAAATGCATAAGCATGTTAACTTTTTATCTCACATGTAGATTGCCACTTCAGTATGTTCGTTTTTTTTTTTGTTTTTTTAATACTTTAATCAAGTTGTTTCTAACATTATTAAGAAAATACTATTCAAAAATAGGTGGTTGGGTTTTATAACTTATTTAATAACTGCTATATTTTAATTTCTTATTATATTCCTAAAGTGTACAAAGTAAACTATTATTTCGTTCATTAATTTATCAATTTAAATTGCTAAATGTATTTAATTTATTGCAATTATGTAGCATATTGTTATCTATGTATGTATTTTGTAATAACTGCGTCTTCATATTATATAAGCTTATTGCGTGTAGTCCAACAATAAAGTTTATTACAATTTTTATTTCATTAAATGTTAAAAATTTAATTTATTTTTTTTTATATTTATTAAAATAATAAAAATGTTATTTTTTTTCAGCTTGATAAAGTTTTACCGCCGAAGACTAATGCTAGACCAAAAAGTGTTTGCGAGGGAATGCTCACAAGAAATTTCTTAAATGAAAATCCGCCGCCAATTCCACCACCACCCCTTATTTACACCATTCCTACTACACAAGTCTCAGGTATAAATAATATATTGACAGTTATAATTATATGAAAATGAATTTATTTCTCATGTTATATTCATAATTTTTTTTAACAGATGATAGTTTGTCAGATGATGACACGAAAACAACAGCAGTGTCAACATCATGCATGCATAAGGCTACTGTAACAGAAGGTTCATGCAATAGCATTTCACGTAAAATAAAAACTACAAAACGAATAGCTAGACAAGCACGATTAAAGAGGTACATAACAGAACTATTTTGTACTTTTATCATGATTCAATTACTTTTTTGTAATACCATTCTCTCTTGAATATTCAAAAGGTTGCGTATGGCTCAGGAAATTCAAAGGAAGTTGGAAGAAACAGAAGTTAAACAAAGAGAGTTAGAAAGCAGAGGTGTTAGCGTTGAAAAAGCTCTTCGTGGAGAAGGCGGTAAGAATCTCTATCATTATAAAAAAATTTCACTACACAGACACTTAAAATAAAATGTACTTATGATATTTAGAATGCTCCGATCGGGAAGAAGCGGATTTACTCAGAGAATGGTTTGATCTTATGAAAGAACGCACGGAATTGCGCAGATACGAAAAAGAGCTTTTGGTAAGAGCTCAAGAAGTTCAACTCGAAGATCGTCATGAAAGATTACAACAAGAATTGCGTGAACGCTTAGCTAATGATGGTTAATATTTTTTTATATTTTAACGTTTATTAGTAATTTTTTAATAGTTTAGTAGTTTACCTTTACAGTCTTATGATATGTTTCATAAAAGAATATTAAAAGAAAGAGATTTATTGGTGTTTTGCAGACGATAAAAAGACCAGTGCCGATGTGAAGAAAGAAGGAGAGATTTTAACAGAAATGTTGGAAATAGTTGCAAAGCGGGACTCGCTCATTGCGCTTTTAGAAGAAGAGCGACAAAGGTGGTGTAAATCTACATGCCAAACATTAACTTTCCCTACACATACAGTTACCTATTTTTCGCACGTACCTAATTATTTTTCTTCTGATTTGAACAATACATCTTCCGTGCTTACATTAATAGTCATTTTAATCATCTACGTGTTTTTGACTAACTTAATAGAATTGTTCATTAACTTTTACAATGAACCGCTAACGCTTTTCAAATAATGATATTTTTTTGAATTTTCTGAATTATGTGGTTTTAAATTTCACTATTTTTATTTGTATTTTACAAATATTAAAATGGTCTTAGCTTTTTTTACAATATTTCTGTCTGTTATATATAAAAATTATAAATTATTCATATTATAATTTATACATTTTGTTATATATATATATATATATTGTAAAATAGTATATATTTTACAAAGATTACTATATTAATTAGTGATCGCAGTATACAGTTTCTTCCATTCACATGTAATTTTATATTGCATGGAGAAGAGCACGTTATAAATTATTTTTTATACTTTTTTTTACAATTTTTAAACTTTTATTGTAATCCAATTATGCATGCTGTTCATATATACAATTTTTTTTGTTTTTTACTATAAGTATTTCTTTGCATTGTGATAAAGTAATGTATTTATATACATGACTGTATTGTAGTGCTGTTGTGAGAATGAAAATGTTTCGGTTGTACTTAAAATTATATTTGGTCATGTACAGGGTTAAAAATTATAGAAATGTAATTGTTGTTTGAAAGTATTTTTCAATGGATATTTGGAAAAAAATAAAATATATTACTGTATGTGTTTATGGTAATTATTTCCTAAACACATATCACTATTTACGAAAAATGGTAAGAATCAAGAATCCTCTAAACAAAGTTTTTTGAACAATAATTAAATATATTTTTGTAAAAAGAAGGGAAGTATATTGTATATTTTCATAAAAAATGTTTGCTGATTTCATTCCATATTAGAAAGGAATATTTGATAACGCATGATAAATTCATTTGCATACAAAAATATTTTGATATATTTTGTTGCTTTATGTTAATTATTAGAAAATTCCATTTGCACGAGATAAGAACGTTATCATTGAATATTTCAATTCTGATATTGTATTTAGTTAATGGAAGCATACTTTTCTTTTAGGTATCAAGATGAAGATCGTGACCTTGAAGCTCAAATGTTGGCTAAAGGCCTCAGATTAACACCAATTAAAAAATGTGGTCCTAAGTATTCGGTTTAATAGGAATCACATTATTGTACATATACTCTATTCTATATTTCTATTCATAAATTTTAATAAATAAGTAATTTAATTATATTGTAAATAAGAAACAGATCTTACAAGGATAAAGTGTCTTATAAAGATCAAAACTTAAGTTTCATGTAACTTTTGTATGTTAAATTGAGTTACAAGTATTTCATTATGTACATGCAATTCTCTTTTAGAGACTCTTTTTTAAAGAAGAATACGGACCAATTATTTTATTTTCAATCTCTACAGATTTTTTTAAATATAACATTTATTTTGAGCTGTACACATTATATGTATATAGTTTTAAGGAATTCCATTTATTTGTAGCACATATTTTTATCTACTGTACATCATATACTTTTTAATCGTCCGAAGACATGGAATTGTATTATAAATGAATTTCTCAGTCCTCATTGCTTAGGATTTAAAGTAAAATAACTTAAGATAAAACAAAAAACATAACACATCATTGCACATGTAAAAAAGGAAATGTGCACACTGTACAGAAAAATTCAATATAATATATATGGATTTGAAGAAAATTTTATGAATACAAACATATATTTTGTCATTGCAAAACACAAAAAATATTCTGCCTTTATGTGTAAATCAATCAAAATATAATCGTTACATATACACAGGTTTGATTATTGCAAACATATTTTGCGATTGATATAGTAATTAAACAAGAAGTGATATAGTAAATATCTTTTGCATTACAATAATGTGCATTATATATATATATATATATATATACACATGTACACACATACATGTACATTATACAATTAAATAAGAGACATATAAATCTATTTTTATGTTTATAAATTATAGAATTTTATTAAATCATAAACATGTAAAGTTTTATATGAAATACAGTTTAAAAAAATGAACATATTTACAATTAGAAAATAATGATAAAATCAGTCTAATTTCCTTGATACATGTTTAATAGACGCAGTAAATTACAATACCAATTGCAAGTATCGAAACAAGCTGCCAATTTTTCCGCCTCAAATGTTAAATACATTTAAACAGTGACTTAAAGTGTAAAAATACAGTAATAATCATATAAATAGAAACATAAAGTAATTAAATGCAAATCATTACACATAAAATTGCAAGATGTAAGTAGAGAATATAGTATCATTCTAATGATTATTGCCATTTACATAAATTGACGAACAAATGAATGTTAATAACTTTTTTTAATATTTTATTTTAAATGCTACTCCATTATGCAAAAGTATTTTTGTATATCCATTGTAAATATATTTAAAAGATGTACATCATATAACATATAAACATTTAGAATATAATAAAGTTAACGAAAACAATATAAAAATATAAGAAATAAGCATTTTTTAAAAAATTAAACCATTACAAACAGTACCATGAAGACTAAGATACATTAAATATTATATGATTCAGTATTGCTTACAATTAATGAGCAGTTTTTGCACATTTAATTAATAAACTATATTAAAAATGATTAAGTTCAATACCAATGTTTTTCATCTCTTTATATTCTTTGTATTTAATATCTTAACATTCAATATTAGTTTTTTTTTAAACTTCTTAATTAAAAATTTTCAGTATAAAAAGATAACACATTAACTGCTTTAATTTATATTAATGAATGTGAAATTCAACTTCATTTGGAAAAGTTATACAATGATCATAGCAATCATGTGTGCCTAGAAACTGGAATTGTACAACATATGTAAGTGAAAAGAAATCATATAAATGATAAAACGAGGATATGTGTTCAGTTCAACATTTTATGAAAGTCTTTATAAGTCCTTATTCTTAAATTATAATCTTTTGTAAAGGAAAGTGAACAATAATGTGGTTCGTGTGACATTATTAAAACATAATTTAATATTCAAAAATCATTGACTATAATTACATGATATATCATACAATAATTTACATACATTATTGCTTACATTATTGCTTTTGTATCAAAAGTTACATTTCTTCCATACAATAAGTTACAAAATGATGTATTCACAGTGTGTAATTACAATATAACTTTTATTTTTAAAAAACAACAACAATATTTCATATTTAATTAACAAAATTTTTAGAAGATATAAAAAGTATTTGTTGTTTAACATTATCATAATAAAAAAAAAATGAAATAATTTGTCTATTTATAAATCCTTAAGTTTTTGATATAATTTTCAAATTTTTTAAACAGATGTTTATCTCCATAATTTAGTTGAAAAGGTTTCAACCAAATCTTGTATTATTTATATAAACAATAATTTAGAAGTTAATTTATTAGTAATAATTGTAATTCTCTGAAAAAAAATTTCTGATAGTACTCAATAAGTAAAAATGAACTACAACAGCCCTTGTTTATCATTATTATTATTAAATTATGCGAAAGAAGTTCAAGAAAAAATAGTCCGAAACAAAATTTAATCGAAATTTCGACCTGTAAATAGCATAAAACGTGCATTTTAATCTTCCAAATACGAGTTTAATTAATGGTTATTTGATAGATATCATTTAAAAAATCATATTAGAATCAAAAAAATACAATCTATATCTATAGCTTAATTATATACGTGGACATTTTTACACAGTATTTATTTATTTACATTCCTTATCTTAATTTAACATTTGAACGTGTCACGTGATTTTCGTATTTTTAGCGCGCATCGTAGATATCGCAAAACTGTGTAACCAACCAATAGGAATAAGTATGAAAAATATTCGTTAATCGAGCAGTGGGGAAAGGGAGTGACGAGCGACTACGAATTACAATTAGCGACACAACAAATGAAAGCGTGACGTGAATACATTGGTTTGCCATACCAGCGTCGGGATAATGTCGTTCGAGAAGAAAAACGTTGTCCGTTTATAAAGCAGGCTACGTAAAAAGCCCCGTAATTTAATCGTGGCACTGTTATATCGCACAGTTGCCAGAAAATGGAAGCAGACTATCAACCGACGCTAAGCCCAACGCGAACTTTGACAGGTGAGCTTGTCTGTCGACGATTGTTGACGTTGCTTTAGATATCAAATATAAACGTCACATCAAGTACATATCGCCGAAAATCGTGATTGTAAATAGTTCACCTGGCATCGACGTTTTTCTGTTCGTTCTAGCGAGAAAACATTTCACGATGGATCTCAGTCTCCTATGTGGAAAAGCACATCGATAAGTGACGAATAATTCGCGTATATGACACGATAGTGCGTATAAAAAAGAATTCAAGATTTGATCATAACTTGACATAGCTCCAGTCCTTGGTTTCAATGTATTAGTAGAGAATTCATTTTTCTTTTTTATGTTCCACAATCGCATAGTGGTTTGTAAACACCGATGAAAAATCATCTAAATATTTATTGGAGATCATGTATAACGTGTAACGTGATCGGTTAGGGGAGGGAGGAGAAAAAAAAAATGATATATATAACCGAGTGAAACCGCGAGATGTATACTAGTCATCAATTTATTATGATACTTGTTTTTACAAACATATTCTTTTCCTTTTTTTCAATTGTTACTTAGCATCTTTCAAGTATCTATTTATAATGCAAAACCGTTGATCAAATAAAGAATTGCGATGGCTGATGTAGTGTTTTGTGATTCATTGAAACATATTTGGTATAGACAATAATGCGCATACTTCTGTTTGTATGATAGCAATAGCTAATGACGTCGAAGATCCATATCCAAGTTTGTCAGATTATCATGATTATGAGCCCAACTTGGAGTTCGATGATACTGAGTTGCAAACCACCTCAAATAATGGTAAGTAATAACTTTAATATAAATGAAATTGAAATTCCTAATTATAGAAAGTTAAAAATAGTTGTGTGTTAATATAATTACACAGAGTGTTCTCTATATGATATTTAGCATAAAACGTTATTTAATCTTCAAATTATATTTTTTTAAATTTAATTGCCTATGTTATTGGTACAAATTTTCATATTAAATTATTTTATAATATAACTGAAGTAATCATTTTATAGCTGTACAACTTTTAGAAGAAAAATTGGACTTAATTAGCAGTGGTGCAGGTACTGGGATAGATTATTTGGAGAGTCCAGTAAGCGATGGGACAATTGAAGAGAACTTTGAAGAAGCTTTGGTAGATGCTCCAGTTATCGAATCCGGTGTGTGACCTTTTATCTTCTGTTAGTAGCCACTAAATGTCATGGCATTTGGGGCTTAGCAGGTGAATTATGTAGATCATTGTACAGTTTATTATTGCATGGTATAAAAATGCACAAAAGCAAAGGTTAAATGACTCTCTTACTTAATTTGCAATTCAATTATTTTGGGTATTGATTTTGTAAAAAGAGTCAAAGGGAAAGCAAAAGGAAATTTAACATAGGAACAAAAAATTATTATCGAATAAAATCTTTCATGCTGAGTAGCAGAGGATCTTGCTGCATTGGATGGTGAACTTGCGGATGAAGAAGATTATCTTGATATATCAAGATATGGTATTGTAGAAGTGGTTGGTGATGATAGTGCTGGTCGTAAAATAATAGTAGTATCTGCATGTAAATTACCTCCTGTTGGAAAAGAAACGTTTAACCATGCTAAACTTCTCAGGTTTGTAATATAAATATGAATATTATTCTAATAAATGTATTTGTTTCATCATTTTTAACAATACATTTATTTGACAGGTATCTCACACATACTTTAGACACATTTGTAGAACAAGATTATAGTTTAGTTTATTTTCACTATGGTCTTACTTCAAAAAATAAACCACCATTATCCTGGTTATGGCAAGCATATAAAGCTTTTGACAGAAAATATAAAAAAAATTTGAAAGCTTTGTATCTAGTACATCCAACCAATTTTATTAGAATTGTATGGCAAATATTTAAACCAGCCATTAGGTAATTATTGCTTTAGTATACTTTAGCTACTCATTTAGTATAGGATGGCGGCTGAATGAGAAGTCACCTCTTGCCTGCTTAACATATCATTCGGTCGCACCCTGGTTAATTTCTTTTAATTATTATATTAAACTTGATTCTTGTAGTGCAAAGTTTGGTCGGAAAATGATGTATGTCAATTATTTGGAAGAACTGGCACAATATATTAATCTTGATCAACTTATTATACCTCCTCAAGTAATAGAGTAAGTGTCTATTTTGTAATTATAAAGCTTTTAAATTTATATCGATATTAATTTATTACATTCATTTCTAGACATAATGAACAGCTAATGTTAAAGAACAGAAAGAATTTACCAACAAGTCCACCTCAGAGTGCGGTGACAACACCAGTTGGTACCACTCAGTTTGGAGCAAGTCTTATTTTTATCAAAGAAAATAATAATGGCGATCCTATACCACCAATAGTGCGACAGTGTATTGAATTTCTCGATACACCTGATGGTATGCTTATAACTATGCCATTTATGCATATTCGATGTTAATTATTATATATTTGCAGCATTAGAAACAGAAGGAATATTTAGAAGATCAGCTAATGTAGCAGTGGTTAAAGAACTTCAGAATCGTTGTAATCAAGGATTATCTGTCGATTTTCAAGGAGACCCACATATAGCAGCTGTTCTTCTTAAAACATTTCTTCGAGAACTAGATGAACCTCTCATGACATATGAATTATATGATGAAATAACACAATTTCAAGGTAAATTTTCTTATTTATTAATATTGAGTACATCATAACATAAATATATCGATATTCTCATTTTAGCTTTATCAAAAGATGAACGTCCAAGAAGAGTTAAGATATTAGTACTTGAAAAACTTCCAGAAGATAATTATCAAGTCTTAAAATATATTGTACAATTTTTATCAAGGGTAAACTATTATTATTGTAATGATTATGTTCTATTCTTGTTTTAAAAAGTTCTGGTTTTATAATAATAAAATATATATTCATAACAGGTAATGGACAGATGTGATTTAAACAAAATGACATCAAGTAATCTCGCCGTCGTATTTGGTCCAAATCTTGTCAGAGCACCACCATCACGTGGAATGTCACTCTCCGCGATAGGTCCCATTAATCAATTTATAGACTTTTTATTTACTAATCAGGATAAAATATTTATTATATAAAGAAAATATATAATCGAATTCTAAAGGCCTAATTTGGAACGAAATTAATATTTTATGTATGTTATAGAATAGAAATTCTATAAATTTGGCTGCCAAGTTTGATATTGTATAAATTTGCATAATACAACTTCGAAGAAAATTTTATAGGATGTTTATTGGGAAATATGACAAGTTCCTGAGACTTTCATTTTAGAATGTAAAAGTGAGAATCTCTTTTAGATCTTCGAAGTCATATCAAACTTGTTAAAAAGTTAAAGCGAACGTAACAATTCGTGTATAATATTCTGATATATTTAATTATAACATTCGTACTTTGTTGATTAAAATATTTTTATATTTAAATATACAGATAGAGAAATACTTGCATACCTAATGTCACAAACAGCGTTTAATTATACAGTTTGCACAAAATTTTTTCTAGTAAATTGGTACCATGATTTCAAGATGAATATAAGGGCGTTTAAAGTAATGTAAATCTGATTGCTATGTAACTCAAAAGTATGTAAAGTTATAAAATTAATGGTATACCAAAGATATATGAAAATATCATGCAATTATAAAATAGAGAATTATTTAAAAATAACATAACATAGTAAAACTAGACGAGCAAATTATGATGTACAGGATGCCTTGCTCGCATAATTTTATTAACTTAAGAATGAAAATGACAAATGTCATAAAAGTCATAATAACTATATGTTATTATAGTTGATTAATATAGCCAAAGCGAAAAATAGTAATGAATTAATGACTATTAATAATATATAGCATCCTTTGTATTGACATGTATATACAAAAATTAGTAGCACTGTATACAATTTTAGTCTGATTAAACGAGATTGTTTCTTTAACAGTATATATAAATGCAAAGAATTTTTTAATGCATTATTAAAATAATTATATTACAAAATTCGAAATAACAATAAAATTTCAAATTTTCAATTAAATAAATATTAAGTTGATGTGATTAGAGCATGTTTATGTGATAGTTGGTCTGTAACTTGCATACAAGGTAAAACTATAACAAATTCAAAAATGAGAATAATTTATGTAAATCTTTGCTAATTTAAAATAGTAATAAATGATCGAAATTCGTTATTATGATAATGTAACAATTAGACTAAAATAATTGTCAGGGTATCATGTAATATAATATTTAGAATATCTGTTATCATTTGAAAGATTAAAGATTTACAGTAATCTTTCTACTATCATATACATACACACATACATACATATATATATATATATATGTATATATATATATATATATATATATATGTATGTATGTATCTTTGTATATTTTCTTAAATAGTCCTGCCATTATGGGTTTCTGGGAAAAAATAGAGGCTCATTGCCTAATACATTCTCTGTTATGGAAAAAGACTAACCCAGACCTATATAGAACTGACACAATTCAATTACATTCCTTGTTATTGATAGAATGAAAATATATTGTATTAAAATATAATTTATATAAAAATATTAGGATATATCATATGTATATTACATAATGTATAATTTTCTAATCGCTCTTTCTAATGTTTTAAGTTTCTTTCTTATTTACGAATATATGAAAATGATCTAATCACATATTTACATCAATTATTTAAAATTATAGAAAAGTAAGATTATTAACGATTATATTGCTATTATAAATGGATTTGTGGATGTTTATAATCCATGTATGTACCTGTGATAGAGTAGAATATTGTATTTTAGACACGCGAATATTGTGCATGTAATTAGTAAATTCTTTACGTCGTAATTAATTACAACCTAATCTGAATTATGAATTACAGAACATTCCCAAGAAATAACATCATATTATATACTTGTATATGTTAATTAACTTTTTATTAAAACATAATAGTATTTAAATATATATACATTTATATGACAGAAATACATACATCTAATAATTGTAATAAATCTTCTAGCTATATGATATATATGAATAATAAGATATTTGGTTTGAGTCAACTGAAGCTCTATCAATGTAATTGAATATCGAAATACATAAAAATCAAGTCCCAAAATATAATCAGTATTTCTTACCTTACACAGTTAAATTACTTAGGCTTAGCAATTTATATCTATATTATTTTTTGTTCCTTAAAAAATAAAATATTAAAAATTTTGTGATATATATATATGCAATTCATCAATATGTACATGTGTATATATATATATATATATATATATATATATATATATATATATATATATATATATACATACATACATACATACACACACACACACACATTTATATATAAGACTTGTTCAATAGTAGAACCAATTGTAATTCAGGTATTTTGAATTAAGATGTATGTGAAGAACCACTACAACAGGAACTCTTAGTTGGTTCGGTTTCTTCAGCTTCATCTTCAACTACAACAACATTGCGGCGTATACTACTTGTTCTTGATAATGTAGACTTTTGTTCCATAAGATCTGCATGTTCTATCATGCGCAATGTTAATTGAAAAAACATTTCTTCAATATTTTCATTTAGTTTGGCAGATATATGAAAGTGCATAGCTCCAGTTTTATTGGCAAATCTGAATAAAATTTTATATCAAAACAAATCTCATATGATAATATTAAAAAAAAAATTGAAATAAACTTACTCTTCAGCTTCCTCAGTGTAAACACGTCTATCCTTTTCAAGATCTACTTTATTTCCAGCTATTGCTAAACAGATTCCACTGCCTAGCATTTTCCTAAGCTCTGTAACCCAATTTATTACCTGTGAAATGAACGTTAATATAGGATATAAAAAAATAGAATTATATTTTTCTTTAAATCTTTACCCTCTGAAATGTATCGTAATCAGTAACATCGTAAACTATAATGGCACCATTTGACATTCTATAATAAATTGGTCCCAATGCATGAAATTTTTCTTGACCAGCAGTATCCCATATTGCCAGGTTTACTTTTTTTCCATGTACAGTCAATTTTTTGTTTAAAAAAGAAGCCTGTAAGTATAAAAGTTAAAAATAATTGATCATCATGACTGACAGTTTACCAATTATAAAAAGATCATAATATTATTTGTTCATATAAACAAAAATAAACAAATTCCAAATATAAATACATCATAAAATAAAGATAAAGATATCAAATATTAATCATTTTTCACCTGTAGTGTGCTGATATGTCTATCATTAAATTTGTTTTCAACGTATCGTAATGCAATAGAAGTTTTCCCAACACATCCTTCGCCAAGTAACACCACTTTGAAGTTATAACCATTACCAGTACTATTAATTGAAGTGGCCATAATTTGTATATAACCAATATATACACTTAGATGATAATATGACAATTGTAATTGCGTAGAATAACCGGTGATAGAAGAATTTATAGAGTATATTGATGACTGACGATCATAACGATGTGATATCCACGGGTGGGGCCCCTCATGCGGCTTTGTCCCCCTCTACGCTAATACTTTAGAGCAGTGGGGTAGTTTACGCGTCTCTATATATTTTCAATCTCACATTTTCTCACTTCGTATTCAACCTTCGTACGTGACATAAACTATACCTAGTTTTGTCAACATAAATAATCTTTTTATTTCACTATTCTGAAAAGAACCATATTTCATATTTCAATTTCTCCATATTACAAACACGAAACTCGTGCGGATCCACACTGAACTCGTACGACCAGCGTCTTGGTTTCCTTGACAACATGAACGAAGTGGGGGAAATGCATCTTATTCGCATAGACGTTCCTTATTAAAGTTTAGATAACACTGATTTGGAGTTGCCACGAACCTATGGTAGTAATGATAGCAGTATCTCTACTCAATAACATCAGAGTGAAAATAATCAGCTGTTTTCACTTTTAATAAGTACTTGCAAAACAAAAAATGGAAGTATCTACATAATTTTTACATTAAATTTTTACTTTAAATCACCGATAAGTGGCAAATTATGAGTATTTATGAAATGCTCGTATTTCATGTCTTGAAGTTCAAAAAATATTACTCAACTCCTTTGGCATAAATATTTCGCGGTTTGAAAAATTAGAAATAATTTATATTCAATGGTTTCAATGTCACGTGAAAAAGAAAAGATTGCATGTGTGCCAAACATTGATAAAATTTATCTGTGATTTATAAAATTAAAAAAGATTTACATTACACATAATTCTTTTTTTTTTCATTGGTTCGTTATCTGCAAAGATGGCGCTAGTTTCGTTGTTACTAAGCTACCGCAATTTTATTCAAATTATTCTGACAAAATACATTTTCCTATATGTATCGTCAAACTCAATGTTTATACGTAGGCTTATGTGTTAAAACGTAACTGCGGCAATCAATTAAATTCTATTTGTATCTTAAAAAGTTGTAATTTTTACTGTTCTAGAACTCTGGTGGTACTTTATCGAACTGATGGCCCGACAAAAATCAAATCTCTCACCGGAAGTAAACGTATACAAGTAAGAACAAGTTTGTAATTTAAGATAGACATATTATCAAAACACATCAAATAGAATGTGTAATAAATTTTCTCATAAAAAATGTGTTAACTAGGTATGAATAACGAGTAACGACAATACAAAAATTACAATTTCACGTTTGGTACTTATGGACGCTCGTTTGACCAAGGTAATACATGAGAGTCAGCGCCGTGAGCCTGCGCAAAGAAGTTCTCAAATCTGGCCGTCACCTGTATTGAAAAGGTAAGTGCTCCGCTGTTATTAATCTCAATATCTTAATATGAATTTCGTTTGCACATGTCGAAATAATACGACGTATTGATAACGCGACATATTGTTAACAAGTTTGTGGATTGTCACGTGAAATTATTCAGGTGTTTGGGATAAATATGTTCGGAGATGTCAGCGTCTTCGACTCCGGGTTCCGAATTTGCCAGGTTGCTGTATCATCATCGATACATTTGACACTTATTTTCCATTCTCGTCTTCTCATTGATCATTCTCTTAATCCGTCCTTAATACATGTTGCTACAATTGCCGAAATTTCAGTGGTTTATGTCAATTGCAACGAGAAACTTTCACCAGATCGTAGATACCGCGTACCTTCACGGATTTTTCATTGTCGGCACTCGTTGTTCTATTGACAGGACATCGAACAACGTATTGAAAGTATCATTCGTACGCTAGACTAGAAATCTACTGATCCTTGTGTGTTATTCATCTCTTAGATTAACAACGATTCCCGCGTTTTATCTGCGCGGTATTCTACTTGGCAAGTAGACTTGTTTGTTTGTGCGTGCCGTATCATCTGTCATGGCGTGCCCGCTTGTGGCGGGTATCACATCACTGACTTTTCCTATCATTGTAAGTTTAAGGTATATGTCAGTTGGCATTATCATATACGCCACATGGGAGGAATTGTTCGAATAATTTTGGGGAGATCGGTCGACGGGGATATCACATTAATTTGATATTTCGGATAAACATACTGTGTAGTTGTTAGGACGGGGTTGGTTAGAACGGTGGGAAGGGAAGGAATTAACGATGGCGGTGAACTATACTGTGCCACGCGCCATGTCGGTCTCTTGCTCGCGCACGTCCTTCGTTCGGTGCACTACGTTTGTCTGTAGGTTTCTTTTTTTTTTTGGCTTTGTGAAAATGGCACACGATTTATTACAAGTGAACCTCGGTAGGAAGCAGGAGCCCACATGTTTATAAAAGGAACCTGCGACTCTGTCTTTCACGTATCACGCTTTGAAAATTGATCAATTTTTTTTTTTTTACCTTCGACCGAATAAAAAAAGCGAATCAAAACATTTTTAGACGGAATTCAAACTTATGTACTGTTACATTAACGAACGTTAAATTTTTTTCTGATTATTAATTATATTAACGTCTGTTAATATAATTTTCTTGATTTCTTTTTTTATATTTCGTATTATACTGTCAATCTTGAAAATTAACTTTCCAGTTATATTGAATTAAAGAGTTTCATTTTACTTTCATGAGTAGTTTATATTGGCATAATATTGAGGTTTTAATTACCTATGAAATGATTTGCATTATCATATTTTTTCTTTTATTTATTATATTGATTGTTTTCTGAAATTAATCATACATATATATGTATACAGTACTTTAACAATTAACAAATTTAAAGTCATTATTCCCTAAAATATTAATTTATCATACATGTATCGTGCAGTATGTTTTATGGTAATTATGATTATAATAACAGAATTTATTAGTAATGATTAATATTTATAGTTTAAATTTACGTTTCAAAAATAATCGTGCAACTTTTACAATAATTTTAATAAAGGTAGAGAAATACGTCTTCATATTTTTATTCAGACCAAAATACCGGAACCTGTTTTATCATAATGTAGGTCATCTCGATCAAATACTTGCAACATCGTTAACCATCGTTTCAACGAAATTGAAGTTTCTCTGACTAAACTACTTTTGATGATTTTATTTATTGTTCTGTCGGTGTATAGATATAAATGTATCTACATATGTTTCTTCATGAACGCATATAATTTGGTGACATGTATTTACATCGAGGGATGATATCTTTTTCTATTTTTAAAACCGTAGACAACTGTAAAAGTGAGAACGAAAGTCGAACTACTGCGAGTTAGCATGTCAGGGCCACGTTATTCGGACATTGTCACTTTATCTTTCGATACATTTTGTCCTTTCGAAAATATTCAGTTATATATGACAAAAATGGCTATATTCATAATTACAATTCATTTCATACATACTATATTATTCGTTTCATGTCCCTATATTATACATACTATAATTGAGATGTTTATAATTAACATATAATAACATAAAGAGCGTAAAAAGTATCTTATTGAAATATTTAAAATATACGATTTTGTCTTTGAAAGTAGAAAATTGATTTGTCTGAAAAATGAATAATTGATTAAGTTTATCATAATTGCAAACAAATTAGAACAAGTTAAAAATATATACAGTAAATATCTTACACAATAAGGTTGAGTAGTACGATCATAGATGTCGTGAGGTTTGTTATTATTTGTTATTGGTTTTTATGGTACATGCCGGTCTTCGCATTCGATTTGTAAACAAATACAGGCAAAATATAGATTTAATACGCGTGCTGTCGGGTTAGAGATTCAAGTCGTATCGGGATAAAGAGGCAACCGATCAACAAACCACGTGGCAACATCGCTATACCCTCCTCTTTTTTTCTCTCCCCCCTTCCTGTTGCTTGATGTCCCTTACATCGTCTCCCACTATAATCATCGACTGCAACGAGGCGAAAGCACATTTACATTTTTTTGCGTACAGTATGTTGCAACATTCTTGCTTTGAGGTTTCGACTATCGATGGCGCCACTCCCAGAATCAGGAAAAAATATGTCGTACATTGAAAACTAAGAAAGAATTAAATTCCGTATTTTAGGATTGTTTTCTCTGTACGCGTTTAATTTTATTCGATATAAAATTAATTAGAGGATAAATAAATTAAGATTAATTTATTCGATAATATTTTCATTGCAATTTCTTCTAATCAATTTACATTATTGAATTCTGTCAATATGTAATTCTAAAAAGAAATTTCGTGAGCTTGCTTAATATTTTTTCGTTATTATTTCTTCCTTCATTTTGATTCTATAATTTTATAATATGAAATTCGAGATAACGCATAACTTGTACAAATCTAAATATTATTTCATTATTTGGCATTTGGTTAAACAAAAGTATCTTTATTAAATGAAATTAGTTTGGGAGTTAGTTACGCACAGAGAGAATTTCAAGCTTGTAGATCATAACAATAGGATGTCATGGGTAGAGGGTGCAAAAGTATGTACTTACACTGTTAATGTTACTTCAATTTTCGAATCATTGAAAACTTCGTTACGTTCATCATCCTTGAGCAAAACAAGGACGGATGGGTAACGTACGGAGCAAATTCGGCATATCGAAGGAAAACTGGTTTGCCTCTACGTACTTATTACGATACTCGTCGAACGAATGCCAGTTCGTGAAATGTACGCACTTTTTTTAAGTACATAATAAAATTGCCGAAGTAAAGCCCACCCCTCTAGATTTTATAAATTTTCATTGGATGCTACTTTATGATGTACCACATATGACTGACCTGCTTTTAAAACTGAATTAAGACAAAAGCCATATGGTATACAATGTGAATGAACGATTGCGATAAAATGATCCGAAGAGATAAGAACTCGATAATTTATGAAATCCAGATGATACTAATGAAATTTTCGTATCTCTTGTTATTTTCTATTGTACGCATTCGGCATACATGCAATAAATAATAAAGTACGAGATATTTATATACGTATATAAATATCTTGATATAAAGTAGAAGCATTTCAAGAGTTTGTAGGCAAAACAAAAAATATTTCAGGACATTTCACGTTTCATCATGTTCACATATTACTGCGGTTTCACGTTTATTTTTAGATATGTTTTTTTCTTGTCGACACATCATAATTTTCTATTTCTTTTCTTTTTCTTTCAAGTCGATTAATTTTGACTAAACGGTTTCAGAGTTATAACAATTACGATACTGTTTGATAAGCTTAAAACATAGAGTTTGCTTAACTGAAATTATTTTTCGTACGGTCTTCGTATTACATTTACAGTAATGTATAAAAACAAATTAACATTTTCATTACATTCAATTAAAACATGTTCATCAAAATAACATAAATCTTTATCCACAACGACTCTATAATTAATTTAACAATGATGATCATTAATACGGTGAAAAATACTATAATTTTATGAGAAGATACATATGTATGTTTCCTGCTCCTATGTTAGAAAACTTAGCATAGACAATAATAATAATAATATATAATATAAGTAACAAGTGAATTTAGTGATTCTACATAGAAAGAAAGTTTTGTTTGTAAAGTGTCGATTTCCTTTAGCACGTTGTTTTTCTTTGCAGTTTTATCATATAATATAAAGTGGGGATTCGTGGACGCCCCCTAGTAGCATGCGTGCGTCAGAGAACGTAGCGTCTTGCACGTATACACTGTCATGCCGAAATCGCGGTATTAGTTACAGAACTGGCAACGAATCGATGTAAACAAGTATAATAAAGATGGTGATGATGAGTGGTTTTTTCTTTGTGACAAATTATCGCGAATGAACTTTTTACATAACTTTTACATACTGTCCGGACAGAAACGGACCGAATTTCGACCTTCGTCACGATCATCGAAACATGCTGTTTTCAGTAAAGGTACATTATTTACAGGACGCGTTAAACATACGGTTCACAATTGTTTTATCTGTGTAGCTATATACAATTCTTCTTTGTAGGTAATTGCTTACGATAATAAGCATGAACCGATAATAAATTGTGAAAAAAAGTATTGGAATGAATTTGGTTGGGATAAACTTTTATTAGTTTTTTGTGAATTTGTTATGCATGTGATATGCTTTCTTTATGTAAGATTCTACAAGATATTAATCAGTATTACACATTAATTTAAGAAGTATTATTCAATATTTCGACTTTTACAGAAGCAGTCTGAAAATAACGTGCAAAATGTTTAGTTTTCATAAGCCAAAGGTGTATCGATCTAGTACTGGATGCTGCATTTGTAAAGCCAAATCAAGCAGGTAAAATAAAAATTTTACTAAATATAATTTGATTGTTTCACGAATTAAATTGTTATAATAACAATCTAAAATTTCCTTTTTTTTTTTTTTTTGTTTATAGTTCAAGGTTTACAGATAGTAAAAAGTATGAAGATGATTTTATGGAATGCTTTCAACTTGAGGAAAGAAGAACTGGAGAAATTTGTAATGCATGTGTACTTCTGGTAAAAAGATGGAAAAAGCTACCTGCCGGAAGTAACCGTAATTGGAGACATGTAGGTTTTAATAAATATATTGTTCACTTACATCAGTTGATATATTTATTTATTAAAATTAAGTAAAATTATTTATAAACAATTTTTTTATGTTCATAGGTCGTAGATGCACGTGCAGGACCTGGTATCAAATCATTAACAAAATTTAAATCAAAAAATAAAAAGAAAATAAAAGATATACCAGAAAAGTTTGAGAAGATTATGAAAAAGAAACATATGTATTTAAAAACAGATAGAGATCGAGAACAAAGTCCGGCAATGAGTGATGATTTAACAGGTAGGTATTTAAAGTTCGTATTTTTAAAACAAAATGTTTTTGAATTATAATTTTATAATTATTTTTCGTCTTGTTTTCTTCAGAAGATTATTTAAATGGACATGGTAGTAAAGGTTCAAGTCGAACTGGCAGTCCTATGAGTAGTGATGATATTCCAGTAACTGAAAAACAATTAGATATGCAAGTTGACTCAGTATCAAAAAATGATCTAACTGGTTTTATTGATTTAACATATTTTAAAAGGTTGGTCTCATTATTAATTTTTACAAATGATTTAAGTTATTTTTGAATTAAATTTAATAAGTTTTTCTTCGTGTTTTGAAATATCAATATTATTTCAGGGAGATCATCTGTTGTGGAACAATATTCAGAGGTCCATATGGTGAAGTAGTAATGGATCCTTCAATGATGAAACCTTGTATTCGTTGCTTAGCTAGACAACAACGACAACAACAAACAAATGCATTAAGTTGCAGTCCTGTGCATAGTTCTGCATCTGCTAGTCCTGTTCACAGTTCTGCGTCTGCTAGTCCTGCTCATAGTGTAGAATCTGGAACAGAGACAACAGTCTCTAAACAAACAAGCAAAACATTTAGTGACTCATCGTCAGATTCCGGCTATGATGAATCTTTCAACCAAGGAGTTGGTGAGAAAATTATTAAAATTACTCAAAATACAAGTACTACTGTAAAACCAGCAGTTAAACTACAACCATTGAAAAGTGTTCAATTAAAAGCTATACCAGTATCGGAAGCTGTCAGGTTAAAAACAGATGTGCCAATTAAATTGGTACCTATAAAACAAATCGAGCAATTATCTTGTAAGCCATTGTCCTTAGTTTCTCCTGCTAATGTTACTTTAAGCAGTAGTACTTCACACTCCATCGTTACCGTCCCGAGTAATAATCCACTTGTCGACTTTGCCATGCACGCAGCCTCTTCCAGGCAATCAGTCTCTAATTAATGTCAGTCTCTTATAGAATTTTAATTTATTTTTTTCTTATATAGTTAGATATATGCTATGATGGAAAATTGTGTGTTACATATGCTAATATTACCATCTCAGATTACAAAGGCTCTGGATAAGATTGTTTATGTTTTATCATATCGAGCGCAAAGAGTTTATAATGTTATAAATGGTGAAAAAATGAATTCTTGTAATTAGAATGACTGTTATGATGTACAGTAGATAGATAGTGCTCTTGGAAAGATTGCATAGGATTCATGTCCTTGATCGTTGGTTGTTAAAAAAATATATATATATAAATATATAATTATATATATAATATTGTCTTTATGGACGTGAGTTCTTGAAGTGTATTCCACGTCTATTAGATGATTTTTAAGAATGACAGTTGAAAAAGAGCACAATGTTTCTACTGAATACCGTTTGTAGCATATATAAATGGTCATAAACTGCCATGCATTAATTGCTAACTCTCTACAAATGACTCCAACATGTAGAAAGTTACCAATTATTTTATAAGTTTAATAATTAGCTATGTACATCAAAATACTGTGATGACATTGTAATATAATGTGAGATATAAGATTATTATTCAACAAATGGCAGTTTATAGCATCTTCGTACTAAGCATTAATTAATGTACTCTATGGTATAAAAGTTTTCTTATCCATAGCTTTTCGTTTTCTGAATTATCATTGCAATCGTATATGTGAATATTTGTACAGAAGTTCCATGATGCCAATCACATTTCTTCAAACATTTGGGTCCAAAAATTTAAAAAAAATTCATTTAGGGTCATGATAGCTACATTGTACCAGATACATTTGATATGATCCATATAAAGGTCCATGACGTTAACATTAAGTAATTCAACTTAAGAAACGAATGTGTTCAGGTACTGTAAATCCTGACCCATTAATAGCAATAACTATGAAGAGTAACTTTTTAATAAAATAAATGAAGTCTGTTGAATAGCATCATATCAATATGATGATATATTTAGGCAGGTATTATTAGAGAAGGAAATTGAACGAGAATATGGCAATCAGATTGGCAAACTGGACCAGCAGAACTTTGTTATAATATTTCAGGGTGACAGCAGAGTTAATGTAAAAATAATTGATTAATACATTAATAGAGTATCAACATATGAAGTAAGTGTATGGCTAAATAAGTGAAAACTGTTAGTTCCTAGTTTTCAGAGATGGGCACATAATCGAACAAAAGCACATAAAAGTACCTGTTAGAAACAGATTTCTGTGATCATTGGAATATTTGTTTTCTACTTTCTTTTTTTTCGTCTTTTTTGATCGATGCATAATCTTATACGCACAAAGATTATCCAAATTGACGTATATATATCGAACCCAGAAGTGATCATGATATTGTTAGAAACAAAACTCGATATAATAAAAAAAATTTTTTTTTTATTTCTTCATTTAGAGTCAAAACAATCATAATTATAAAACCAAAGATGTTTGGAAGATATATACATATTTATTTTACATTGGGGACAAATAACTTAATAAATAATATAAATTTTTATTCAAGTATCTAATTGTAGGATCAAAATTAAAATTACGCATGTGCAATACATAGTAATTATTCTTATATAACGTCATATAGAGTTCTTTTTATAATTAATTAAATTTTAATATTAATCTACTTCTGGGATAATACCAACTTTTATAGTAAAATTTCTCTCACACGCATTTGGTTTACAATTTTAAAATGCTGCGTTTTTACTGCCCATCTGGCTTAAGCTCATTGACAATCGTTATATAACAAGGAAACGATAACAGTTTTTCATATAGAATCAAACATCGAAGCTGCGATTTGTATAAGGACAACGTTGACCACCTTGTCCTTTTACAAATTTTAATTGTACATTTCGTTGGATTAGGAGACTTTATGATCTCTTTATTGTGAACATTAATAACTATATTTCTGTTGTAACACACGTTATGATTTATATAATAATTAATATATGTCAAAAAAAAGGTTGGATCATAGATTAATAAATCATATATATTTAGGACTATCATATATTAATTTTTTTAAAAAAGTAAAAATAAATTTTACAATCTAGAAAGCTCAAATTATAATTAAGATTTCTATAATATACTTGTTCAACATATTTTTTAAAATAATCTTTATAAACTTTCTATGATCCTTCCTTAGAGAAATGAATATAAGAAATACTTGTTTAATTTATTTATTTTGTAAGTTTATTTACTTGCAATATATGCTATTCCTTTTTTCTATATAAATTTATATATATTTTTATACAAATTAATCTTTGCTTTTTATGGATTAAACTTTCTGTAGCACTGCCAGAAAAGAGGGACACAAAAAGGAACATTCGATTCCAAGTCAATCTGCTGGCAATATTCAATGAACTATTTATTTTCAATTAATACACANCACACACACACACACACACACACACACACACACACACACACACACACACACACACACACACACACACACACACAATACACACATATATTAATCTATTATTGAATCTATTATTTACATCTTAAGAGAAGAAAATTATAAATGGTGCCCACAGATTGATTAAACATTAAGAAAATATTAAAATAAGCTTACATAAGAAAATTTTGTATCGATTATAAAAGTGGTCTCATAGTCAAAGTAATATAAATAGGTGATAGATAAAAGATATAAATAATTGCGTGTGTCTTTTAATGAAAAAATAAATGATAAATTAAAACTTTATTAATTATAAAGAATATATATAATATATTGTACATGCAGCTATTTAATGTAATATTACATACTGTCTGTTGTGAATAGCTGCAAGAGAACATCAAATTATCTTATATAGCATAGTTTTAATTTCATTAAAATTTTAAACAATTGTAATTTTCAATTATTCAAAAATCTGCTACAAATAGAAAAGAGGAACTATAAAATTTTTATCCATTGGTATCATAACTTGAATTTGGTGTTCTTTTGTACAAAATAAGATAATAATTGAAGTACATTTAATTTTAATTTAAAACGAATCTCGAGAAAATTTTTGAATGATGCAGCTTGTGAGATTTATTGGAACGTTTTGTGAATATGTCACGAGAAATTGAGAATGATGTACTTAAAAGTTTTATTCGTCTTCCCAAGCAACTTTTTTTTATATTTAATTATAACTAAATATAAATTAAAGTATACTCTTAAAACTATTGGTAAGCTATTCATTTTGATAATTATAAACCCAGAAATTGATGATCATTTATCTTGAATCTGATTCATTTATTGTTTCAATAAATCTTACAAACATTATGTAGTTATTTTTAAGAGAATGAAGACATCACGCAAGATCTATTTAATGTGCATCCCTCGAAATTTACAATTTGTCAATCTTCTTCCTGTTTTGCAAAACTATATAACGAGAGAAGATTTTTTGAAGAATAGAGGAAAATCAAATCGTGGGAGAAAATTGACACAAATTACTGATTTTTATATGAAGATTTTATCACGCATATATTCACATCAAAATTCACGGCATGCAATACGTTTAAATACGTCGAGTACGTTAACGTTGGAAAGTGTATTCAGAACATAAGAAAAATAAGAAAAACTATTATAATCTCTGATGTTCAATGAACATATAGTTTTGACAAAAGAATTGTGTGCGACTTCGGTGAATCATTGGTTGTCGAATTGCATTACTTCTTTTTCACGATTGCATTTTTACAAAATATCCCTTGAAAAACAAGAAATTGCTAATTGATTGAACGAAAGAGAGAAAGAAAGAGCGCATGAGCGAAAGAAATACAAAGTAATAATAATAAAAAAGAAATGGTGCAAGTATTTTACTACAGTGACCTGGCAGATTCCGATATTAAAATATTTTGCGATGAAACACGTATGAACAGTTCTTTTTGAGGGAATATATTGTGCAAGCTTCTTTTCTATGTCGACTTTTTGTGTAACTTAAATAATTAAAATAGAAGAAAAAACAGAGTATCATATGCAACTCGACGGAAAAAGATCCTAAAATCGATCTTAATACGCATGCACAAAAATCTGTCTGACGAGAAGTGATTCTTTTTCTTTTTTTTTTTTTTTTTTTCTTACAGTGATTCTTTATGTTCAATAATTTTAAGCAATCTACCCAGGCACGATAATTTAGATAGTTGCATTTATTTATATACATGTTTAAAAAAAATTGGTGCGATTCTCAGTTTGAAAATTTTGAGTATTTTTCGTGTGTTCGTATTTTTATTTTTACCCATTACAAGCCGGTGTTTGTCCCTGTCTATATTTTGTTCCTTTTCTTTCAATTTTCTTTATTCTTATTTCTTATTCTTTTTTTTATTTTATTTTTAATTAAATAAGTTTCGACTATAGAGATCAATGTATCACATTAGATTCTTTTTTTTTTTTAAATTTATACAAATTGAGAGAGAAAAAGACAGACAGATTAAATGACAATTTCGAAGCATGATATAGAATGGAAAAACATATATAAATGTGATATATATGTTTTATAAAAAGGTCGATCTCGCAAGAACATTTTAGTTGTATGGTGGTGGTGATGATGATGATGATGATGATGGATGGATGATGATTTGCCCATTGTAATTGTGCTGCAGTAAAAACAGAAAGGAAAGAAAACTTTTACATCAATTTATTAAAGATATAATGATTGTGAGACTGATTGATGTATTTAGGAAATAACTTTTATTTACATACAACTATTAGAGATAGGCATATATATTGTACCATTCGTGCATATATTATTAATGAAATTCTAATGATAATAATAAGAAACGACGACTGCCGCAACAAATATATCTCGTTATCGCAATGATTATATACCATATGAAATATTTGTACATACATATACATATATATTAATTTTAGACTAACACACCTAATTCCAATCATTGTACAATGGTCATAGAAGTATTAAATCGTCAATCGATTATCTCATAGTTTGTTTGTTTTATTTTTAAACGCAAACAATGGGACGGTCGATTATTAACGATTGGAAAAAAGCAAAATATGCCACCATTCACTATATATAACTTTGTAGTAAACAATTTTACTTTTAAGAAATCCATCAGTCATGCAAATTATAAAATGGTAACGATTGTACACCGCGAAATAATCATAATGATTTTTAACATTGTTCAATCCACGTTTAATTACATTTTATCTCAATTGATTTTCTTTTCTCTTTATTTATTTTTTTTTTTTGTAGGAAAATTTTTAAATTAGATATAAATTATATTTGTATGTATCATATATTTTTTTTTATTTCTTTTTTACTTTTTATGATGTATCATCAGATTTTAGAAAGAAAGAAAGAGCAAAGCAGAATCGACAAATCAGCAATCACCAATCGTGAATCAATGAATTTGTATTATATATTATATCGAGAAAGGAGAACAAGAGTAATATGTACATCTATTATATATTATATATTATATACATATATACACGTATAGAAAAGTCTGTGAGATACCAAATTTTGATAGATAAATAAATAACATAAATCGTATGTGTATATATATATACATATATAGTATACATATATGTATATATAAATATAGGACATACTTTAAAGGAATGCGCAATATCTTAAGAAATGTATCTCTTAATTTTACGTTTTTGCTTTATACAGATTTATGAGAAAAGAATCTATTATTATAATTATATCATTATTATTATTATTATTAATATTATTACTATTATTAATATTATTACTATTACTATTACTATTACTATTACGTCTTTACTGTCCTGCTGTGATGATTAGTCAGTACGACGTATTTAAACTGTTTCTTAAAAAGGTTTCAGTAAGCTGTTCGAACAATTGTAACTGAGAGTTCGCTATTGCGGGGATTCTCAAAAGTAAATCGAACGAATATAAAATTCATGATTGAAAAATTCATGAAAGATAGAAAATTAAGATATTGAAGCATTTTGCATTTGAATGTCGCAAGTTTTTTATTGGACAGTGAACTTGAGAGATTAAATCGAGCAGCTTTGTTAACCCTCCATGAAATGTCTTTATATAGAAATATAAGCTTATAGAATTAAAATATATTTGACTGAAAGAATTAGGAAGCTCTTGTATCTTATCGTAAATACTTTAGAAAAAAGAAAGAAAATTGTAAAAGTGCAATTAATACGCTGTGGTGAAAAAGTATATTTCTTTAAGACCAAGAGAATTCTAACAAAAATTGAATATCGAATGAAAGTGCAAAATGCTTACTCAAAATATTATATATGAATCCATATTAATAGTTTTTTGTAGAAATTCTTTGTATCCATGTCTTACTTAATAATAATAAAAAAAAAACAAACAAAAATATAAGAATAACAAAAATTTCTAATTTGAAGAAAATTAAAAAAAGAGCAGACACAAAATTATCATGGAAATAAATAAAAACATCAATGCGGTATCAGGAAGTTTGAGAAACCCTGCTCTACGAATAAATTTTAAGCCATTTTTCTTAAGTTCTAAAATAAAAATTCATTAATTATTTATTTTTATATGAACCAGATAGCAATACTAATGGGATATTTTCATAATTGTCTCGTAATTAGAGTGGTAAAAAGTAAGTTTTCAAGTCGCGGAATCAAAGCCAAACAAATGCGTATATGATAAAACTAACTAAACAACTAAAAAACTATATACACGCAATAACTAGATTTTATGAATGTAAAGATCGTTCCAACCTTCCTCTGGATATTTCTTTTCCCAATACAAGGATAAGTGAACGCAATAAGATTTTACAAGTTTCCATACGTACCAATAGAGAATATAAGGAGCACATGTTACTATCATTATTCTTAGATACATTAAATACATAGTAATGTTTTGTAATTTATATATATTTACATGTCTATATACATATACAATAGGTACAACTGTACATAGAGATAATGAAAATTTTTTATGTTATATCTACAATCTGGTACATATATACATATATATTTACATGCATCTTACAAAATAATGCTTATGTATATTACATATTGGATAAACATTTTTATCTATTGCGTGAGAAACGAAAACCAGAAACAACGTGTACTTATTTCAATTGTTACATATTGATTAAAATATTGAATATAAAATTCATACAACTTTTCATAAATCATTGCATTATACAAAATATACATTTTTCAATGAAGTTTAAATAACTCATAAATCCTGCAAGATCTTTAATATTAAACATTATCAATTTGATTCATTAAACTTCATAATATTTTCATGCCAGTAATAGTAATGTACGAGTATACATATTATATGTTTGCCTTTTGGCAGTTTGTTTTCTGTATTTATTATCTACCATCTACTTTTGTAATTTTGTCCATTGTATACTCAGTAAGTAGAAATAATTTCAGCAACCTTTGTACCAGCTTCTTACATTTCTCATCTCAATTTTTGAAACGCAAGTGCTTAAGAATTTTGTTTCAGTTTTTTTTTTTTTTGTGATATAGCTTTGAATCTTATCTTGTTATTTTTATTATTTTTGTGGTTATTATTACATTACTATTATATTTTTACAATGGTATATTGAAAGGTTTTAATATATAAAGATTCCTTTACATAAATCAGGTATGTATTATGTAAATCTTTCAACACTGAGGCATATAAAATCTATTTTATTTTTGTATAATATTACTTTGAATTTTGTGTTGACAATAGTACTTATTTTAACAAATCTATAACTATTCAATTACATCAAAAATACAAATTGTGCATATTCAAAATAAATACAATACATGACAAATTGTCTTTCAGTGAATAGGTAATAAATAGGAATTTGTATATATGTGTTACATTTCGTTGATTCAAAAGAATATCATCATAACATATAATTTTAAATGGTAGTACTAAATTTATTTCGAATTCTAAAGATTGATATTTCTATGTTATTTGCATTTTTTTCCAAGAAAATATTACGTGCTGACGGCGGCGTGAGAATAGTCATATTCTCATAATTACAATAAGGTTCACGATTTTCGCTCATATACCTCGTATCGTATAGTTTGTTTTTCTTCATATGACTGTCGTTTCATAGGTGAGTCTTCTGTTTTCAATTTATTTCTTAAATGATTTACAATTGTCGTTAAAACATTCTTATAAGTTTTACAACTAAATGCCGATCTTTTGTAGTGTTGCAAGTAAAGAGCTACTACATATAAAATATATTAGATCATATATTTAAAATATATCATATGTAAAATTTACGTAATTATAATGTAAATAAATTTTTCAATACTAATGTCGCATAAAAATGATAAAGCAAATATCAATTGCATATAAAAAAATGTGATCATTCGAGGTGTTATAAAAAAAATGTTAAATACGTTATATGTATTTTACAGGTTAAATATGCAAAAACAAATTCGAATGATTTCGTTATCTTCCGGTGGCGCTGAAAAAAAGAGCTCTGTTACACAAGGTCGACATTGGTGGTATTGTTCGTGACGTGAAACGAGTGTTATTTTTTTTGTTGGTTACATACTGTTGTCACAGATATACAATATGCTAGATATTTGGTTTGATATTTCTTTATAGACAAAATTTAATAATGGTAAAGCTCATCCGACCGCGTTTAATAACGTTTGATGTCACTGGTACATTGTTGATGACGAAGTTGGAACACTACATTGAAATTGGTTCTCAGCACGGCCTGTCAGTTGATCGATGCAAATTGGCGCGAAGTTTCAAAAATAGTATTCATAAACTTAGTCTAGAACATCCTATTTACGGCAAACACACTGGCATCGGATGGGAAAATTGGTGGAGGCAAATAGTTTATAATGTTTTCAAGGATCAACACAATTACGTTCCGGATGCTACTTTGGATAAGGTGATAAAAATTATCACGATGCTAGGAACTTACATTTTACTATGACATAAATAAAATTTTTCATATTAAATTTGTAGTAAATAGTCATTTATATATACTATGTTGCAAAAATATTAGTCGTATCTCACAACTAAAAGATATTATTTATCGTGAATGAGATCAGTACTTTTAAAAATTAATTAAGTTTGACAACCTTTCCATATTTTAAATGAATAGAAATCATTCCTTTATCGTTGTCTTACACAAATTTTGTTACAAGTTTGCATTTCAATTCTCTAATTAATGAAAAAAAAATTATATTTTATGAGGGAACTATTAACGAAAAGAGAAAGACCTCTCAAACTCATACCTATCATTGATGACCTTTTTTTTATCATTATGACCCATAGGTTGCTAACAGTTTGATAAAATCCTATAGCACTAGTACGTGCTGGCACAAGTATCCAGGCACGATCGAGTTACTGGAGTATCTTCGAAAAAAGAACCTGATTTTAGGGGTAATATCGAATTTCGACGAGAGATTGGAATCGATACTTGAGGATACGAAGATACGTTTTTATTTTTCTTTTGTTTTAACATCCTACGATTTCGGCGTGGAGAAACCGGATACTCTGATATTCGACGAGGCACTCAAATTAACAAAGGAACGACATAGTATCGATATAAGTCCCCAAGAAGCGATACATATTGGCGATTCTATCAGTTGTGACTATATTGGAGCAAAAAACGCAAATTGGAATGCAATTCTCATTCGACATGATAGCGATAGTAAGAATGAAGAAAAAGTCTCTACGCAGGACATGTTTACGAATCTTCAAGATTTAAAGCTACATCTTTCTACATTTTTTAGATAGAAACATATAGCATATGTAATTTAACGAAAATTAAAATATCTTAATCATCAAGAAATTAGGCGCTTCAAAATTTTACTTAGGACAAAATAAATAATAGAAAAAATTAAGTGCCGAATAGAAGATCGATAAAAGAAATTTTTATATCGTAGATTTTACAAAATCCAAATTATTATAGAGTTCGTTGTTAAATTGTAACATAAAATCGATAACTATATCATATGCTTACATCGTAATGTATTTTTTAAGATCATACACGTTTAAGTTATACATTAAACATGTCAGATTATGATAATAGCTTAAAATAACAGAAGTGATAATTCTGATGCCATATATTTTTGTTTTATGTATATATAAATGTTAATAATATCTTACGATATTGACTGAACTAAACAAAAGAGTAGTAATTATCTCTAGGTCTAAAATGATTTTAAAGAAACACATTTTATTATGTAATATATTTATATTTTTATATGAACATGATTTTTAAATGTATAACTTTCTATTTTTAAATGTATAACTCGTTATCATTTTCATTCAAAATATTAAACTTGTATATCTATTTGTATTCATTTATAAATGAACTAAACTTCTATCAATCAAACCACATTATTAATAATTAAATAACTCTTGATTTAAGAACTACAATAATGTATGGGTGGACTTATATCTCTTCTCATTTCCTAGTAGAAAGATAATTGTCTTATAGTCAGCATTCTTCAAATAATGAGCATTGAATTATAAATAGTGCATAATTCTTTATATATATGAGAAATATTTATCATTATACATTTCATTTGATATCAACTTAATAACTAAACAGATTTATTTTTATTTTTATCCTCAATATATTAATTATCATAATATTAACTACAAATTCTTAATGGGATTCTACATTTCTGTATGTCTTACTCAAAAAAATTAAAAACTCTGTAAACTGAAATATACTCTAGTGGAACATTGATAGCGGTAGGAAGAAGTCATTTCCTGAATAATCTATTTTTCACTTCCGTCCTAGCAAGATATGAATTACTCGTCACGAGCTTTAATAAAATAATCTGTCATTCTCATTTCAGTTAATAAAAATAAAAAATGTTTTATAAATCAAATAAAACGATCTCAATAAAAAAAATTCGAATAAATATAAACAAACACGATGATATTTATAGAATGTACATTTTCCAAATTCTTAAAAATATTTTTCCAATTTAATAATTTTAATCCAGAAAGACATTACCAATTTGTTATTGTACAGTTGTATCCATTATCAATAATATTAAAATGCGAAATATAATCCTAATGATTTGAACGTTACATTTCTCTTAGTCTGCACTTTCTACGAGGAGTGGCGGCGTGTTACCACCACGAACACTCGACATGTTCGACTTCCCACAGCCTCACTCACAGACTCCCTCTCCTTCAGTTTCTCGCTAAGCTGTTGCATGGAGAGAGGCTTTCTTCATGGTTTTTCAATCTTTCGTCGGTCGAAGAGGTTAGAATATGAGAATTCATTCCTCTGTTTTAAAAATTCGCGATACCTACGTGATACCTACATAAGCAGTGAACACATCACAGTCAATTTGTGATTTACGTACATGGAATTGTGAATGTCAAAATTTTACTGTTGCTTCAGTAAAAGATTAGTAAAGACAGTAGATTATCTTTTCCCTTTTTTTTGATCAATATTTTATTTTATATTTTAAGAGAGTTGTGCAAATATACAAATTGACAGTTTAACTTTTTAGTTGCAATTTATAAATGTTTATTCGAATTGAAGTTCCTGATTCGTGCGCGGAATTGTGTATTCGTAAAGAACATTCGTATTTATAAGATTTTAAGTAGGTAGTAAAAAAGAATAGATTTTAGTGAACGAATCGTTGAACATAATTTCTCAATTTTTCAGATTTTTGAACAGTGAAAAGTGGAGTTAGATTTTATTCAAACAAACGCCATCTGTGTGATATTACCGAAGTATTTTTAATTTGAATTAAAAATTATTCGGATCGCTGATGATTTTATTTTTTTTATATTTTATGTCTATCTATTTGTATTTCAATACATTAAAAATAGTTTTCACTTCATGTGGTAAATTTTTCGCGAGCATTAATCAAACGATGTAATTTTTATTTTTAAGTTGCATTTTTTTATGATTAAACCTGAATCGAAAAATTCGCGAGAACAGAATATAGAATCTTCTGCTTAAATTTTTATAAATTTAGAATGTAACGTGTAAAATCACTTTTAGTTTTCAACTTTTACAAATGTTATATATAATATCTCTTTTTTTTTTTTTTTTTGTATCAAATTCAATGAATTAAAATTAATGATTAGGTAGATAAGAAGGCGAGAACCGTTGGCGGAATGCGATCTCGGCAATAAAAAGCAAAAAAACATTATTGTCGAAGATTTTCTCGTCGATGGATTCGATCGAGGATCAGTGTTTGTTTTAATCTTCCAAAAAATTCAAGACAGTGAGGGTTTGACTGATTTACGATTTCTCTACTGAAGAAAAGTGAATCGAAATTACGAGAAAGAAAAAATTTATTTTTCGTAGAAAAATAAAAAAAATTGAAACATGACCAGAGGAAGACACAAGAAGATGTTAATGTTATTTGCAATCTGCTTGGTGACGGTATTCGCAGAGCCTGAATCTTCACCAGACGAACTGTACAGCCGATTTCCAAAAAATCGGGATGAAGACAAATGTTACGATGACAATGGAAGACCACAGGTTCGTACTTTCGTTCATATTATTTATTATATTTAAAAAAATTTGAAACAACAGTGCAAATAAATATCATTAATCAAAAGCTAATTTTTTCTGATTTTTCAAATGTAAATGTAAAATCAATTTTTCTTGTGATTTTCAAATATATAATTTTGTGAAAATTTGTAATGCAAAAAGAAAACAATTTAATTGATGTTAATTTATTATGCATTTCTGATTTGTTACACAGCATGTAGTAGCTGATCTAAGTTATTCGATAAGCATAAATCATTTTTCACGGTTGTACTATTCTAAGAATATAAATACGAACTGCTGTTTGTTCTTAGTCACCAGAATTTTAGTTTTTAGAGGATATTTCTACATTAGGTTATCACGACGAAGGTTCGAAGTTATATAAACTTTCGACGATAACTAGAGAGATAAAGTTAAATATATAGGCGCTCTAAGTATGAAAGGATTTAAAAAATTCTGAAATAATTATTTTCTTGTATTTCATTTTCATTGTATTTACTGTTAGGAAAAATTCAAAATTTTCGTAAAATTCCTTTATTAAAATAACTTTACAAGAATTTTGTAGGAAATGTAGTAGGAACTACCTAGGACAGAACTATAATGAACATTAACATCCTAAAAAGTTTTGTCCGCTGTTGTACTTATTAGTATTAAGAAATTTATACTTTAAAATCTTTTTCCAAGGAGACTAGTCTAAAAAAAAAAGAAATGAAAAGAAACAATGAGAAACAATACAAAAGATATAAATTACAAAACAGAAAGATTTTTTTAAGTTTTTCAATAAAAAGTTCGCGATTCTATTTATTTGAAATGCTTGTGTTATAGAGGTGTATACCACCTTTTGAGAATGCGGCATTCAATGTGCTTATGGAAGCAACGAACACCTGTGGCCAAGATCGGCCAACAGAATTTTGCAAACAGACTGGCGTCCAAAAGAAATCTTGCGAGATATGTCGATACGGTGATCACGAGGCTTTGTTTCTTACTGATCATGACAATAACGACAACGCAACTTCGTGGCAGTCGGAAACAATGTACGAGGGTATCGAATATCCAAACCAAGTTAATCTCACGCTACATTTAGGTATGACCTGGAAAATGTTACATTTATATTTTAATTGCAATAAAATTCCATTTGTTCAAACTCGTCGTAGAAATTCGCTTGAACAAATAGAGTTTTAAATAAATGGATTTCATTGTACTATCGTAATAAAGCGAGCGTTTTGTTTCACTCGAATTCGTCCGCGATGTATCGAGTATCGTGGTTTTAATTCAAATGGTGACTGTGGTTTGGGGCACTTTAACCGAGATTTGTTGTTCGTCGTGGAATTATAGTAGATAATGTCGATGAATCTTACACCATAGATAAAGAAAGAGAGTTCATTCATCGGTTTTCGCGATGAACTCTTAACACGTCCTCAATATTTGTCGCTCTCCTTCTCCCCCTTCTACTCTTTTTTTTCCATTTCACGCTCTTATCTATCAGGATGCGTGTGCGATGAGATAATTCTCGGAACTGCGAACCGGTGGAGAAATGTATAAGCTAGCATTCATTCTTGTATTAATATTTTATTTTCTATGTTTCTCTCCTCCAGCTGTCATTTATTCGTCGTAGCAAAATCTCGCAGAATTTTTTCTAAAAACTTTGAGAATCGTTCTCAAAACATATCGTAGGATTGAAATTATACAAATATGAAACGTGCAATAATTTATTATTGAAACTAGAGATTGCAACGTGTGAAACTTCACGCTAATGTTGCAAACTTCCCCTGATAGATTGGATTGTAAGATATTCTTTGGAACTCCTCGAATGATACTATACTTTCTTTTATTGAAAATTGCCAGTATCATAAATTTCGAACGGTGTTCATCGTGAAATAGTTCCATCGTACGTGTGTGAGCTAGTTTCAACAGCCTTGAGAATCCGGATAACAGTGGAAGCTTCTTAAAAATATGAAGAGCATAGAATCTTTGCCTGTGCACCACATGTTCATTTACGAAAGAATCAGCCACTTACATCCCGCTGGCTTTATAGTGAAGAATTACAATGGCGTAGAATCCCTTTATTTCATAATAATTTCGATATTTCGTTCTCCTCTCACGTGACACTTATTTGTAATTACGTATTATGTAGCAATAAGTGTTTGCGTGTATTTTTTTTTAAATTTTCCTTGTTTTTATTATATAGTGTTCTTAAATAATTATAGGCAAAACGTTCGATATAACTTACGTTCGAGTGCTTTTCGAGTCGCCGCGTCCGGAAAGCTGGGGTATCTACAAGAGGAGAAACGAGAAATCGTCATGGGAGCCTTATCAATTCTATTCCGCGACTTGTAGAGATACCTACGACTTACCCGATTTAAAGGAAACGGTAGGAGGCGACGATACCAGAGTATTGTGTACTTCCGACTATTCCGATATATCGCCATTGACAAAGGGTACTGTTGCATTCTCCACATTAGAAGGTCGGCCTTCGGCGTACAATTTTGAAGCTAATCCAGCATTGCAGGTACAGTTTTCGCTTCATAAATTAAACAAATCACGTTTCATTCGTGAGTGATTCTTTTCAATAAAAAAATCATAAAAAGATACAGGCAAAGAAAGGAGTTGCGCAAGAAAATGATTATTTTAAAATGATACGTGTATCTTAGGAATGGGTACAAGCAACAGATTTGAGGATTACTCTGGATAGATTAAACACCTTCGGAGACGAAGTTTTTGGCGATGATCATGTACTAAAGTCCTACTACTATGCGATCGCTGACGTCGCCGTTGGAGCACGTTGTGCTTGCAATGGCCACGCTGGAGAATGTGTAAACAGTACCAGCGTGGATGGAAAAACTCGCAGAGTATGTAGGTAAGATAATTTATAGAGATAGGTGCTCTTTTAATACTCTGTAACTGGCTAAAATTGAAATGTTGACAATACCTACAATCTAAAATGTTATTGTAAACGTGTACTCGTAATTTTTAAATTTTTTTTTGTATTATTTTGTATAGTCAAGATTAAAAAAAAAAAAAAATCAACTTTAGTTTCACTGAAAGAACAAAATTCAATTTTTTACAGATGCGAGCACAATACCGCAGGTCCAGATTGCAACGAGTGTTTGCCTTTTTATAATGATGCACCTTGGGGACGTGCCACTACTAAAGATGCACACGAATGCAAACGTATGTATTAAGTTAGTCTTGTGTAATACAATTAACAGAGAGATATCATTAAAAGTATAAGTTGTTAAAAAGCCAGGAGATACGTATCTATAAATTTACACGCGTATAAATGATGAGAGAATATCTTTGAAGAGCCTCCTAGTACGTAGGTGGGCCTCTTCAAACCTGCTATTCAAACATTTTAGAACACGATAATTATATCTCGTTACATTCTCGTTGAATATATCAATTATTATCGAAAAAGATCAGTTGAATTAACAAATGAAAATTTCTGTTGTTACATTTTCAAATTACACGTATCACTTGCATGAACTGCGACATAGATATCATTAATGATCAAAGCTTCTGTTTGTTTGAAAACAATGTACGTATGAAGATAAGGGAGAAAGATTTCTTCTGCAAGGGAGAAAGATTTCTCCGATATTCTATCACCTTCTCAAGCAGTTGAAGAGAGTTTGCGTTCACGATCACGTTGGCATTACCTAACCAGCTTTACCTTTTACGTTCATTGCTTGTTCTGAAGTGGGGACGTTGGCAATGCAGGGGCACACAATGCAGGCTTTTCTGTAGATCGCGAGCTCAGTGCTCACGATACTACGACACAAACAGATATTTATTATATCGCGTTGATTAGATCGTGGCAACTGTGCGAAGTTTTTTTTGAAAAGAAATCAAGATGATCTTGATTTTATTCAGTGCAATTAAATATACTGTTTACTATTAATATTTATATATACTGTTTACTATTATATTTAAATATACTGTTTACTATTAGTATTTATGTCATTAGTAGTATTGTATTTTAATTTATAACTTATCATTTTTGTAATTTATTGTTAAAAGGTGTTGAATATATACTATAACTTATTGAATGTTGTAATTATGTTGTATCAAGTTACTTTTACATATTTTATACATGTTGTGAATCATTGACTATGTTTATCTAAAAAAACATTCATTGAACGTGTGATTTCCAAAATGAATTTTGGATTCTGACGAAAAGTAATAATAATTTAAAAAAAAATTATTCTCCCTCTTTTTACCTGTATAAGTTATAAATTGTGTAATGGACTGTTCATCTAAAATGAAATTAATTGGGTATTTGATACTTGTAAATGTAATGATTAGCACATCATCACGGTGGGATGGAATTCTTCCGTGGTATTCAGGATCCAGTAAATATCTAGACAATGTTATTATTCATATTAAAATATGTAACATACTATTGTTTATGATATTATTCATCGTTTAGCCTATTATTTATTAAACAATTATAAAAAAGATTCATTATGTTACCTTATTTTTTTAGCTTGTAATTGCAACGGTTATTCGGAGAGATGCTTCTTCGATAAGGAACTATACAAGATTACTGGTCATGGTGGCCACTGTTTGGATTGTCGAGCCAATCGTGATGGCCCAAATTGCGAACGTTGCAGAGAAAACTATTATCAACACCCGGAAGACAATTATTGTGTCGCTTGCAATTGCAACGAAATCGGTAAATTGATATATTTTTCACTATCCTCATCTTAACATTTTTATCATTATTTGTCAATTGGTTTGAAATACATATAAAAGAGACAATCAAAATTTTAGGAATAATTTTGATGTTTTACTTTATTAAAAATATAACAAATTAATAAATGTTCGATACTGTTTTTATAGGTTCAAGAAGTTTACAATGTAACAGCGAAGGGAAATGTCAATGCAAACCTGGTGTAACCGGTGACAAGTGCGATCGTTGTGCAGCGAATTATTATAACTTTGGTTCATACGGTTGTATCTCATGCGAATGTAATCCACCCGGTTCCCTTATGAATGCACCAAACTGCGATCCTGTTAGCGGTGTTTGCATCTGTAAAGAAAATGTCGAAGGAAAGCGATGCCGAGTGTTAGTATATTTATATCATCGTTTTCTTTACAACGTTGCAAATGTGACAAACTAAGTGGCAATATCATTTTTACCATAAAATACAGATGTAAACCAGGATTTTTCAATCTTGCTACGGACAACGAATTCGGTTGTACACCGTGCTTCTGTTACGGTCATTCCTCAGTATGCAGGCCGGCGACCGGCTATTCTAAAGTTATAATCGAGAGTATGTTTGTGAGAGGAGCTGAACGATGGAGAGCTACTATCGCTGGTAACTCGATACCACTTCATTACGATCCTCTTACTCAAACGATATATGCCACGGCACTGGATCGAGATAATGTTTATTTTATTGCACCCGGTAAATATAGATACACGATAAATCTTTTTTCTTTTATAGGAATTAGAGAAAATAAAATTTGAATTACGAAAAACAAGCACAATAAAGATTTGTAGTTTCTTTGTTCTGATTTGTATTTCTTATTGATAAGGAATTTAATTAATTGCAGATAGATTCCTCGGTGATCAACGCGCATCTTATAACCAAGACTTATCATTTACACTAAGAATTGGGGAAGCTGGCCCAGCACCCACTATTCGTGATATAATACTCGAGGGAGCAAACGGAGAACAAATCACACAGCCGATTTTCGGGCAAAATAATTATTTACCTTCAGTGACAGTAAGTAAGGTAACGTAATAATCACATTAATAGGTCACTAATTATAAATGATTTCAGCCGCATGAATATCGTTTCAAATTGCACGAACATCCTAGCTACGGTTGGGAGCCTCGCCTTTCTTCTCGAGCATTCATGTCTATCTTGTCAAACTTAACAGCTATTAAAATTCGTGGCACCTATACGCATCAAGGTATCTTAATTAAAATTCGTAGATAAAAACTGTATTTATGAAGTTTCCAATGCATGTAGTTTTTTCCCTGCAGGTCGAGGATTCTTAGACGATGTTAAGTTGGAGACAGCTCTTCGTGGTGCTGCGGGTGAAACTGCCGATTGGGTGGAACATTGCCAATGTCCCCACGGTTATGTAGGCCAATTTTGTGAATCCTGTGCACCTGGATTCCATCACGATCCACCGAACGGTGGTCCTTTTGCACTTTGCGTCCCTTGTAATTGCAACAATCATGCAGATATTTGCGAAGCTGAAACTGGTATTTTCTTCTGGAGTGAATTTATAGTAAAAGGATTAATACGAAAATTTAATCTTCCGATTTGTTTTAGGACAATGTATTTGCGAACATAATACGGCCGGTAGTAATTGTGAATTGTGCAAACGTGGATATTACGGTCACCCATTAAAGGGTACATCTGATGATTGCAAACCATGTCCCTGTCCTGACAATGGACCTTGTATACTGCTTGGCAATAATCCAGATCCAATTTGTTCCGAGTGTCCACTGGGTAGAACAGGTAAAAAATATTTTTGAAGAAAAATCTCTAAATAGTTCTATTATTCTATTATTTTTTTCATTTTAGGACCTAGATGTGAAACATGTTCGGATGGCTACTTTGGAAATCCTGAAAAGGGTATAGCTTGCAGACCTTGCGATTGTAACAATAACATCGACTTAAACGCTGTAAGGAATTGCAATCATGAAACTGGTGAATGTTTGAAGTGTGTAAACAACACTGCTGGTTTTCATTGCGAAGAATGTCTTTCAGGTAAGTAATATATAACTTTCTAACATTTCACGCCCTTTTTCGAAACTGTAAACGACAATATTCATAATGCACATTTAACAGGTTATTACGGAGACGCATTGTCTGATCGTAAAGAAGATGGATGTAAATTATGTCAGTGTTTCCCGCCAGGCACAGTTGAACTCAACGATGGTAGAGTAGCACCTTGTGAACAATTAACAGGACATTGTACTTGCAAGCCTCACGTAACCGGTCGAAATTGTGATAAATGTGAAGAAGGATATTATCATATACTTAGTGGAGAGGTATTTCAAATTATTACAATAAATAAGTAAGTTAAATGATTATATAAGTATATTTTAGGGATGCGTGCCTTGCAATTGTGATACTGAAGGATCCTACAATCGTACTTGCAATCCTGTTACTGGTCAATGTGAATGCAGACCTGGTATTACTGGGCAACATTGTGATGTATGCGTTTCTTATCAATACGGATTCAGCAGGGAAGGTTGTAAGCCTTGTGATTGTGACAATATTGGCTCTCAAGACTTGCAGTGTGACGCTAGTGGACAATGTCCGGTACATTTATGAAATATATGCTATATTATGCAATGCTATACAATGAAAAGTTTAATTTATACAGATTAATTAGAATAATTATTGCTGTATTATAGTGCTTCCCCAATGTAGAAGGAAGACGCTGTGATCGTTGTAAAGAAAACAAACATAATAGACAAAATGGATGCGTCGATTGTCCTGATTGTTATAATCTTGTTCAAGCTGCGGCTAATAGCCATAGGGAACGTTTAGCAGAGTTAGAAAATACGCTTAAAAAAATTAACAGCAGCCCGACAGTTATAAAAGATTCGGACTTCGAGAAAGAATTGAAAAACGTGCAGGATAAAGTAAAAAATCTTTTACAAATTGCTAAACAAGGCTCTGGCAGTAAGTGTAATTTGTTCAATATATCAATTCATATTTTTTAAATGGAATTAAAAAAATAAAAAAATGTTTCAGGTGAAAATAAAACTTTGGTGGAACAGCTTGACGAATTACGTGATCAGTTGAATGAAATTGAAGAAATTGCACAAACTGTAAATCTGACTGCTTTCGACGCACATAAAACTACTTCAGAGGGTTTGATGAACATTGACGAAGCAGAAAAAGTGCTGGATAAGATACACGCTCAATTGACTGTAAGAATAATATTGATACGATTTTGTGAAATTAAATTCACGAAGATACATGTTTAAATCAAATTTTACACTTGCTAGGATACAGAAGATTATTTAGCCACAGACGGAGCAACTGCATTGTCAAAAGCGAAATCACGTGCAGATCAAGTTGGTCAGCAGAATATACAAATGACTTCAATCGCGCAGGACGCGCGTCTGTTCGCCGAATTGTAAGTAATTTGATCTTATAAATCTTTTCGTATTTTTTCATAATCAATATCTATCGTTTACAGAAATGTTAATGAAGCAAAAAAAATTCATGCACTAGCAGAACAAGCTCGAAATACAACAATAGAAGCTTATAGTCTTGCAAAAAAAGCTATAGCAAAATATTCTAACATGACGTACGTACTTATTTATTAACTGATATTTATATTGACTGTTTCCAAGATCATTTTATCCGTATTACATTTCCTTTAAAATTTATTTTGTATTTAGTGATGATATTAGAGGATTAGAAAATAAATTGGAGTTGTTAGAACATCGCATGAATGAGGTGAAAAATCTTACCAGCATAGCAGCCACTAAATCAACCGCTGTTTCACAAGAAGCAATAGATTTATTGATTCTCGATTTAGCACTTCCACCTGTTGACATTGAACAATTGAGAAATCAAGTTGAAGACGTAAATAATGAGGTAAATTTAAACTATTACAAATATTATTATTTACGAAAAATAATCCAAATATCTATAGTAAAATATATTGTAGGGATTACGATTGAAAGAACAAGCACAATTGCTGTTAGATCAGAATGAAAATTTTATAAATGAAATAGTAGAAAAAATAAAAAAAAGCGACGAGTTAATAGAACGAGCACAAGATCAACAAGCGGCTACTGCTGAACTTTTAGCCGAACTGGATAAAGCAAATGAAAAAGTGGATGATGCTGTCAAACGGGGAGATCAGACTTTAAAAGAAGCTCAGGAAACATTACAGAAATTGAGCGGTATACATTATATCAATTACTTTTATTAATAATAAATTTCCTCCATCAAAAAGAGGAAATGAATATATTTCTCAATTATAATATTATTTTTAGAATTTCATGCTGAAGTAGAGAGGGAACGTGTAAAAGCTCAAGATGCTCTAAAGAACATAAAAGACATTGAATCGTTAATCATGGATGCCACGAAGAAAGCTTTACAAGCTGAAAATATATTAAATGGTTCTGAAGATAAAGCCGAACGTGCACGTAAGATAGCGCAAGATGCTCAGGTTAGTGTAATTTATTTCATGTGTATAATAAAATATAATTTATTATATGTTTAATATAAAATATGTGTACATTAGGCATATGCGGAAAAGGCTAGTGCGAAAGCGAACACTATTAGAACTGAAGCAAATAAAACTAAAATAATAGCGCTTCGTGTAGGAAATGAAGCTGAAAAATTACATCAAAGAGTTGATATCACAGATTCAATGATGAAGGAATACGAAAGTCAAAGTAGTCAGGATACTAATATTACAAATGAAGTAAGATTTTAGTTGTACCTGATATTTTTTGTAATAACTATATAGTAATATAACTATTATGTTGTAATAATATAATTATTGTAATTTAATCATTTTTAGGTGAATCACAAAGTTGGTTTAGCTAAAAGTAACGTAACATTAGCGTCACAACAAGTCGACAAAGCTCTAGATGAAGTAGCTAAAATAATAAAAGAACTTGAAAATTTACCGGAAATTGGTATGTTTTGTACTTTCATAATTTTTTATTTTCTTCTTTTCAATTTAAATTCGTTATTCAAGACTGTACATATCAGTATTTAAAACTCTATTTATTTAAAATTTTATATTTTAGATGATTCTTATTTAAATCCATTAGAAGAACGCTTAGCTGCAGCTGAAAAAGAAATCATAGCTGCAAATCTAGATCAAAGAATTCGTAATTTAACGGATGCAAAAAATTTACAAACACAGTGGGTAAAGAATTATGAAGATGAAGTTAGTAGACTAAGAATGGAGGTTGATAACATTGATGATATAAGAAAAGTTTTGCCTACTGTTTGCAACAAACGTTTACGGCTCGAACCCTAAACCATATTATAAAGTTAAGTACAATCATTTCATTTCATAGCGCTAGAAGTGCCTTATATTCACTGAAAAAAAAAGATTTTAAAAAATAAGAATCGCATAAACATATGTTCGAAATAATAACTGGAAAATTAATTATATATCTAAATCCAAAATATATATTGTATATTATAAGAATTACGAAGTATATTTTGATCATCAACTTATGGTAAAATTAAATACTTTACGAGCAGGATGATATCTGTATATTTACACTTAAATTTTATTTAACATTTCATTTATAATGTGATCTTGCATTTTTTTCTTGATTAATGTTATATATACAAGCGACTAAAGTAATGGTCATACCAAAGATTTTATATAGTAGACATGTCTTCCTATCATTACCAGGCCACTTGCATTATTCAATTTATTCAACATTTTTGTAATACAACTTATTTGTACGTATGTACAAACATGTATATAGTATCTATATACAATCATTTTATTGTAATTGCCATATTTTTAAGCCTCCTTTTAAGTTCGAAGAAAGCTTCAAAAGTTTCTTCGAAAGAAGACAATTATTTTAATTTTTAATGTGCAAAATTGAATGTAGTACATTGTATATCTTATTTATGGAATGTCAAAGACCAGAGAAACATTTTTAGAATCGAAAGGAGAACAGAAATTCAAATGTATTTTACAATATGTATCATCATATAACATTTTTATATGTAATGTAACATTTTTATAAAAATATTGATACATATCTAATATGAATAAAAAATAAACAATCGTCGGAGAATATCTGATGTCATGTATTAATATATCATCTACCAAAACCTAAAAAATAAGATAAAAAAGATACTTACGTTTGTGAAACATCGTGAAATATCGAAATCGATATAATGTACGTATATAAAATATATGAATATTTTAATTTAACTATTACCTGCATTTGGGAAAGGGAATTCATAAAGACCCTATCAAAAATAATAACTGTAAATATTTATTATAATAGATAATAGAATATCGCTATTAATAATTCATTATTAAACAGAATGTAACGCATTCGACTAAATGCTATGAAGAAGAACCAATAAATTCTTAAGAAAACTAAGAAATTAAATGATTCACTTAATTATAAATAAAATTATTAGAAACACCAATATAGCAGTCAACACTCCAATGGCTACCCATTGTCTCCGATCTAAAACAAACGGAAAGTAACATCACATGCGTCACTTATAAAAAAAGTAGTCAGAATCAAAAGATTTTATCATCATTCATTGAATGACGGTAAAATTAAATGAGTCATATATGGCATATTATATAAGAAAAATTAATAATTGTGTATTTGGCCCTTCTTCAGACAGTAAATATTATGTATTATTTTCAACATGCACTCTTTAACAAGCATTTCATAATAGTACTAATTTTTTATATTGGTACCCTGCACTCAAATACTAAGTTTGGTAAGCATCAAGGTATTAAGAAAACAATATATATTATAGGATATAAGAAAAAGATTTAATTTTTTATACATTTTAAAAGATATTTGTCATATTCATTACATGCTTTAATAATATTGAGAGTGCAAAGAATCAATATCGTAAACTAATTTAGCAATTTAAATAATTTCTAAAGCTACATTTTGAATTTATCTTGTTTATATATGACAAGCAGTAATTGTAACAATTATTAAATTACAAAAGCACCAAAATAATTCTTATATTCATCTTTTAGAAATTTCACAAACATATGAATCAAAATTATTGTCGCATAAACGTATAAAAGCAAAAATTAGAAAAGAATGACATATCAATAACACTTACATTTATAAACATATTTTAAGTGAAAAGAATCATATTCCATGATTGAGAGATTTTATATTGATTCTATAAATATTGCAGAAACTAGATGTTACTGAAAATTTCTTTCAATAAAAATTATTCATTACTATCTCTCAAGCACAGAATTCAATTTATAACAAATTCTTTATATAATACTGTTGTAATTATTGCTTGAATGGATAGGAGTTTGTGGTACTTTGCAGTAACTTGTACAGTATAAATAAAGTCTTAAATTTTATTTATCAATATGTCTTCACAATTGGTCATTTATGTGAAATAATAAAGTATAATTGTTTCTTTTAGTTTTTAAATACAAACTAGAATAAACAATTTCTCTTTTATATATGAACTCACAACATTATATTATCAACACTGTTCTAACAATGAATAAACGATTTAGTTTCTAATTTTTAACTCATTTTATTACTTGTTTTCTTAAAATGGAGAAGAACTTCAGATTATCTACAGTCACTAAATTTCATAGTACTTATGAACGATTTCATTCGCATTGAGAAACGATTAACAATCACCATACGTACAAATAATTGTTTTTACATTTTTTCTTCTTTCCCTTCAACATTTCTCTTTTAAACTTTATATTTTCATTTACATTTGTTACACACTGACTGGTATTTTCACAATATCATATGAATATTACTGGATTCTAAACTATTTTCGTCTATGCTTTAATCAATATATTAATATCACATGTTGTATACATTGGAAGTAGAAGTATCAGAAGTTTTAAAACATATTGGAAATATTTCTCTAATAGTATATCTATAGTGTATCTGTCTATAAATCTATGACGTTAAAATTTTTTCAGGCACAAATTACTTGTGCTACTTTTTTTTACTTTGATACACGCCCTGAAATATTTGGCAATATCTTAAAATTCGTCTAATTATTTAGTGTTCTTTTAAATTTCTATATATTGAAATATTTATATACAATTCATTGATTTATTTATAATTTTTTGATATAACTTTTTTTAAATGTTATTGAATTTCATGCTACTGTTTAGTGTCTATTGCACTATGTAAATAATAATTACTTGAACTGTACTGTTTTAAAATATTATAACTATTATTTTGAAATTGCAACTGGTCCATTTTAATACTACATTTTTAGCAATTACTAAATTTAAATATACACAACTCTTTTATAGTTTATAAATGTTCTAAATATTTTATATACATAGATTTTCAACAATTGTTTATATTAAAAAATTAATTTTCTTTGTTTTTATTTATTTCTGTTACAATAAGAATAAAAGTAAATATAACATTTAAAAAATACTAAATTTGAATATATCATATAGAAAAAGCATAAAAATCATGAAAAGATGAGTATTAAAATATAAATTTTAAATTTTTATAAAAAGTAAAAAAATTAACAAAATAATAGAAAAACATTTTATAGTTTGGGTAGTGATTGTTACTAAGTGTCAATCAATTTTTACTTTTATTTTAGGTTTATAAAGTGTTTTAATTTCTTATTAATACTTTGCTAAAACTTTAATTATTTGAGAAATAATAAATAATTTGCTTTGTTACAGACAATTTTATTTATGAATAATAAAATTAAAGAATATGAAATAAACATTTCACTTTATAATGTATGAATCAACAATGAAAAAATAAATTTATTTTCACTTACTGTTTATTGATTTCTTGCTTTAAAGTAACTTCGATTTAATGAGACTTCTACTCTCCACTAAATAACTTTTTCTGAATAATCATATATCACTTTATAATCCTACATATATTTAATAAGAATTAAATGATTAAAAATAGGTGCAATAGTGCTAGATATCAGTTTAAATTAATGGAAAGAGTGTATAGGAAATGACTTATTCATGGATAATCGCAATATGCAATGTTATTGTAAAGACAAAATAGATTATTAGATTCATTACACAATTCCATAATTTTTCAGTAAATGTTAAAAATGAATTTTGTATTATATAAAAACTATGTATCAATAAAGCCAAATTAATGTTTTAAATAAATTTGAACAAAAAGAAGATTAAGCAAAGAAATACAGTTTATAATATTACTGAATAATTATGGTAAAATTATAGTAAAAATATTAATTTAATCTCCAGAACATAAGAAACAATTAGTTATTGTATTTGATAAGGATGATAGAGAAGAAGGTTTAGAGGCAAGATCAGAAACACTAGATGTTGCAGTAGTAGGAGCAGGAATGTAATTATTATAATTACCATTACTCATATGAAGAACTTTGGCCATTTTTTTCATTGTTGCATCGAGTTTAGAATCCGTCACCTCTAACTCATTACCAAATTCATCTAGCATACTGAAATGATTAAAACTATCTTTATCTGAACAGTAATTTTATTAACAACAACAAATTAATAGTACTAATTAAAAACTCACACTGCTTGTTCATCTAATTCAGTATTAATTTGTCTGGATACTGTTTTAAGCGTTCCAATGCTTTCACCTATCATATCTAGTTGTTCATCTTGTTGCCTCATCATATCATTTTGTTGTTGTAACGTGTCACTTAAAAACTGTCTATTTGGACTATCAATTTCATTTTCCAATTTACTGTACTTTGTTGTGCCATGATTGACAGGAACTCGCGCGGGACTGTTATCTAAAAGTGGCTGTGACAAATAAAAAATTATAAATATACAAATTGTTAAATCAAAAGAATAATACATAAATATAATCATACATATGTATTTATTGATATAACTTAAAAAAGATGTAAATTATTGTAAATGTTTGATGTATCATTTGATAAATACACTATTTAAATTATTACATTGTAAAAATTGTCTTATTTTATGAATTACGGTAATAATATTAAATACTGATTTACCGTATAAACCATTTTCACATTTCTGTAATTAGTAGTATTTTATTTGTAAATCCATAAGAAATCGTTAAGAGAAACAAACAAGTAAATTTAATAATCACTATCAATATTATCGACAAAATTTGACAGTTCCACATAGGTGTCGCAATGTGTACGATAGTAATTTGCGAGCGAAATTTGAACATATAGAAGACAGTACATTTATATCATTCCTTATTTTCAGTTTCATTTATAAATTTAAACATATTACAACTAACTATGCTACAAAACGTAAATATAAAAGAGAAAATATGAATTAGTTTTATTTAAATATTTAAATAATAAACATAATTATAATTAAGTAACTCTATACACATTAAGCAACATAAAATAATCACATTATGTCTTATATTTTTTGTGATATTTTTCGTCATCGCTTTTATTGATACTTCTATTGAATGTTTCTGAAAATCACAACAACCAATTATGGAAATTAATAAAGTAAATTCAACAAACCTGCCGTGCTGTATTATCCCGATCCCGACCTCTACTCAAATTCATTTTATCCTTCATGATCTGGAACAAATTAGTAAGATCAATAAGATCGATGAATATATTTTTTTTTTAAAGATGTGAAATTAAACTAGCAATATTACTTTAACTTCTTCTCGCGTTTGTTCAATAAAACTTCGTTGAACCGTCAGCTCCTTATTATCTATTTTAAACTTTGTCGGATTTTTTTCTACGATACGTACATATATATATATATATACGGTATATTAAGGGAAATTCATAATACTGATATAAGAATGTAAAATTTAAGAAAGAACATTTCTTACATTAATTATATATAAATTTTAATGAATGCACAACGATTGTATAAATCAAATATATATGTTATCTATTCATACATTGTTTCAGTATTAAAATGTCATATATTTCGAAAGTTATGGATATATATAAAAAAGGATATAGATCGTATCCTCTAGATCATCAAGATCCCATTCGATTGAGCGTAAGGCTTTCCGCAATTCGGTAGTAGTCCACTCTAATTCGTCACGTGAAATTGGGATTCCCCCACTCACGGTAGAACTCGTGACAACAACATCCTGCAATTCCGTCCAGCGTCCGTATAAACCGCGGTTCTTATTTAAGGCCTTACAAACTTCGCTATAAAACAAACGATAGATATTATTTGTATAATAAATTACAAGATTAACGAATGAAATAATTAAATATACTACATACATAAAGAAATTAGGTAAAATAATATATAATTGATCATGCTAAAATTGTCACTTCACTTTCTTTTTATTCATTTTATACACGTACCAATATATTAGAATGAGTAATGACGATTCAAATATTTTTTAATAAAAATAGTAAGGAATGCGAAGAAATGTCTATTAATACATTTCGTGAAATTTTATGATTTCTATAAACTTTCCTACACGATATGAACAAAAACAATGATTTTCATCTAAAACATTAAGAAAAAAATTCAACGTTATTTTTGATAAAAATAACGAGCCTTGAAAATATTCAGCGAGCAAAATAATATATAAAAATTAAGATTACAAGAGAGATATTTGTAATGTGTGTGTATTAGGATAAAAAACAGAATAAACGGATTATCGTGAAATATTTGTCAGCAAGAATTGCAACGACTAGAAATCACTCAGAAACATCAAAAGTAATGTTTCTTTGTAATTTAGCTTAGCGACTATTCTTAAAGGGTTGACGTATATATGTATATAACATCAATGTCACAAAAGGGACAACAAAAATTCGAAAACTTGACAATTGTACCAGTCTCACGGAACTCGTATCGATTTGTTATTGATAATTCTAAACATTAAAAGAAACAATTTATTTATAATGATTTCGTGTAACAGGAGGTAATTTTTTTACTTACTCCTTGACGACAAAGAACGGATTCTCCAGCGTCATTCCTCCTTTTAATTTAAAGAGGTGGCCTTTCTCGCCGCCTCACGGCACCCACAGGAATACGTATGCGCGATTTGCCGATCATCGGTAGAAATTCCAAACGATCTTTACAGAATTACCGGTACTCGGATGAACGATGACAATAATCAAAATTGACACTTGCTCGCGCTTCACTGTTATGATACCACGACGTCGTCGTGTATTGTGACGTCTGCTTTCAGTCTTCCTGCAGACGACTATTTATTCGATTTTAACGTTCGTGCGCAAACACGCCTCTCTAACAGCCACTGTAATATTGATTTCGTGATGAAATTCCTAAAGTGTAGTTCACAGTCACTTGATGTAAGACTGACTAATAATCGAAATAACGATAAAATATGGATAATAAATATTAAAGTTTAATATTTGATTGCATTATAAATTAAACTTTGTAATAATGCACGAGGCCTGTAATGTTTCTTATTGTTTTTTTAAAAACGTTTCGTTATATGGCAATACTTGCTCATCTATATTCGCAGATTAAAACTTGCGCAGAATTATTTCGCGCCAATTTTTTGAAAACATTGTATCGTATAATATAAACTTAACATTTGTTATTATACTCGAATCTAAGTTTACCTTAAACATGATATGAAAATTGCTATAACTTACCATTTGTAATAATAAATTATGCAAGTTCTAGTTTTTAATTAGTTATATGAATAATAAGTTCAAAAAATTGTACGTGCTGCATTTTTAAAGTAATTTAAATTAGTGAAACAAATAAGAACGGTCCGATTTAGTTAATAATATAAATAATTTTTTCTATATATTTATATACAAAACATGTCTAGATAAACGTGTATATGTAAATTTTTGATTATCCTATATAATTTACGTTTTTAAGTTGGGTTGATTGCGTTGTTGACACATTTCGCGGCAATCTTTTAAAACCCGGTAAGTGAAAGTTTTGTATTTAAAATTTTGTGCATAAGTGAAAAGTATTGTGTTAAAATTTTATTTCCTGAAGATATGTCATCGAGGAAAATAGCGTTTTGAGAAAACAAAATCTGTGAGTGGAAAAATTTTATATTACATTTATATAAATTTCGACTTATTCATAACCTCTTTTTTTTCAACTTGTATACATACATTGAAAGAATCTATACGTATCTAAGCATTTTCAATAACAATTTAATTTATTTATATATATTTTTACACTTTGTAAGCATAAAATTAGATTATTAAAATATATTTGTTTTACTTTTACTGACATGAAACTTGCTACCATATTTCACTGAATGCTAAAAAATATAATGTTTACAAAGCAGATATCAATATCAGTGGATATTTTTTAAAGGTTATATTCGTTAATATCATTCTACTAAACATAAATGCATATATATATTACATACTTAGTGTTCTTATAGAATTTTTTATAGTATGTATAAGGAACTATATTTAAAATATTGTATGCAGCTGTTATTGTATGTTGTTTTAAATAATTAAAATTCCAAGCAGAATTACATTTCTGGAATTGTGTTTAAGAATATTCTTGGAAATTTTTTTACCAAATATAACTGTGCAGTAAATAATTTAATAAGATTTAAGGTTTATGTATATACATATATGTATGTATATATGTACGTGTATGCCTGTTTTTATAGGCATTAAATATATATATATATATCTGAGTTAACACAATATACAATAGTACCTTTTACAAAATAAAGTCAGTTTAAACTTCAAGATATAAATAGTTAATAATAATATGCAATCAACATAGTCCGCCTTCATAGTCTTCTTCTTCGTTTTCTGCATTTTTCGAAGATGCTGCTTGTGCCTCTTCTTTCTCAACAGTATCTGTGGGCGATGTTTCAGTAGTATCTTCAGGTTCTTTAATACTCATGTTCTGAAAAGTAATGTAAATTGAAAGAAAATTGTTATGAATTCTTTTTTACATGTGATTTTATCATATAACATAAATCAAAAAATTGATTGCTTACTTGAACTTGACTTGTAGTTTCCTCCATTAATTTTGTAGCATTAGGAGATGTATATGATTCTGCTGCATTTGCTCTTACTCCTGGAGGTGGTATTGCATATTCTTGCTGTGGCAAAGGTAAACCTCTAGCAAGTTTAGCATACTCAACATCCATGTGTTTAATGAAAGGATTATTTAATGCTGCTCTTGCAGCTTCTGCATCTTCATTATCATATGCTTGTAATAACATCTCTAATGTATTAATCTGAAGATAAATAAGAATAATAAAGAATAATAAATGTAATGTATTTAATTTCAAAGTTTCAAATTTCTAAGAAGTATAGTTCAGACCTCAGGAGCTTCACAATAATTTCCCCATTCTTTGAAAGCTTTCTCAGCTGCTACTTGATCACCTCGAGCTAACTGCACTAACACTAATGCTACGGTCAATCTACCAATAGAAGGTGTATGATCTGTCTGTTGATGCATTCCAATTTCTCTGCGAATTGCATCTGCTGCTTCATCATACATTTGTAATTTTACTAATAATCTTGCTACTTTGCTCATATATTCTGCTGCCTGACGTGGACTATCTTCACCCTTCATTAAAATAAATTAAAAAGTATATATGTGATTTTCAATTACATTGTTATTAATTAGAAAAAAAGTTAATCTGACCATAACAATGTTAGCTGCACGTTTAAACAATTCTAGTGCATCTTGTGGTTGACTAGCTTCTATCATTTTGCCTGCTTTATCAAGCACAGTTGCACCTGATTCAGGTGACCCATGCATTTGATACAGAGAACAAGCACTATGTGCTAGTTTTGGTACTTCTGCAAGATTTCCCATCTCCTTACAAATTAATACAGCCTGTTCAATACTCCTGCAATTGTACATATTATAATTAATGATAACATTGTTTATAAAATATAATATTAATAATAATTTAAAGAACTTACTTTGCAGCATGAAACCATCTTTTACGTAATAAAATATGTATTAAAGAATAAATATACTTTTTATAGAAAGGGAACTTAAAGTCGTAATACATATAAATATATAAAAATTATGTCTATTTAAAAAAGGATACGATCTGTTTTCTTTATAACAATCAGCAGCTTTCATTAAGCAATCTTTACATTGTTGATAAGATTTTGCTATTCTAAAGCAAGTTGCTAAAATAAGTAGCAGAAAGTATTATTAATTCTCTATGATATTATTATGTCAATTATTGCATATATTTTACCTGCACTTGTATATTCATCGGCCGCAACTTCGAAATCAGGTCTCCATTTTAATAGTGATGTTTTTAAGCTATAACATAGATTTACTTTATTTGAATAGACGGATCAATAAAAATGAAATTATTTTTACGCTATGAAGAAATACGTATTATTGACTTCATATAAAAAAATTGACGAAAGTCAGATTAATTATTGACACAATTACTCGTGATTTGTCATTTCTGCATTGACACTACCTTTTCTCAGCTTGTCGTATATGAGCATTTCCTTCTTCGATTTTTGACATTTTCTTCCGAATGGTGTCTTGCTTTGATTTTCGTTATGTTTGCTAATTGCAATGATGAAGTTGTCAGTTTCGAAATTAGTTTTGGTATCGAATGATTCTTGTCAAACCACTGTAAAGACGACAGATTTGTTCTATACGAACTAAATGTTGTGTTAGACTAGTTTGTCAATGTATATGTCGTTCTACGATTGTATGCGAAAAAGTTTGGAGAGTTCGTATCATTTTCATGTCACTCCCAACTTTATCGATACTATACATTATGGCGAGGACATTAACGTTATTTGAAATATCTGTTTATAAATATTTATATATTATAAATATAAATGATATTAATTCATTAGTTTATTATAAGATGAAATTATTTTTTTATTGTTGAAACATATTTTAATAAAAGTAACATTAAGTATAAAGCAAACAGACATAATATATAATCTTTTTCTATTATTTCATTATATTACTAAAGGAAACAAAATATTAAATACTAAAATATAAAAAAATCAACTAATAAGTAAGCAAAAAATTAAATTTTATTAATTTTATGAAATATATTAAACATACAGTGCAATTTATAGCACTTATTTGTATTCGAAAGAATTGATAGGAAATAGATATATGTTTTATTAATATTAATATGTTTTGCATATAATGTAGTGTTTTAAGTAGTGTGCCAAATATTAACAAGGTTTATTTATTTAATTAACAACACATGTGGTTGAAGATATACTAGATTTTGCGCTTTTTATTTTGTGTGGATGGTAGTATGAGTAAAGGATCTAGATGTGATGTACTATGCGTTACATCACTTGAAAACTCAATTTGTAGTTGCAACGCTTGAAATTAGAAGTATGATTGTAAACATTATTTGTTCGAATTTAATAGCACAAATGCTGCAAAATTTCACATACCTGTGACATTTTATTGTTTCTTTTCTATGTGAATTATTACACGTGCATTATATTTTCAATTTCTGTTGAATATATATGCAGTTGAACATATTGGCGGGAAATAAGAAGAAATTGCATACCAAAATTTTTATTTTACGATTTTAGTATAAATTGATTATTAAATAGCTAGGACGTAACAAAATTTTTAGAACAAAATTTTTAGAAGGTAATTTAATTCGTAATTCTTACTGCATTTGGTTTATATTCTTCGTTTATCAACTGCATCATAACCTTATAATGTATACATGTAATTGTTTACAATGTAGTTTCTTGTAAGTAATTAAGTGTTTCATTTTTTATAGCATTTTACAATCTTAAATATTGTGTCTCTGTAGAATAAAAGTAAATCAGATGGCAGAAAGACTCGAAGATCTTAATTTGCCAAATGCAGTTGTAACAAGAATTATAAAAGAAGCATTACCAGAAGGAGTTACAATTGCCAAAGATGCTAGAACTGCAGTAGCAAAAGCATCTTCAATTTTTATATTGTATTTAACATCATCTGCAAATATAATAGCTAAGAAAGGGAATCGTAAAACAATAAGTGGTCAAGATGTTATTCAAGCAATGAATGATATTGACTTTGACCAGTTTGTTGATCCACTACAGGAATCATTAGAGAATTTCCGAAAAGCTCAAAAAGAAAAGAAAGATGCAACATCCAAAAAAAAGCAACAGAAAAAGGATGGAGATGATGTAATAGAGGAGGAGGATGGAGGAAGAGAAGTTATGGTTTTTTAATACATATTAAGTATATAAATTATAATGCATAAAAGTAAACATATATTTTACACAACTATTGTATAAGTCTATCAAATTTGTCACATGTCTCTATTTATTATTATAAAATAAAAAGTGAAATATATTAGTATAAAAGAGATTGTAATGTTTTAAATAATTCAAATATTCCTTAGATTTTCTTAAATTCTTCAAAACAAATCTTTTTAAAATTTTTTATTCATTAAGCTTAACAATATTTGCTTAAAGAGTATATATACATTGGTAAAATGTAAATTTTATTAATGAATGCTTTTAAGATACTGCATTTGAAAAGTGAATTTTTATAAAAAAATTTTCTTATATAAACTATCATTTACAAAAGCTTGCTTATTATTTTTATTTTTATTTTTTGCATTATTAACTCTTAACTACCATTATAGATTAAAATTTTAATTTTCACAATACTGTAAGGCTATTGTATTTACAGATATGTCAGTGACCATTTTATATAAAAGTGAATATTTGTAGTCAAGTGTTAATAAATGCAACTCATTCTATTCTTTCATTTTCAAATATTTAAAATATTTTCTTATTTATGTTGTAGATACAATAAAAAAGTTAGATAATTTTAATCTATCTTAAATATTATTATATATCTTGTATCTCTATAAATTATCATTATTGTATTGTTTGTATAACTAAATTTTGTTTCTAATATTTTTTTTTAATAATAATTGTAATTTTTAAAAAAATAATTTACTAAATGGAAGAAATATGTAATTTAAAAAAATTTTATTGGCTAAATTTTATACTTTTATGAAATGTTCTTTTTGTAGATGGAAATATCTAAAGTATATGGATATATATCGTTACATTCTTTTATACAAATTTTGAAATAGTAATTTGTTAACGTACTGTTAACTAATAGACAAATAATATTTAACTGGAATTGTTTACAAAAAATTCATATTTTAAGGCTTTACAATGTGAATTTTATGATCTATCACACTTCTACACATTGGACAATCTGAAGAAATCATATTTGCACAACCTGAACAGCAACAAAGGTGTCCACATGGTAGAAAAATTACTTCACACTATAATAAAAATGAAGTAAATGATTGTATAATTATATTATAAACCAAAAATTTTTCCAATAAGACAAAAATTTTGCTTACTTGTAAATCAAGGCAAATTACACATTCGGCAGTATTGATGCTCTGAGTAGCATTATATTCTTGATAGTTAGAACTTGTACAAGCTTCTTCTGGTGGTGCAGAAGGTGTTATAGGTGTTCCGGATTCATTGAGTTTTAATTCTGCTAAATAATTTTCAGCTGCAAGTTTTATAGCAGTGCGATCATTTTCACAATGTATTCCAATCTAGAATATCAAAACATAAACTATTGTAACTTATAAATTGAATGATAGTGGATAGTAAAAATGAATTGACACTTCACATACAGTTTTTAATTGTTCATCACTAAGGTCTGGAAGTAATGATGGCAAGGAAGCTAGAAATGGCAAACAGTGTAATGCGCCCGCTATTGCAACATGTCGCACTAATGTTGGCTCTAACATTTCCAATAAACCTTGAGGACGTGTTTCCATTAAAGATTGATATTGCATTAACCAAAATTGACTTTGTTTTCTAGAGTTCTTAAAAAATGAAATAATAATTTTATAAAAATTATCTCAAAAAAAAAAAAAAAAAAAAAAAAAAAAAACAGAAAAATATATAAACTCATACTTACATTAATACAACGTTGTTGTTCTATCGTATTAATTGTTTCTAGAAGTTGATCTCTTCTGTTTTTCTGTTGTTCTAACAAGTTCATTAGAATAGCACTCAAGGCTACTCTTTTTTCAGCTATTTCATTCTATTTAGTAAAATAGTAAAATGTATCTTCATAATATAGAAATGTATATATGAAAAATTTAATAGTTATGGATACATACAAGTTGCTGGTTAATTTCTAATTTTCTCCTTTCTAGTTCAATGTTCGTAAGTGCAGCTAATTGCGATTGTACCAAATTGACTTGTTGCACAATACTCCAACAACGTGCATCACTACGTTCTAGTAATGCTGCAACAGCAGCCTTCTGCAAAACTTCATCTTGTTTTAATGTGTCAATTAAATCCTGTCTTTTCTCTTCTTGATTTTGCATTATTTGTGCTAAATGATCGTTATTCCTTACTTCTCTGAAATATTTGCTAGATATTAGACATTTTTATAGCTTTATGTAAAATATTATTAGTATGTTACTAACAGTGTGAGCAAAGACTGCGCAGTATAATCTCTATACTTGCTATGTTCTTCAAACTTTCTAGTTTTATGAAGTTCTTCTTCAAGTAATTTCTCCATTGAAACTATTAAAATAGTATACATAAATACATAAATATGATATTATAAATACATAATGAAATATATACATTATTTTAAATATTAATACTCACAAAGAGTATCCTTTGTACGAAACATAAATTGTTCTGTGTGACAAGAAGATAATAATTGCATTTCTTCTTGTTTTTCTTGTTCTAATAATTCAGCCTGAGTTTGTCTTTCTTCTTCACTATTTCTTAAAAATTCTTTGATAACATTATCTGCTTCTTTTTCAGCTAAAAAAAATTTCGAGGAAAACATTTTTTTCAATTTTATTAAGAGATATTTCTTTTTATTATAGTAGAGAAATATTTCAATTATACCATTGTAAATGTAGGAAAGTAAGCGTGCTCTGTTAGAATCTTTTTCTTGTTGTACTTTTTGTAATTCATGTTGTAATTGAGTTTGCTGTAGAGCAAGATCTTCCAAAAGCTAGAAATGAAGATATTTTAAAGTAATTATAATAAGTTTAATTTTATGTGGAAATGAAAAATATTAATTGTAAATAAATAGTTCTAGTTTTAGATACCTTTTTCTTATGTTTTTTTAACATTAATTGCATCTCCATCTCATATTCTTGTTGTTGCTTGATATGCTTTTCTACTTCCAATAATGCATTTTGGCGATGTTCCTAAAATATAATTAATCTTTAAATTCTAAATAATTTTCTTTATTTAATAAAATATTACAGAAATATAGCTATTTCAAAATAACACAAGCAAATAAATATGTAAATTAATTTTTAAACACCTAATAAGTATTATTTATATTTTATAAATAAAAATCTCACAATAAACAATAGTAAATATGCAGTGAAATACATTTGAAAGCATGCTAAAATAAAAGAAGCGTCCACATGCCTTCATTTTTTCTAGCTTCTGTAATGCAGCCTAAAAATAAAAATCAAAACATTTAAAATTTACTGTGAATGCAACATCAAAATTTTGATCCTATAATATATGATACCTGTACATCATTATTTTTATTCTGATATATTCCTTGTATATCTTCAAAACTTATATTTCTTGATAAGTCTGTTTTAGAATCAGGCTCTTTTGGTAAATATTTAATACCAATTTCATTTGCTAAAAATGCTATAATTACTATTGTGCCTCCATTTAAAATATCTTGAGGTGGATATAACAAGTTTAACCCATCAATGTTTAATTCTGTTAATTGTTGTGCATAACCCAAAGATTTTGGAAGTTTATGAAGTTTATTATAACTAATATCTAATATAGCAAGATGCTTTAAATTTCCCATTGCCTCTGGCAACTGTTTCAATTTATTTTTTGCAACATTTAATATGTTTAATTTACTTAAATTTACTATTTCATTTGGCAGTTTTCGTATATTGTTGTCTTGTAAATAAAGTTCCTAAAATATATTCAATTAAAACATGATTTAAAACTTCAGACATATTTAATTTATATTACTTCAATAATAAATTTAATACTAGAATAACATACCTTGAGAGAAGCAAGACACATTATGTCTGATGGTAAATGAGTAAATTCGTTTCCATGAATATCTAATATAGCAAGTAATGATAAATCGCTTAAGGCACCTCCAGCCGAAAGTGAAGTTAACTTGTTATTATACATCAGTAGCACCCTCTTTCTAAATACCTTACATAATGAATAGATACCAGAGGGTACATGTTTTAAAGCACATTCAGACACATCAAATATTGGTTCTGGATTTTCTCTAGCCTACGATAAAGAATAGTTATGTGTATTACATATACTTAAACAACAATATGATATAATTAATATCAATACTTTGTTTTTATTATTAAAAGAACTTAAATATTTTTCTATTAATGAAATAATTAAGTCAATATCAAATGAACAAAAATAATATCAAATATCTAAAGTATGTAAATATCAAATATCTATCAAACATAGAATATTATATGAAAATTGTTTTATATAAAACAAAAAGTATAAAGCTAAAAAATCAAGTTATACATTTATTACATAAGGCTATGAAATGATTAACCTCCATTCATTAAGAGACATACCAGGTATAACTTGTGTTCTAGTCGTGCTTTGTAATCGACGTTAACCTTGCTCCCATGCGGTAGAGACATCATTAATCGTATATGTCATGACAATAAATGAACATTACGAATGCAGATCATACTGCTCTCGGTTTCCCTTCAACCTCCAACATACGATTTCACATACATAATTTATAAAACGCTAATCAGTGTCTTCTTAATTTGACAGTTAGTTGTGTGAAACGGATAAAACAGTGACGTACCTTAACATTTTAACTTCCCGTAGAAATACGCAACACTTAAAAAAGAATATTTTTTATTAATATCATCATTATTCATATTTTGATTTGTTTGTTTTTATTAAAATGGCTAAAAGATGTGCGGCTTTTATTATTATTGAAAATTAAATCTCGGATATTTATGAATTTTATTTTTTACGTATATTAAATGAAAAATATATTACTCTACCATTTATATATTTTCCTGTATTATATTATGTATTGATCTACATATTTTTATATAAAGAAATAAATCATGATGCGGAGCATTTAAGACAGGAATCTAATAATTAACTTCGTTTTAAATAATTAAGATAATTTAAATATTTTATTGAGCTATACATTTTCATACAAATCATAAATATTGTTCAAAACATTTAATATAGGAGTCTAATAATCAACTTTGTTTTATGTTTATGAACTCTCGCATATTTTAATTCGTAATACAGTAATGTAACATAACAGTAACTTTTTGCTATATTTGCAATTTTTATTCGTTTCATAAATTTCTTCCTTTTAATTTCTGAAACACTTGTGTATTTAATTTAAATATGTTAATAAATATTCTAAAAAATTAGGCAGTTAGTGTATGTACATCTAAAATTCAATAAAACTAATTCAAATATTTTATTCGCTAGAAAAGTAAAGATCTTTCGTAAATACTCCCTATTCAATTCGTATCTAAATTCTAAAAATACAATATTAATACAATACAAGCTCAGATCGCTATTCGATTTTGAACATCTTTGTTTTAACCATGTTACTTTCTTAGACCCATGTTTTTAGATAAAAATAATAAATTACGATTTTCTACAAAAATACCAACAGTATATAAGAAAAGGATCTCCCATCGATTATACTGTTTATTGTAAATTTTATTGTAAATTTTGTGAAACTTCCCTCTGTCTTAATCGATATTCTGTTGGTGTAAGCATACCCCTGAAAAATAATTTTTTCTTTCTCATAAAATTAATTAATTACCTATGCATAATACTTAGGAAAAATAATATAAAAAAACTAATTCGATTATCGTAATTACACATTCAAACCTTAAAACCGTATCAAAAGAGACGCAAACGCCTTTGTCGCACATTTTTTTATAAAGATGCCAACATTCTTTCTCTTTGTTGGTTTGAAAGTGTGGTTCCGTGGATATGGACTGTACATGTTGAAAAGTTTCCTTTGAAGATGGTGTAAATGCAGATTTTATCTGCAATTTTCATAAATTGTTTTTTAATAATTGAAGATAAATCTATTTTTATACAAAGCAATGAAAAATTTGCTTTACATTCGCAGGAGAATTATTTATGGGTGTTTTAGTTTGTTGGGCGGGAACCTCCATTTTCTGTGAGATCGTCCTCGGCGAGTCCTGCATTTTTATTTTCAGGGATGTCGTTTGTTTGTCCATTCCGCTATTAATTTATTTTAAAAAATTGAATAATAAATTTACGTTTTCTTAAAAAGATGCATTAAGTGTTATAGCATTCATGTAAAATGTAGCCAATCATAAGGAATAACTTAATGATTTTTTACATAAATTTGTATTTTTCAAAAAAAAAATTGAGATGTACGTATGTTTACATTATTTACACAATTGAAAATACGAAATGTGAAAGATGAACGAGTTTATTACTCAATCCAATGAAAAAATAATTATAGAGGAAAGAAAAAGAAATAGTAAAGTAGAAAGTAAAGAAATAGTAAAGAAAAAGTAAAATGAAATGTATTTTCGTTGAATATTTTAGCAAACTTATTGAGAAATCTATCGATTGCGTGATCTTGTTATCTTGAATAAAGAGAAAACGCATTATAATAACTATTAATACACGTTCGCTCACGATCGTTTCTTCTATTTCGATTATTATAGACCTCTTTTATCGTTCCAGTTTTTTTTTATCGATATCGTATAAATTCTCGGATGATTGAAATTGTGCCATGATTTTCAAGCACTGCCGGAATAAAAATAGCTCGTGCTATCGTATGTGCTATCACGATTAAATTCCCCTCATGAACAGATGAATGATAGAGAAACGTGTTGTAACATACTATTTCTATGAAAATTTACGTTTTTTTTTTTTAGTAAATGTTTGGTTTATTAAGATAATTTTACTATACTATCGCAGGATTTTTAATTTTACTGACTGCATTAAAATATAATTTTAGCAAATATATGTATACTTGCAGTATAATTTAGCTTCATGCTCTATAATCTAGCCAATAAATAAGTTTCAAAAAGGTTTAGAGACGGCTGTCCATTATTCCATTATTAGTTAAAAGTGTTTTCTTTACAAAAAAAATTCTCTAATTAAAAATACAGTTATAAATATATATTAAATGAAATAAAAATAAACGATTAACAAAATTATGCAATTGCGTATTTGTTACATAACGACTTTTTAATAAACAAATTTTGCCACGTGTACAATATGCGGAGAAAAAAAAAAGCACGCACACATTTATTTAAGAACCATTGACTCAGTTTAATCGATCAGAATATAAGAGTACATAATGTATAATGTATACTTATACAGTTTATGTAGTGATTTCTAGGTATTATAACTCTCCATCAAGGTACTATTAAAGAATCATGAAATTCTATTTCCGTTTTTTATACTCACGATCGTGATGGCGTGCTACGAGTTTTTAGTAACTTCCGTTTTTTATCGTGTAGATCACCAATAGGCACGGCCAGGCATCTCTTTTCGCGATCAGTCAACGGGACGTCGAGCGGCTCTTCAGCGTCGTGAATCAATGCCAGAATAGGTAGGGCTGAACTGTTGGTAATGTCCGTTCTCCAGGACACTGTTTCCTCGTTTGACGAGGTTGCTCCGTTTCCACGCTGGTTAACGATCGCCAACCACGGTTGTATCGTTTTTTTCTCCTCCCGTGACAAGGGTTGTTGCTCTTTCGGTGAAGTATTCTCGTCAAAGGAATCTTTCTGAAAGGAAACTGAGCAACGATTTTACTTTATCGACGAATTCGTATCTGATGTTTCGAAAGTTTACAGATTCAATTTCATTTAAATACACAAACATCCGAAATATTTAAGAAGATCTGTACGAAGAATTTTCCTTTATTTCTATAATGTTATATTTCTTAAAAATATTAAAAACATATTAAACGATAGCAAAAAAATAATTGAAAACTGTTTAAACCAGCATTTAATCAATTTCAAAGCTTAAAAATACGTACAAACGATAGTCTCCTAATATTATCTGGTTAAATCGAAATTAAATTTGTTCGCGAACGATGATAGTCACGATACGTTATTTAATCGGTTGCATTTGAATAAATTCATTCGATGGCGTTTTGATTCGATTACTGCCAGATTTTCTACTCCATTCAATTGAATCAAGGTAACATGAACAGGAAACCAAAGGGAATTTTATAGTCACGATAAGTATGTTTACCAAGTAACTTAATTTAATGGGCCGATATTCGCAACACTTGGCCATTTACTGAAAACTGGGCCAAACGATATCTCGTGTCATCGATTCGGTTTTACAGGACTTAAATGAGCTATCCAATATTTTTCCACGAATCGTATTTCATATCTACTTTTTTCCTCCATGCCATTTCATTACCTCATTCATGAACTCCACGTAGAAGAAGAAGAAAATGACAAAAGACCTCGGAACCAATTTATTGTACAGCTCTTTTTATTTTTCTTACTTTTCTAAACGTTACCAGAAACATTACGAAAACATTTTTTTGATATTTTTGACAATTATAAAAATAGGTGATACAATATCAATCGTTCTGATTTATTCAATGGTGTCTAATCAGCCAACGAAGTTCGAATCAATCGACACTTCTCACGATCCTTAAAATACGTACCTACTAGGTATACCTACATACTTCGCGAACAATCGTTCTTAGAAGTTTCACCGTTAAATCGTATCGGCGTTTACCCTGACCGAACAATGAGCCATCAATAGAAGTGCAATTATTAAAACCCGATTACGTGGCGAGTTTCAATGGAATATTTTGCTTCAGGGTCAGTGGCGTAATAGAGAAGAAGTTTGGTCGATTTAACGTGTTCGATCCTCTTATTGTCTTCACCGGTTTCATGTCGTTCCACGATAGTTCTCCTTTAATTAGCGACGATATACCCATGTATTAAAAGAACCAAGTCCCTGTTAAAACGGTTCGAGTGCGAAATGCACCGTAAGGAATTCCCACCCCAGATTTCGTGCAACAAGAATTCCTGTGATAAGAGATTGCGAGAGATATACCTGTGTGTATACAAGATCGGAATGAAAATGGAGATGATTTCATAATTTAATGATTTCAACATTCATAATTCATTATAGCATTAAGTGTGTTTCTCTTTACAAATGAGAAACTCGTGATAAATATGATTTTTGATGTATTTCGTTTTTTTGAAAATAATTTATGTCAAGGTAATATTCCATTTATCATCGAATGGGAATTAATCATTTCAATAAAAATAGTTATTGACACGGGATGTACAACTTTCTCATTTAATTAAATGCAATTAGATATAACATGACAAATGATTAAAGATACTATTCCAAACCTTCTAAGGACGGGGTATTTAAATCCCCCTTCGCTAGTGGACGGATTGAAATCGCCAGGCGAAGTTTAATTTTCCATGTTTTCATATAAATTATTGTAGTTCCTATATTTTCAAAGTTAATGAAATCAAATAAAAACTCGAGCTACTCAAAACAAGAAGAGAGAGACCGTCGGTATATCGGACATCAGAAGGTTAGAAATGATATTAAAGATACTTAAATTTTTTTGTTTTTCTTTTCAGTGAAACGTACGAACGAGCATTGTGTTTTTTTGTCAAGAGCTCTTCAGTTTCTTTTAGAAAAAAAATTTCATCGTAACATGTATGTATTTTAAAATGGTATTATCGCGATCCAAGTTGTAAATCTTTCGCGTGAGAAAACCTTTGAAAGTTTGCAGAAGATTACGTAGAGATTCGTGCGGATAATGAAGAAAAAAAAAAAGTTAACACCGCGTTTCGTACGTGTTCTTTTTTTCGTACTTGGAGGCAGAACTGGTAGACGAAGATGGATATTTCGAAATAATTCGCGGCATGCGCAGCTCGCGTGTCTTGCGTCGTTTCTAATTAACTCGTTCAATTATCATTCCACGATCGTCACTTACACCTGCGCACGTGTGTTATTAAATTCTTGCACGTAATCTCCTCGCAAACATTGAAGATATTGTCATTTGTGACTCAGTACGTTAATCTAATCATGCTTATATCACGTGAATAATCTCACGAAACTTAGATAATTGAGACGTATTAAATTGATAATTTTTACAAATCGTAGCTTTTTATCGGAAGCGCTATAAGATAGTGTGTTAACACAAACAAATGTTCGTTTATCTACGGCAAAATGATCTAGAAAATAAACTCAATTTACGAAACCATTCATAGCGAGGGAAGTACTTTACTAAAGTCGATACTTTAATCGTCAACTGCAGACTCGAGCAGATTCTGTGTCTTCTAGAGCTTTAAAAAAAACTTTAATTTAAGCTATGCATTGATACCTGATTTGATAGGTTTCCTCGCGCTACTCAAAGCGGAATTAATCGATGTTTTAATGATCGATGTAGTGGGTAGTTTGCTACGTAGCTCGTCGATTAACTTGTCATCCCTGGGCGAATTCTCGGTATCGGTATCGCTGTCCGTAGAACTGACAAGGGACACCATCGTAACGATGTCCATCGTTCTGGAATCGATCGAATTCTTTGCACGACCAGCCGATCTGTTACCCGATTTTCCAACTTCGTCATTTTTAGAGGAACCTCCGCCGCAGAAACGTCTTCTCGCGCTTCTGGATCGTCTCTTTAACGGCGCTGATCTTACAGCCCGATTTGACGATATCTAACATGTTAATCATGCAAAATACAAACTCGGTATAATCATCAATATTGAACAAATATTTGTTTTTTAAATAGTAATTTTAAAAAATCGCCACGTCGTAAAATATGCGTTGTAAAATATATCTTATCTTTTCGTGGAAAAGATTAAGTGTTTCTGTTATATTTTTCTTATCGCTGTTTTAATTTCCTTTCGCATTAAAGATCTCGATATCGAGTTGTTTATAGAAAAATATATATTAAAATATATATTTTTAATCTATATATATATAAAAGAAAATATATATATTTTTAAAATATATATTTAAAAAGAAAATAAAAGAAAGAAGAAAATAAAATATACCTTCGTCGAAGTTATATCCGCTTTTTCCATCGCGTTATCTTTACAATTCGCATCTTGTTTCCCCTGATTCTTGTTCTTCCCCGATGAATCGATCACAATGTTAACGTGAACGCGATTATTGGCCGAAGTTGATTCGAAACGTCGTTGTGGCGGCGCAGAGCTAGTCCTTCTGGATTTCTGATCGATCTTCTGGTTTTCTGCTGTCTTCTTCAACGGTGGATCCCTCTCGTTCACCGAGCTACATCTCACTTCCGACGAATTCTTTGAACATGTAGCTTTATCGATCGTAAAACTGCCTTTATTCCCAGCCACGGTGCTGGTCGACAGAGTTTTTTCAATCAAATTAAATTCGTCCGCTTCGTTCGTTTTCTGAGTCATCGTTTTATCTTCTGCCGCAGTATTCTTGCTTTCGACCACTGTTTTCATCCGCTCGTTCTTCTCCGATACGCAAGACAGTTTACCATCTGCAACCATTTTTTTCATTATGCTCTTCCCGTCAGTCAAATCGCATCGAAATTCAGGGACGTTTTCTTCTGTTACGGCTCTTTCATTGGTGACGGTCTCTTTATTTTCTACGGTCGTTAATCGAATCGAATGACTTCTCTCTACGGTGGCACGGTTGTTAATCGATGATTTTTGTGGCACGTTTTTATCCGGCGTGGAATTCCATCTGAACTCCGTTGGCGATCTAATTGGGTCGAGGAAAGCTCGGTTGGTACCGCTGTGAAAGCTCGCACGCTTTTGCTTCGCCGATGAAAAATCCTCCTTCGACACCTTCATAACTCCCAGGGTCGAGTTTTCGATTTTGATCGATGGCAACGTTGTGGAGGTAACGCGATAACTCGAGCAGTCGATACTTGCTGAGGACTTTTTCTTCGCATTGGTATCGTCGATGCTCGCGTCCTTCGATATTTGCTTAAAAGAAATAAGAAAATAATCTCGATAGAGCAAAAAACAAAAGAGAGTGACTATGTTTAGATTTCAAACGAAACAAAAAATTTTAAATGATCAATTCTATGGAATTTTGATCGGATGTAGCAACCAATTGTACCTCGTTCGATTGTTCCCTTTCTACATCAGCCTTTTCTCTCGCCTTATTCTGTATATCTGCAGAAACTTCGTTTTCTTCCAAAACTTGCTTGTCGTCACTGGAAAAGTGTAAAAATTTGTGCTCGCTATTCCTCGAAGTAATCGAATTATTCTTTGACAAATCTTCCATTGATTTATCAATAATAATTTTCTCCATTTCTCTTTCTTCCTTTTCATTTTGCATTTTATAGTCGTCAAGAGATATTTCGATTTTAGACTTGTCTTTCTTTCGTACAGGAGACGATGCGTTGGTGTGATTGGACATTTCAGACTCGCATCTCTCATCCACAGTCTCACGAGCTAGGAAAATATTAATATTGGCTTTATTCTTCTCGCGATATTTCCAAGCGAGCCTCAGCCTCTCCGCCAGTTCCAATCTAGAATAGAGGATCGTGGGTTTTTCGGTCCCAACGAAGCCTCTTGATCTTCCTCTATTGGTAGATCTGGATCGTCGTGGAATTTGACGAGCCACCACTTCAACTTGCCCGAGCTCTTCGTCGTTCTTTTCGTTCCTTTGACGGTTCTCCTTCCAGGCAACGCGAACCTGAAATTTATCGACCACTATCGTACAATTGACATTATTACTGTCGAAGATGATAGATTAAGTCATCGAATGATCAAATTTCTTCTTTGATCCTGCCTTTAAAAATATAAATTTATATAAAAATTCGCAATCTAGATGGTCACACAAATTTTAACGATACTGGTTAAGCGAAAGGATTGAGTGATGTTTAAAAAAAGAAAAAAAAAAAAAAAAGAAATCGAGTGAAATATTGTTGAGGAAGTCAGAGAGATACCTTAGGTCTTTCAGAGCCGGTTTTACCGCTCGTGCCACGCTTGCCACGTGCGAAAGGACTCGCACAGATCTGCAGCGATTTGTCATCCTCCGCAGATCTTTGTCGCCTGATTTGCTGGCGATGAGGCGCAGGTGGTTGCAGAGACAATTGTCTGATCGGTCTAACCGATCCTTTTTCGGATCCTGACATTCCGCTGCTGGCAATCTAGCCACTAAGGCTACATATTCTACAATAATTTCTACACTGTCTCGTGCATTACATACAATAAAATGAATGAAAGAAGAAAATATGGGAACTTTTAATTTTATTAAAAAGCTACCTTCCAATCATTTCGAAGTATCAATGAATTAATTAGCGTCAATTGAAGTGATTGGCACTTACCCGACGTGTTCACGATTCGTACGAAAGATCGTAACGTAAGCACGATGGATGAACTTCCATCGTGGTGGCGGCGCGAGCAAACGCTGACTGACTAACTTCATCCATTGCCCTCTGACACGATCGTTCACCACCACTGCCATTTCACCGATTTACCTTCGTGTTACTTGGCCAACCACCAGCAATCGTTGCCCGTGTGCACTCACAGAGCTCACTAACACGCTGTCGTTTCCACCCTCTCATCCAACGAAGGGGTGGTTGAACGATGTATTGCTCCCTTTAATTCGAACGACGCTCGACACTACCACGCCTGTACTTGGATCATAGCATGATATGTGTTAGGAGGAATGCTAGGGTAGTCGAACTCACTCACGTACGATAACTCAACATGCATTACCCTCTGATTCGCGATCAGTGGCGTAACGCGAGACACCCTAATGGTAATGATGGGTGCTGCTTTTCGAGAAATATTCGGAGATTCTGGGAGTTTACCTGTCGTTATCTATCATTTCGAAGCAGGATCGTGGACAATGAAGTTTTATTATTCTTTCATGCTGATTTTCTTTTTTCTTTTTGTTCTTTTATTCAAATTAAGTTTCCTATATATTAAAAATTTAACATATCTTGAAAAAATCTGAAGAAATACTATGTAGGACATTTTAATTGAAAAGGATAGTTTGTCACTATAACGATCTGGGTTGGATAAGATTTCGAATTTAATAAGAAAATATATAATGATTTATCAATCATTATTGGTGTTTACCAATGTGAAATGAAGATTCTTTGATTTAAATAAATCAAATATAATATTACTTACAACTCAATGATATCAGTTAAGATTGTCTGTAAGTAAGTATACATTTTGCTAACGTTGAAAACATTGAATGTAAATTTTATGGGTTTTGGATTATCGTTAAGGATATTTAGAAGTTTGGAATACAGAAGTTGTTTATTAGAATATACGTTATACAAATGTTTATTATGATTGAACAAATATTTAACTATGACGCGCGTTTCATTTTCTTATACGCACAATTCCTTATAATTTAATTGCAAGGTTTTTTTCTTCGTTTTTCTTCAAGCGCTCATAATATCTTTTATAAAACAAAAAAAAAAAATATCTTTTTCATAATCCAAATTTTAAAGTATCAAATAGTACATACTTTTTCAAATCGAACATTTAGAAACCTATATTTTATAATCATGATCCCTGTCTACCATTTGACAGTGAAGTAAAAGAATGAAAAATTTGAACGATCAATTCAGAAAATAATTGAATTATGTATGCGTAATGTAAAACCTCCGGTCAATTTATATTTATACGATAGCTTTACATGTTAACAATACTATTATAAATAAATATAATAAAATTGATATTCCTCAGAGGCGAACCCGTCACGCCTTTCCTTACCGGAGGAGAGCCATCTACTCGATATTGCTCCTCGAAGGTGTTGCAAGCGTGTTCGAGTTCGACCAAAAAGCTCAATTTCGCGGGAACGTGTCATACGAGCGGCCAATTCGAATTTTCACCGGTAGTCACCTGGTATTATTGATCAAAACTTTACCTATTATCTGACAGCTTGTTGTCCGGTGTTACCATGGCATCGGCGATCATTCGAATCCGTTCTCCTCTCGTTCGTCTCTTTCTTCCTCCTTTCCTTCGCGAAATCACTTTTCACCGGTACGGGAGGATTTAAACGAGAAACTTTCGCCCGGGAACTCGGCCACGTCGAATCCCCGAAAATTAAGAGAGCCCGGCCATTAGCGCTTGCAACCCTAATTGCCCCTCTTATCAGCGACTTCGACGTGTTCGGGCCAGGGATGGGCAACACCGATGGATAACTCGCCCGTCAAACTTAGCAATCTGTTTTTTTTTCTTCTTTTTGTTTCTTTAACTCTACTTTAGATTCTTCATACATTTAAGTTCTAGATTCTTAGATTCAGATTTTTCGTACATTTAAGAAAAAAAGTAATTTAATTTATTTTTCTCTTTAATGCTTCATTTATTATCGCAAGCAAGGAATTTACCTGCTTACACAATTGAAACACATTAGCCTGCGTTAAGAAATATAATTTTATTTATTTTATTTTAAATAAAGAACGTAATTTTAATAAAGTTAAGATGATTGTACGAAACATTATTGTTTTATTTGTCATGTTGTCTTTCGAAATTACTCTTTCCTTTTTTTGAGCGAATTGAGATTCATGGTAAGTATCATTTTACATTGAAAATGTTTCGACGATGAAGTTCCTTTTGCTAAACGTTTGATTTCTGTAATTCGATAATTCTGTGTGTCCATCCCTGTTCCGGTTTCTCGAGGAACGACTGTCTATCGTGCTCGATCAGGACTGGAAAGTTCGATTTGCGAGGCTTGCCAAGAAATTTTCGAGGCCCCGTTTCACGATCGAGCCGTCTCATCGCGATTGATGGACGCTTGATTTGCCCGCGACACGAGAAACGGAATTATAAATTATTTCGCTTATTTAAGATATTTAATATTTTTGTGTATATTCACGGAAATTCTATCTTTTCTAAAAAGGACTAAAAAGAATACAATTGTTTTAATTAATTAGGCAGTAATTGATAAAAAAATAATTACTTTCATAGTAAAAAAAATACAATTATTTTAATATTTATTTATTTTTTAAATTGCACGAGTGCAATCTTCTGTGATAATTTTCTTAAAAATTAACATAGCAACTCTGTTTTCAGGAAAATGGCAAGCGAGACTTCTTTTACCTCTTTATTAGATGATTCGCTTTCAGATAACGACAAAAGTATCGAGGATTACTCGTCCAAGTTGAAAATATCCTTTAGAATAATGTTACGTTTTAATTTTTAATATTGTTGTTCTTAATGTAATTATGATTTTTTCTTAATGTAATTATGATCACGATGCCTTGGAGAATTTGACTGAGAGATACGACGCAGAATCATTGCAGCAAGCTCTGCAACAATCTTTATCTTCGTGTTCGGATAATCTACTGGATAAGAAAATTTTCAGCGAAACGCTTCCTTTCGCCTATAATCTTTTATCCGAGGTAAAGAAATTACAATTACAGTATTTAATTTTTACAATTACAGTATTTAACTGCTACAATTAGAGTATTTAATAGTCGAATTTTCATGCCTCAATAAAGGCAAAATTTCTAATTTTCGAAGAAAATCTTTTGCATAAAATTAGATTCTCTTGTGTTGTTAAGAATTTCAAAATATACTTAAGCATTAATATTTTGTTAATTAACGTGTGGTATAACTAATCTATAAAAGTGTAATATATTTTAATATATAATATATTATATACTATATTTTATAATATAATTATAAAAAATTTGTACCCATTCGAAGGCTCTAAAGAAAATTGATGGGATAGTAAATGCAAATCTGGATGGAGATACGGTAGAGGACGTGAAACGACAGTTTCTCGTCTGTCATGAATTATTGAGTGTATGGGAAAAATCTATGGAACGCGTGTCGAAACTTCATAAAACAACTGCCGTTGATCTCAAGTGCATAGTGAAGAATGTGCTTCTTACGATTAAATTAATATTCGAACACTGTAGAGCAAGGTGAGATAAATGTTCAAAGATCTTTTCTTTTCTGTTCAATTGTCTGATTAATTATTTTTTAATTTTCCGGTTAAATTGTAAATTAAATTGCAAATTTGTATGCACTTATAGAATATTTAGAGATGTAAATTTGAAATAGAATGCTCATTGTAATATTCTGATTAATATTTATATGATGCATAACTTCTTTAATTGTATTCACAAAAATATGAATTTACATTAACATCGGCAATTTAAATATTACATGGTAATTTCATTTCTTATCGAATAAGAATACATAGCATTTAGCAAATGTAAATGATATTATTTTCGATCTGAAAACGATTACAGTAAAATATTGTACGGTACTTTATTCGAGGACGTATCGGAAGAATTAACGAGTCTCTTTCGCAAGGTGAAAACGATCTTGAATCTATTTCTGGCCACTTTAGACGGTGTAATAGTCTTCGACACGGATACGGAATCGGAAACGGAACTGTTGATAAAAGGTGAGCGATCCTATTATGTCTTAACGATTCTTTAACCCGAACTATCTTCATCTTTATCGAGTACGTCAAGGGAAGAAGACACCGTTGCTCTATTTAATTAATGGTTAATGTTACATTAACATAACATTTCATTTGAAAGCCATTTTTCACATTGTCAAATTGTAAAATTTCTAATCTAGAAGTAGTTTAGACTTTTAGACACTCAGATTTTCAGAATTGTTGTGTAATAATTTCGCATTGACATTATTTTACTAGTTCTGTTCTTAATACGTAGATTATACAATTATAAGTTACCATCTCAATTATAATAAAATCGATTTTGTTCAAACGTTTTCTGTTAAAAACAGTAATCGATTCGATCGGATTGTTTGTTACCATTGCGCACGAATTGGATCTGAAAACGTTCGTAGAAACGTTGAGAATATTTGGCAAATTAGCGATTGTAAACGAACATCATGTGAAACAAACAAATGTCACGAGCGTCACATTGCATCTTGCCCAATTAACAAAAGACATATCATCCATGCTTTCATTTTGTCAGGTACGTATTAAAATCAAATTCTATAGTTGCATGGAAAACATTTTACTTTCTGTTCTAATGTTGCAGTATTTGGATTTTCATGGTAAAAGTCGTTGAAATTATTTATAATTACAAATGCGATTATTTGCCACTAAATCAAATATTAGGAAGTTAAAAACAAAATGAATATCCAAACTGTACATCGTATAAATGAATAAATGTCTTTTTATAAATTTTTTTCTATTACATTTACTTAGGATTCAGCTGATCGAGTCAAAGAAAGAAAAATAAAAGTTATTGGTCATTCGTTAAAAATTTTGGATAGATTATTTGCCGTCTATTGTTCACACATAAATAATGAAATCCTTTCGTTTGCAGTCGAACTTTTATTAAAAATGCACAGGTAGATATCTTTTATTTCATTTATTTTCTTTCGATCGATTTAAAATATTTCTACATCGTTCTTTGCAATTAGGTGCTCTCCATTATGTATAAAAAAATCACAGATCGATAGCGAATTAATCGAATTGATAAACGTTCAAATCTCAAATGGATCCGAGCCACTGTTAAATACCATTTTCAAATCTTCTAATTTTAAACAGGTTTGTCCACGAAATATAATTGACAAGTTAATATGTATTGTATGTTATTCGATACTACTAAAATATTTTAGATTTTCTTCGATTATGGAAATCAAACAAATGTTGACAAATTAGGCTACCATTTATTAATAATTAATATCATGAGAAAACTAATTAATATGCCATACGAGCATCATTGTAAATGGACATTAGGTGCTGAATCGATTATCGATGTCGCATTAAACAACATTAACTATTGTAAGTGTTCCACTTTGAAGGTCGTTTAGTATTTGTTAAATTAAAAAAAAATTTTAAATTTTCAAATGAATAAATCTTATTAGTTTTAATCATATTCATACGTCAACCATAGAAAGATTTTAAAACAAGTTCGAAAATTTATTTATGTTTGTACCTTTAAAAGTGCAGGAAGAGATTTGTGTGGGTCAGGTGGGATTACCAGGTATACACGACATTGGAGAAAGACCGAGATCTGCTTCGATATACGAGGCTACGATAGTACCAATTTGTGGACTGATCAGCCAAATACCTCCAGATGGATTTCACGCTATCGAATTGATTTTATTGAAGTATTTGCTAAGCAATCAATTTTGGAGTTCTTTGCTTAGCTCAGATATTTGGTGCTTTGTTGACCGGTTTGTAAATTGAATAAATCGTGATCTTAATTTTTATACTTGATCTTTACCTTTAAAGTAGCAACTACGTTCTTGATATAATTGATTATTCTAATTCAGAAGTAGAGTTATTTATAAAATACTGTGCGTTATATATTTCATTAACTGAAAACCGTTTCCCTTTATGTAAATGAACTTTCTGAGCGTTATCTGCTTCTTGAACGTAATACTTTTTTCCAGTATTGGTTCTTCAGAACTTTGTGCTAATCACGTAAAATACCTATTGAACGTTTATGCTGTTTTAATGAAACGTAGTAACAGTTTTGAAGTCGTTATGTTGGAAAGCTTAATTGGAAGATTGTACAATTTGCTGTCGGAGGAAACGAAGCACACCCTTATCATGGAGCTCGATGATCTCGAAAATCCATTCTGGTTGCCTGTCGCGCGATTTTTGCCCTCGAAAACAAAATTATTCTTGCAGAATCGACTAGCGTGCGTATTAAACGAGATCCCGCACATTTTCGCTGAATTACAACGGCAACCCACTGTACAAAGTTGGAATCGTATCGTAAGCTATATTCCAGAGTAAATAACAAATAAATTTTCGATTGATTTTTTTTGATAGCAAATTTTATGTTATAATAAATTTTAATTCTAATTCTCGTCAAAAGACAACGCTGATGCTATTGATCGGAAAACTCAATTACACGGGTGAGAGAAATACTATTGATATTCTATCTCAGATATGGAATTCTATTGCAAGCACGATCGAAATTTTCGAAGGCAGACAATTGGATATATTATCGGAATTTATGTCGAAACTGTTCAGTGCTACGCAACCTGAACAAATTCAGGACGATACTTTCTTCTCGGTACATATATTTCTTTTCTCTTTTTAGATAAATTAAGTATTTAAATTTTAAGTATTATTTTATGCAGATAAAACTTATATGAATTTAAAAAACTGTAGTTATATGAATTTATTGTAGAAAGGCATAGAAATAGAAAATGAAAGGTGAAATGTATTCTATATTTTAAAATATGTTACATAAAATACGTAAATCTTTTAATTTAGTTATAATTATGCTTTCAATATATTTTATATATCTCTTTAAATTCGTTTTTGATTTATTTTTCAGTAAAAAATCTCGTATTATCTTTTTCGTACTTTTCGTTAATTAATACTTGATTTATTATTGAATTGATATCACTAATAAAATTAAATAAGAAAAGTTTCTTTGATAAATCTCGTATTAAATATATTATAAGTATGCGGTTTTGTACTTTGCAGCCATCAACAATTACATTTAACGATTTCAGATTCTAGATGCAGTTTTGACATCACTTTCGTATTTTCCGCCATATGTGAAGGCGATAGCGTCATACTATTTGAAGAATAATGTCAACTCTCTTGACTGCTGTGGAATTAAAACAATCAATGCCTTATCAGAGCTCAATTGTCGACTTCTGGAAGATGAAAATCCATGGGTACGACAAGAAGCTTTTGAATCGTTTGATCATGTAGCTCATATGTGCCCGAACGAAGATCTCGTCACTAAAATGGCAGCTGCGATTACAAAAATATCATCATTGAGAGATTCTTTACCGGCTTATCTTTCTGGCACGTCTTATTACGAGCTTCAAGATTTCACGGATATCGAAGGCTATCTGCAGCAAATAGCTAAGCATGCAAAAAATGTTCCTCATATTTGCAACAATTACGATGATTCTCAGAGAGACGAAAAGCTTGCTAAATTGGAAATTGAGTCCATCGAAAGTTTCGATGAAACTTCGAGTTTAAATGATCTCGATGAACACGTGAGCAAAATATGTGACGAATTGAATGATATTTTAAAAAAACATAATGACATCGGAAGTCACATGTTACAAAAATTAAAACTAATTTGCGCGAAATTTTTGGATCTAATTGAATAAAAATAAATTTTATTTTAACATATTTTGAATAATATAAATTGTAATCTTTTTTTATGTCGTGAGAATAAGTTCGCATGATGAATTAAGAAATAAATATAAATATATTTTTTTATTTTCATCGATACATTCATAATTACAAATATTTCGAAAACTGTTCATTTTTGTGAAAAATGTCTTTGATTTTCGGTTTCAGCAATGTCCTCGAAATGACAAATTTGGAACAAAATTTTGCTTTTTAAAGAGATACTTATCAAGACTCTAAATATCAACATAATTATTAGAACATAGGCCCACGAATTTCAACGATTTTTGGATTTTTGTTATAGAAATTAATATTCTGAATAACTTTCTTTTTTATGCTATGCGGATGGATTCGTAATGTATGCAAATGCAATTCTCAGAAACCAAGATTGAACGGCGATTATATGTACGGGAAAATGTATTACATTCTCGATAACATATCCAAAAATCATTGAAATCGGTGGATTGAATCATCTTCTATACAATTATCAATAGCAAATTTCGATATAGGAAAATATTGAATAATTGATAAAAGTAAATTGTAACTGTATATTTAAACTGTATGTATTAAGTAAGTATAAGCATACACATACATATGTGCATAGGATATATTATGTAAGTAACCTATACATGCATATGTAAAGAAAAGCATATTTTATATCAAATTAACAAAATAACAGGTGACAATTGAAAAATTAAAAATTATTAAAAAATATTTTAATTGATATCTAACTTATAGCTGAAAATGTGTAACTTAATCATTTATGTCGGTTTTATTTTATCTCGAATGCATTTCCCGAAAATACTGTTGATAGCCGACGAGTAAGTTTTCTTCTGAAGTTTTCTTTTGAATTTACGTTTATTTCATATATATTACTAACAGAACTCTGACAATCTCAGTTGAAACAATTGAATCGCCTGCAACACTACACGTTTAAAGTTTGTTTAACATTTTAGTTCTAAGTGCATGTTTCTTCTCTACATATGTTTGTAATTTGAATAATAGGTTTTTTCATTTAAGTAAGATATGTGTCTTTTATTCAAATTTTAGCATATAACTTATTAAATTGCAGATTTTTATGCAAATTCGTAATATCTTCGAGAATATAATTAAAAAAAAATGGAACTTAAATATTATAGAAAATTGTTTTACGTATCAAAAAATTATATGTACATATAGAAAGTATAGCACTGTACTTTGGGTTTTTTATATATTTTTTTATATTATGTATATAATTTTCTATAAATACATAAAAATTCATAATCTATTTATTATAAAATCTTATGTAATTATGATCTTATTTATGATTTTGTTATTAATCAAACAGCCTTACTAATCATACATTTTGCTGCTATTTTTCTTACAAAAAGCAAGATCATTAACATATTTTCAAGGTCAGTAAATGTGTATTATAATTTCATATAGATTAAGCAGTACTTTAAAATATTTTTCTCTGCATATGTAGATGGAAAACAAAGAATTACAGAGGCATTTTCGTGATGATACAGTACTTAATAAAATAAGTAAAATGTTTATATCACTACAACAAGAAGACATACGCACAATTAATACTTTCTTACAACCGGTATGTTTTCTTGCTTAAATTGTTGATCAGATTATATTAAATATTTAAAAATGAGTTGAATTTTCTATTGATATTTATACTTATATTTATTATTATAATTTGATTTAATAGGTCATTAAAACCTTAATTGAACATATGAAAGAAAATAATTCATTATTTAGAATAATGTACAAACAAATTATTTACTGTGGCAGTTTTTATAAAGGCACAAAAATAGGAGAACCAAACGAATTTGATTTAAATATCATTTTGGAGGTCCCTATTAATTATGATTGTATAAATGTACGTATAACTTAATATTTAAATTATGTTTAATTTTATGACAATATGTGCTTTCTTTTTTGTTTAGCTTTATCCAATTTCACCATCTTATGTTAAATTATCTATAACAGATAATATACAAGCATATAATACAGCAAAAATCCACAATTTAGTATATCAGGAAAGAAGGTTAAAAAGCACATTATAATTATTATATATAAAATATATAAATAATTTTATCATATTTTTATGTAAAACATTATTAGAAAACTGGACAATTTAATCTCTGATAGCAGTCTGGATCCAAATAATTTTCGTACTTGGATTAAAAGTATTGTAGATCAAGTTGTTGATAAGTTACCAGGATGTGGAAATGAACATGAATTATCAGTAAATAATTCTTTCAAAGCAAAAATTAGAAAAAGTGAAAGTGGCCCTGCCATTAGATTAATAATAAATATTCCACATCAAATTGGATGTATATCTGTTGATTTAGTACCAGCATTATCATTCAATATAAAAAAAGTCACTGAACGACTTACGACAAAATTTCATATACTTCAAGAGGTTTGTGTATTCATTACATTCTTGACATAAATAAAGATATTTGCATTGTTAACCTTTTTTTACTTTTAGTGTCGAAATAAAGAATGTTTTGCAATTCCAATACCAGAATTTGGTGAAAGTTTTCATTGGAGACTTTCTTTTTGTCATCAAGAAAATGAAATGCTTGCAAAGTATGGTCCTGTGAAACCAATTATACGTTTAATAAAGGTTACTTACGTAAATTTAATAAGTATTTAAATTTTAGTATAATTGTAGAATATTTCTGATATTCTGTTTTTAGAAATTACGGGATACACAAAACTGGAAGAATATAGCAAGTTACTACATTGAAACAGTGTGTTTAAATAAATTAACAGAGTGCAACATGGATATTGATAAAACAACTAAAACATTTTTTTTTTTTACAGTAATATGCAAGATATAGAACCAGTATACGCACAAAATTTATAAAGCATTACATTCTTTTTATAAATTATTGCTGTTTTAGATGCTTGAAGAATTACATCATGCTTTTGATCAACACAAAATAAAATATTTTTGGAATGAAGACCATAATTTATTATGCAAAATTCATGGTACTGAAATGTCTAATATAGCTAATCGTTTAAGAAGAATCATAAACAATATTAAAAACAATGCAGAGGATGATTTCATATTGGCTAAATATATTTGTAAGTTATGTTCTTATGAAGTATTTTTATAAATACTCTTATAAAATGTATTTATTTGATTTAAAACTTTTTGCCACATCTTAGTAGATTTTAAATCAAAGTATTTACAAGAATATTTATAAAGATCGTAATGTTTAAAAAGACAAGTAACAATTCAGAACGATCATATATTGTTCAACTATATTAGATCTAAATTTATTATTTTTTAAAATTATAGTAAATCCAAAAGAATTATCATCACTAACTTCAGGTATGTATCAATATATCATAATGAAATATACAATAATTACATATATAATGGTGTTTCAGAGAAGACAAATGATGCAGAAAATACAACAAATAACAAGATTTGTATAATCATTTGTATAATCATTTGTATAATCATTTATGGAACATTCTATATTGAATATTCCATAGATTTTTTAAAAGGCATTTCCATATCAACAATTATAAATATTTTAATATCTATAATTTTTTAATATTTTATATTTTCTTATATTTGTATTATATAATTTCTAAATACTTACAATTACATTTATAATATTGTACTATCATAACATATATAATAACATTATATTATATTAAACTTTTTATCTTTTTGAATATCTATTTTGAAAATCTATTTTTAGAAAATAAAATATATTGTAATTATTTAACAGTTTATTCCAAATATGATATAATGTCGATATATCGTAAAGATATGGTTCCAGATTATATATCTTTTTGATAAGAATTTGTAATTTTATTGTTAAGGAGTTTCATTAAAATGATTGTTGACTGTTAAGGAATTAATATAATTTAACATATACGTACTTTTAAAAGCGTAAAATATATTATATTTAATATATTCTCATATATTTCCTTCTTTTTTTTTAGTAGTATGATTAATCAAAGGTATTGCATTGCAGTCTGTCCATTCCAGAAAGAAATTTCCTAATTTGATAGCACAACGAATCATAGTAAGACAATCATTTTCTGCACTATGTGCACCTTCAAGGGTTTTACCAAAAATATGTTCATAAATACTACCCAATTTAAAATTAATTGGCTGACTACTTGGAAAATCTAATTTTCTTCTTACAGTATATCCTTTTTTATTCTGAAAATTTTTATCAGAATGTTCCAATTTTATAATTTGATTTTTAGGAGTTTTTTCATTAATTTCCTGCATCTTTTTATAGTTAGAAGTTTGTGGAGTATTAAGTAAACTATCAGAATAAATTATAGTTTTTTCAGTTTTAGGAGAAGTATTATTTTTGTTATAATCATTAAAATTTGTATTCATAATAGAATCTAATGCATCTGATAAAATCTTATCATAACCATCATTTAATAAAATACTAACTTCGTTAGAAGAAGGATTAGTAGTAATAGTCTGTATAGTGTTCATTCCTTTCGTTGAACTTTGTTTACGTGAGTAAAAATCCTTTACTAATTTTAGCATATCAATACTTAAAACTTCTTCACTGAAATTCTTTAAAGTAAAAAGTTAGATTATGTATGACCTTCGAAAATTACATTAAGATATAAAATAGTATATACCTTCTCAATATTTTTAAGCTCTGATAAAAAGATTGGATAGTCGTAATTATTTCCATTGTAAGCTACAAAGCAAGATGGTCCTGTTTGTCGATTTATAAAATTCACTATTAAATTATACACTTCGCAATTAAAAAATTGAACTTCTTTTAGATTTTCATTGGATAAACCTATGAAAAAAATTAAAAGATGTTGGAACATGATAAAAATTATTTACTAATAATAATTAAATGTTATATACCTGTTAATGTTTGGATTTCCTTTGTAACAGGTTCATTTGGATGTATTGGCAAAATAAGTTTTTGTGTAACTCTTGGTAAATTATCTTTAGTATTAGATATAGCAGTTCTTGATACTGCAATTAATGACATTTCTGTGATTTTTGGCATGTAACTCTTTGTGATTAATCCAGTTGTTTCCAAGTCGAAAAATATAAACGTTTTTATCATTGTTAAAAATGTTTTAATAAAATTAATTAATAATGTACAATTGCATTCCTATTATGAAAATAAAATTTATATTAACTACAATGTGTAATTAAATTTTTAACTTATTAAAAATGTTACTCGTATCCTAACCTTTCATACTACACATGCATTAAATTGCAACTTTACTAAGTTACTGCGGTTACAATAGTAGTAATATTTTATTTATAAATTAAATATATAATACTTAGTTGAATTTGTAAATTAGTGTACAAAATGTTAAGATTTTTATTTATTATCTCATTTGATATTTGGCATTATCACATTATTTTATAATTAGTTGATATTATTAAACAAATTAAATTTTCAACATTATTCTTTTTTAAACAAGCAAAAATGTGTAATTTTTTTTTTGCTTTACTATGCATGTGAAATTATTTTTCCAACAAACGATTATAGCGAGTGATATATAAACCATGATATATTTTTCCAGCATCCTTATCGCACACTGTTGCTCTCCTTGTCTAACGTGAATATATGTCTGTCCTTGTCGCACAGTGTTGCTCTCCTTGTCTACCGCGCACATATGTCTGTCGTACGCTATCGCTCTCCTTATCTATCGCGCATTTATGTCTGTCCTTGTTGCACACTAGTGCTCTCCTTGTCTAATGACGCTAGACAAGGAGAGCAATAGTGTGCGAGAAGGACAATCTTCGATCTATTGAAAAAAAAATTCAACTTTTTACACATACGTTTCTCCAGGACAAAACACACATAAAATGAAAGCGGGGAGCCTAATTTTAAGTAGGCATATAAAAAAGTTCGCAAATTAGTCATCTTAATTAGGTTTTTTTCGTAATTAGTGTGGTTTCACAAAATGGACATGGTGGCGCCATCTAGCGGTAACTCAGTGGTACTAATTATTTATGAAAATACTTATTTCTGCATTTTACGGGACAAATGAGGTATGAAAAGAAAGCTAAGGGTTTAATTAGGGTAATACAAGCACAAAAGTTCACAATTCATTTCGCTAAATTAGGTTTTTTCGCAAATGAAAATTTCTCTGTTTTACAGGGTAAGAAACACTAGCGCCGCGTTGTGGCAGACCGATGGAACTAAACGCTCTATAACCATATAAGGGGAATATTATAATTAATTTTAATTTTTCACGCTACTAATTTGCACTCCACGAGCATATATTTCAAAGATAATGCTATCAGTTACGTTCGCAAATAAATTTGAATCTAATATTCACTATAGTTTACGCGAAATTATACACTCACTACTGGCACTATTACTAACGAAAACGAAATTGAAATATTCTTTATATACGCAAACTATACTTAAACAAAACAGAGAAAGCAAGGTCACTTTGGATTAAACAAATAGGAATACATAATTTTTTTCTACCGTATTGTAGAGAACATCGAGACGAATTTAAAACACATATTACATGATATTTTTATTAACATGTTACTCCGTTTACAGTAGTAGGATAACATGTTAACAAATAAGCGGTGAGGTAACATGCTGTATATATATATATAAATTATTATATATATTATATAAATTCAATACATTGATACGTGATATGACTATGACATCGTATTAGGGAAATTAAGTATTATTTGAATATTTCGGTTTATTAAGTAAAATTTTTAAATTTTTATGTACGTATTTTGTACATCAAATGAAATGATATCATGTACATCAACAAACGAACTCTCTTAATCAGTTTGTTTTGCATATGAAAATTTAATCGATTCCTGAAATACTAGCGCTGCGTAGTGGTGAAATAATGGAACAAATTGTTATTATTCTTATCACCATTGATTAACTAGGATAGACTGGACAACCAATGCTTTTTCTTATCCCATATCCCAGATCTCGTCTCGTCTGTATCTAACAATAAGCATAAAGTGCGCCAAATACTAGTGATTTTTTTCCTGGTCGGTATTTCAGATTCTGAAACACAAAGTTCCATTTCATGTTCATTCTAGTCTATTTTTAATTAATGGTAAGACATAAAAATGCATCGGTACTAAACTAATACACATTTTAAAATGTCAATTGTATAGTTGTTGGGATAAATGTTATAATACATTAATCAGAATGTCTACGGATTTAATAAATATCGATGGCAATATAAAAAGAGTGCAGAAAGAAACTTTGACACCATATAAAATAGCAACTGTTATTTTGATTAAAGAATACTGTAATGAAACAACGAAAAGTAATGTATAATTATTATAAACATCAGAATGTAAATTCATTACAAATATAATAATAATGTATTATTAATGTCGCTATTAATGTTAATATTTTGTTGCAGCAATTGTGGAGAGACGTGATTTTTGTTTAATTGCATTGAAATTGATTCAGGTAATCATTTTTATCAATAAAATGTTAAATAATATATCGAAAATATTAAAATATAGTATTTTATTATAGCATAATATTCGATACATTAGACAAAATTATATATTTCACTACTATAAAATATATTTTAATTTTTCAAGTATATTGAATAAAAGAAATTTCTTGATATTCTTTTAGTCTCCTGACATGGATCTCAATACACTTTTAAATATATTACATTCCCCCGAATATATTTTACATCGGTTTGCACGTCAGATGGAAGTGCAATTAAATATGTTGACAGGAAAAGGTGTTGAAGGATTATTAGATTTATTTGATAATGTTGGACGTCTTATGAAACCAACATTGGATCACTCTCTTTCTTTACCTGCTTTAAATAAAAATTCTGTGCTTGGATTATATATAAGAAGAGTTATCATCTTTTTTGAAAAATTGCCTTTCGATCAAGTTGTAGCTCTTTACGAAGCTTTGAAGAAATACTTGGATAAAAGAATTAATACTTTTGATGGTTCTGATATATCTACAGATTTAAAAACAGAAAATTTATATTCAAATGAGTATGTATTTGTTATATTTATGAACTGTAACTTGTTGTTTGTACGTAACTTGTTTGTATGGATATGTATTTTACAATTTCTTTATACTTCAATAGAATTAAAACAACATGGGGTGGAAGACAAGCTGAGTTACTTGTTGCACAGCAGGCACATACTATACAAACCGATGAACATAAAGCAATGCCTCCTGCAGAACTGCAAAGTCTTGTACGAGAACTTTTGAGTTGTAGTCCTTATTATGCTGAAGCTGTGAGTATCATATATCCCCTGTTTATATTTTAAAAGAAATTGCATATCTTATGTTTCTTGTATATCTATGTTTCAGCATTATTTAAGTTATTTAAACTGTTTAAGGGTCAATGAATATTGTGGAGCTATAGATAGTCTTTATCATTGCTTTGATAGATTAGCACCATTGGAAAATCGTTCTACGCCTGAAGATAAATCTCGTATTTTCAGATACGCAGCTTTAAATTTGGCAGTTTTACATGCTCAATTTAATCATAAGTGCGTTTTTATATAAATTTTCAAGTTAAGAATTTTGTATAGAATTCATGTTGTTATCTCATTTTCGTTTAAGAGAAGTAGCGCAAGCTGCTTTAAAAGAAGCTATTATGATGGCTCAAGAAGCTGGAGACAATGTCTGTTTGCAATTAGCACATGCTTGGATGTACCATTTGACTTCCAAACAAAAGTAAATTAACATATTTTTTGACATGTATTGATATATGTATTGACACATAAATTATATCATCATATTTTATAATTTAGGGGACCATTGATAGAAAGGTCAGTTGGTAAGGCAAGTATGTTGGGAATAACTCATACAACTGGATTAGGTCTCATCGCATATGCTCATAATTCTGCCTTAGAAGCTAAGAATCCATCCCAAGTATTTGAGGTATTTTTTCAATCTAGTTGCATTTAATGCGAACCAAACGTTTATTCAAGATTAAATTGTTTTCAATATATAATTGCAGACATTGATGAAATCTGATGTTTTAAATTGTCAGCATTCTATGATAGATTTAATGTCAATGACGTATGCGGAAAAATCTGCCTTATGGGCGTATTATGGTAAAACCGAGATGTCTTCAGTCTGTGCTCAGTTATTACTTTTACATAATACAGGTGATAAGAAGCAGCATATGTTTAATGGGCCATCTACTTGCCAAGCTGTCGTTAATATTGCAAATATCTTAGTAGAATTTGGAGAATATTTTTTAGTTGATATTGTGCTTGCTCATGCTAAAGAGAGATTCCCTAATGAACCATGTAATAAGGTACCATTTACAAATGAATGTTATATTTAACTGAATGAATCATACAATAAAGTCTTTTTAATTTTTTTTTTTTGTTTCATTTGTTTCATAGATCTGGATATTAAGTGAACAACTTTATGTGTTTACACAATTAATGAGACAAGAAAAGTGGGGCGAGGCTGAAGCAATAGCGTCAAATATTTCAAGCTTAGATCCTTTGGAAAGTAAATTTAGGTATAGTAATATTTTAAAATATGCCTAATATCTCTTTTATATTATACAACATTTGTAGTTTTACGAACGTTTAGATTAGCAGAAGTTTGTTTGGAGACAGGGGATTATCCAAGAGGATTAGAATATATTGATAACATTGAAAGAGATGAACAATTAACACCTCAAAATAAAATAAGAGCTATGATTTTATTAAGTCAAATAATGTGTGCTTCTGTTTCACCAGAGAGTGGAATTGTAGGAGTTAATTCGTTGGTGCTTTTAAATAGAGCACTAGAATTGGCAATAAAAAATTATTTATCTTATTATAAAGCATTAATAAAAATGCATCTTGCAAACATTCAGGTAATTAAATTAACTAATATATCATTCGCTTACTTAAAGATATTAAAAATATTGTTATATTTCTATAACATGCAGTAGTGTTATATTAATTTTCATTGATATTTTAGTTAATAATGGGTATGCCGACTTTAGCATTAAATTTAGTAGAAGAAGCAATTACGCAAATTTTAGCACATGGAGGATATTACGATCAAGGTAGAGCGTTTGTTTTATATGCAAAATGCTTAGTTGCTACTGCTCCAATGTGTGAAAAAACGCGAAAAGGAGTAATCTTAAAAGCCATTAAAGCACTCTCAAAGGCGAAAAATTATTTTACTAAAATTGAAGCATATGGAAGATTAAGACTTACTTTGTGTTTAGAATCTTTACTGTACCACGAGATCGATCTTAAAATTGAACGAAATCAATGTGCTTTCGAATTTCGTCAATTAGATCAACAGCTTCTTACAAAATCAGATAATTTATCTCTATATTGAAGAAATCAGGAAAAAATTAGGAATAAATGTGTAGAATTAAAGTACTTGTTTGTATTGAGGAACGAAGCATTCAAATATACAGTATTTTTCTAAATATCTTGCTGTTTTATTTATTATAAAAGGTTATATTATGGCATTCATGGGTTGAAATTAAAAATATTAGTAATATTATTCATATGACTATACGCTATAACTATGTTTTCCAAAATAAAATTCATGTAAAATGTTCTGTGTGTATATGAGTGTGAGAATAATTGTTCACTAGATTTTGTTATAAAGGGGAAATGAAGAGTCGAACAATGACAAGTATACAATAGAAACATTTATTCATAGAATCCGCTGCGAAGGTACAACGGAATTTTTGATATTCTAAAGTTTCTTACCTACTCCCTGTATGGGAGTGAGGTATAATCCATACAAGTTATCTTCATTTTTCGTTTATCATCCGATATTAAGTTCTTTTTTTTTTTTGAAGATTTAACTCGCATGAATCACATAGTAAGTGCACACAGGACACAGATAGGTGAATGGTGACATATGAAAGTCGCAGGAGTGAATTCTTATCAAAGAATTTCCCCAGAAATTTCCAGTGAGTCGTCAAAGATATTAGATGATGCTTTTGTCGAAGAAATTTTGGATGCGTATAAATGATAGATTACATCCGGTATAACACGTTGACAAACACGCACACACGTTCGAACTCTATCGACAATATTTTCTGTGAGCAATTTTTATCTTATTCAAATATCTTTTATTTCGTGAAAAGCATTTTCTTTTTTTTTTAACAGTATTCTTCTCTCTATAACACTAATAGCAAAATTTATTTTGCAAATACGGTGTTTCTTGTTTACGTTTCCTCTTTATCTTTAAAACAGATATGTTTTTCTTCTGAAAGTTTCTTTTTTTTTTTCAACGATTATATTTTTCAAATAAACCCGTAATTCTTTCAGATGCGGGTTTGCTCACTTCGAGTTTTCAAATTTTTAACGCTAAAGTGCACGTATTTTTTGTGCAACGAAGAGGGGAAGACATATGAAGGTACACAGCCGGGTTCACACATAATACTTTTTTTTTTTTTTTACAATACAAGAGTGACACAGTTTAGAAAAGATCTCTATATTGTCACAGTATGTTCTCTTTATTTGCTCCTTTTATGTACTGATTTACGCACGATTGATCGTTTTGCTTGGCTAATCATTTTTTGCAGCAATTTCATAAAGTTTGGTACTTGTAATACGACAAAAACATTATCTAGAAACATGATCCTGTTAATCACAACTGATTTGAAATTAAATTTATAATATACATATATATATACGACAACAAATTGGAGGATTTATTCTGATATTTAATAAAATTCACTTGAACGACAGTGCTCTACAGCTCTATAACTCTTCGAACGACAATGAAAATTCTCAATGATATACACATTTCTTTGAATCAACACTTTCTGTACCATAAAAATATGAAATGGAGAAAAATGTGTTTCAGCTTTATTCAGAGACTGTATATTAGAATACACGTGTTTCTTTATAATAAATGTTACAATGCGTCGTTATTACTCCTATTAAAAATAGCATTGTTGCCTTGGACATGTCTGTTCTGAAACGTATGTACGAGATACCAAAATATGATTGTTACAAGTGTTCAAAATACAGGTGATCTCACAATCAGTTTTTACCTACTTAAAACGTAAGCCTTAAATTATTATTGACAAGTACATTCGTAATTTAGATTATGGATTTCATGAAGCTTAACGGTTACTTTAATCTTAACGATACTAAAATAAATTCTGTAATAAAAATACGATCGTCATATTTTCTCAATCGTTCGAATAATTATAAACGGCGGTGAATCAAACGGTTTCAAGGAAGGCCCGTTTAAAAAGTAATCGCATCGCGTTTTGTGCTTTTCAAACGAAAAGTAACCTACGGCCGAGCAAATTAGACATATCGGAAGCTGTGCATTTCGTTTCGAGGTAGGTTTTCCATCATATTTCTTTTCTCTCTCGTTCAATGTTATATCTTGATTGAGCATCTAAAAAGGGACAGATTTTGTAAGCGGGCAAGAATCAAGCAACGAGAAGCATCTTCTCCTCTTGAATCGATCGTTCTGCTAAGATTTCCCCGACTTCGACGCGATTCTGTCCGTTTTGTCGAGCATAGGACGGCAGGGTGCTCGTAGAGAAGTGATTTACACACCATCGAGAAACAGAGGATATTGATAGAACAATCAAATCTCCATGACCGTCTGCACCGAGTTGATATCAAGTGCACAGCTGCCGGTCGTGTCGGGAGAATCCTGGAGGTATTCTTCGGATGGCGTCATCCCGGCGGTTCTCAGGTCGTCCCTCACTTTTTCCACCTAAAACAAATAAACTTTCTTAAAAAATAAAAATGCAAGGTAAAAAATATTTTTATTTGTGTAAATTTCTACCTTCTCCTCAGGGAATTGTATAATAAATTTTTCATTCGGAAGAAAAGTATTGTTCGTTTTCATTTCAACTACTTGCCCGATGCTCTTACATTTCTAAGTACTTTTCTTTCTTTTTCTAAATAATCGTTTAACAATCGACGAAGCGAAAGTCAATTGGGATTCTAGGGTCCATCTCGCTTTCCTTCGGTTCGTATAAAGAAAAATTGGGATGCTTGCGGTGCAGAAAGATTCGAATTTAGATTTTGAACGCGTTCCAACCTTTTGAAGGACTCTCAGCAGGTTCAGACCGGCAACTTTCTTCAAATCGTACACGTTCCATTTCCCACTTCGGAGAAGTTCGGCGAACAGTTCCGGATACTTCGAGACATCCTCGAGTCCTCTGGGCGTTCTGTCAACAGAATCGGTTCGTTGTGTTATCCACGAGTTTGATTAAAATGGAAATATAGCTAGCCTCGACATTGATTTTTGTTGATCTCCAACGATACGAAAAGTCAGAAATTCGTATGATTATTTCCTTCTCTTGGTAAAGTTTATTAATTTAAAGTTAGAAACTTCGATTATCACATAAAAATATGTTTAAATAAACAAATGAAACGAACATTTGTTTAAACAATGTCCATCCGTTTGTTCCATCAGCTTATATGCAGAAATACATTACGTTAATCATCAAGATTTACATCCAACCATACATTAAATTACAGTCTATCTTTCCAACTATGAATCCAAATGAGTTAGACAACGCGTAATTCTTTTACCTCGAACTGCCTCTTGCTGTATTTTTTTTTTTCTTTTTTTCTTCCCGATGATCGATGAACCGCTATAACAAGCCGCGAAGTCTCCGTCGCGTAATAGAATATCGGACAAGAAAAAAAGGGAAAGTTTATGGTCTTGTAGTTAGATTTACAGTGTGTCGTTAATTCACCGTTCATCGGTTTACAATAACTTGTATAGACACGATGAATTAACCGAACCGGTAAATGTTCGCAGGAAGGTTTACGTCGCCGCACCTTCGTGATTATAAATCTTTTCGACCAACGCTGCCGCATTGAGAAGGTTAATTAGAGTCTTCTTGTACTCTCTTGATTAAATTTACAGACCAAATTGGATCGGGATACACGATGCTCGCTATCCGGATATTATACCGAAACTTTGTTACTTATTCATATAAATGGTTTATACCAGAAAATAAGCTATGTCTACGTTCATCTTTGCGGGGAGGGGAGAAAAATATTTTAGCGTCTTTGCATTTTTTTTATGAGTAAGTATAGAAAGCTTTAGAAATTATTGTATTTTTTGGAGCGAGTCTTTGCTCGGTGATGTGAAAAGCTTTCATCACATTATTCTGTTATTATATTGTCCAATTTTATATTAATGATTTCATTGTTATTTTATATTAATTTTTATATTTATAAAAATTTATATTTATTAGATTTATATTAATTTCATGTCGATTATTTTATTATATGAATGCCAATATTAAATAATTATTTGTATTTATATTTATTGCTCGAGACGTTTATGTTGATTATCCTACGGTATACTACTATTAGTAGACTAATAATATCCAACAAATTTCAAACAATAATTATTATAGGTATATTATATTATTATAGGTAGAATAGGCTTGTTTCGAAAGTAGACTAATAATATACAAAATTTTATAGTATACTATAGTATACTATAAATTACACTATACTTTTATAGTTATAAATTATAATATTTAAATTACTAGACTAATAATAGTAGTCTAATTATAAGATCCAAATTAATAGACTAATAATACTCAAAATGTTTCAAACAATAATTATTATAGATATCGGTTCCTTTGGAAAGTTTCTCAAAGTATTCATTCATATATAACTGTATATTTATACAGGATGGATTTATGCAATAGAATATTTCAAAGAAAAAAGGAAAAAATATACGTACTTGTTAATACCATCGAAGTCGCCACCGACACCAATATGGTCCACGCCAATTAGGTTTCTAATGTAGTAAATATGCTCGGCGACGTCGGATACGGTTGCCTGAGAGCCGCATTTCACGAAGTAATTATAAAACGTCACCATCACCAGTCCACCGTTAGCAGCCTAGAGATAGAATTTTCATTCACCGCGTTAAAAATTATTGCCAACAACTGTCAATCTAGTTATCCATTTTAATTTGTTGCATTGTCGAAAGACTCTCTGGGAAACTCTTTGGGAAACACCGAACGAGATTTGAAGGTTCGGGAATTTTTTGAAAATTCGCGAAAGCTCGAGAAACGAAGCGAGAATTCCCGTAATTAGAAACTTTCGTTTCGATCGATGAAAAATTGGATTACTTTGCTCGAAGTCTCAGATCTTAATTGCGCCCTGTGTTAACCGCAGTTCCTGACCGCAACTACTGCGGCGCGTTCCTCGACAAAATCTACTGCAATGTTCTCGCCTAACCGCATTTCGTCTGGATCGTACATTTCTCCCTTTCCGTAGCTGTTTCCGATGTTCGTTAATATTTCATCGAAGAACTTCTCCCTTAATTGTTTGTCTAGAGTTGATCCTTGGGATTCTCCCTTAATTGTTTATCTAGAGTTGATCCTTGGGATTCTCCCTTAATTGTTTGTCTAGATTTTACGAATCCTGTTCAGTTGATTTTTCTCTTTCTTGCTGATTGGATTGTATAAACAGCGTGGCAAACGTGAATTTTATGATACTCCTATTTATTTTATATCACACGTACATTATCTCTTCTTTTATTGTTTTGTGATAAAATGTATCTACGTGTTACATCTTTCAAGGATTTCTACATTACTTTCTTTCATAGCTAATAAAACCAAAAAAGAAGCATGACAAAGTACTAAAAGTAGGTAGGCTTCTAAGAATTTTAATTTCATTTTACTGCACTCTGAATATAGTTTTTGTAAAATAAAATATTCTATTCTATCTCTATATCTGTGAAACTTACGAACAAATTACTTTTCTATTATTTTAAAAGAATACATTGTTTTTCTCGATATCAGACATCGTGTACTTTGTTTCTTGTCGCGCTAACGTGTAATACATGAAAATTCTTAGATGGTATTATGAGATGCAGTGTAGAATTCTAATTAGAGAAGGAAAAAAATCCCCCAAATCTCGAGAGGAAGAGAATTGCGGCTTTATACGAAGCCAACAGGAAAACATAGATAAATCCGTTAATTTCTCGCACGGTTAATTAGTCCTTTAACGAAGGAATGCGAGGATGTTCCATCCCTATAATGGAACAGAAAACCCAACAATAGAAACGAATAGTCAGTGGTAAATGTTTTGTGTCACTGAAAGCCCAGATAGATAATCATCTATCTTCTGTGGAGGAAGAAGAACGAGCTACTCGTTCAAAAAAAAAACGTGCGAAAATCGTCACTTTTCCTTTTCTGTTTCTGTCTCGAACATGAATTTTATCTTTATTTTAAAAATATTTCACAGAATATTTTTCTGTGTGCTCGTGTTCTAATGAAATTTCTAAACTTCCCACCCGTTTTTCTTTAATTTAACCACTTGCGCTGGCTACTGATTGCGGACCATAACGAGTGACCAAGCCGTATACAATAATTCGTCACTTTCTTTTTTGAATTCGTCGGTATGATATCATACTGAATAGAAATTATTTAGAAGTAATAAATTTATTATTTATTTTGCCTGGGTTATACTTAAAACTGAGGAAACATTACAACTTTGGGACAAACAATTCTCGACGTGCAAAAATTCTCGATTAATATCAAAACTCACGCAATCTCCCTTTAACTTTCGTTCGAATAATTTCACTGTAAATCGATTAATCTTTTTTTTTATCGATCGTTTAAAAGTTCTTACAATTAATTTGAACGAAATTGAAACGACATGGATGAATGACGACGTAATGCGGTATCTACTTACCAGCTGCTTCAAAATGTCGTCGGGAACGTTCCTCGAGGAATTACAAATGGCGAAGGCCGACGAATGAGAAAAAATGACGGGCGCTTTGCTGGCCCTTAAAGCGTCCCTCATGGTTGCCCTCGCTGTATGACTAAGGTCTATCAACATTCCCAGCCTATTCATTTCCTGAACTACTGCTTTTCCGAATGCCGTTAGACCGCCTCCTAAAGCAAACGAGAACTTCACTCTTTCCCTCTCTTTACTCACTTGCTGAAACATTTATTTCCCTGACAGAGAGATGCTTGGAATATTTACCAATGTGCGGAAACATATAAAATTAAAATTAAATTCCATCTCTCAACATACAGTTGTGATATTCTAACAATAACAAATTTCTATCAGATACCCGGTTTTCATGTTTCTTTTCTTTTCTTTTTTTTTTTAAATTATTCTCATGAAAACACGAATCACACATATAATTTATTATTTGTATCACTCACCATCCTCATCCTCGTCCTCTACCGACGAACTTTTCGCCCACGGTGTGTTACAAGTGTGCGTGAGCGTGAGATACCGTACGCCCAACTGATACAGTGTTCTTAAAACGGCTAAACTACTTCCTAGACTATGTCCACCCTCCACCCCGATTAGCGAAGCTATCCTCCCTCTCTCGTGAGCATCCAGGATCTCTGAAAAATTAAGTCGACTGACGTAGAGCTTGAAATTCAAATAAATTTAAATATGTACAATTCAAATAAATTTAAATTTAAATATTCAATAATAATTCAAAAATAATCAAAATCAAATAAATTTAAATATACATATAGCTGATGCGTGTACCTACAGCAAATTGGCAAACAAATATCTCTTATATCTATGCCTATCATCTCTTCTAAAAGAAACAAAAAAAAAAAAAAAAAAAAAAAAAAAAGAAAACAAGGAACTAACAAAGAAGTAGAATATTAAATACAATGCGGAGTGGAATTGTAAAATAAATTTTTCTCAAAAATTTCGAATTTATTTCTTTATTTCTTTTCTTTAATTTATTTCTTTATTTCTTTTCTTTTCTTCGTTTCTCACGCTTTTCTCGCGAAATGTGGGACAGTCAGTGCACGGTAGAATTGAGAATTGGGCTTGTTTCGGATAATCGCGAAAGATATACCCACCCGTTGAAGACGCAGCGAACTGCATGTGTTGCGAGTACTTCTCTATGAGCCTCTTAATGAGGTCCACCTGCTCCAGAGTCAGCTGGACCGCGTTGAGATGCTGCGACTCGCACGGCACGTAAGCAGCCCAAAACTGTGAATAAAGTACAAGTCGGATTATTCTTTGGTTAATTAGGAGCAGGAAGAAAGAGAGAAAGAGAGAGATCGTTGCAAAGATCGTAAGCTACGCGAAAAATTAATGAAACTTTTCTCTTTTCTTGAGAGAGAAGATTTCTTTTGCCAAAATACGTCTTGGATACGAAATCTTTCGTGAAAATTTCTGATTTTAAGACAGAAAGGTTACAGAACCTGAACCTGTATTATTTTCTTGCTTTTACATATTGATATTTTTTAAAAATATTTTAAGATGCTTTTAATAAATATTTCAAAGTTTCAATATTCCAATATAATATTTTACCTAAACCTGGACCTATGTTATTTTCTTGTTTTTACACGTGATATTTTTTAAAAATATTTTAAGATGCTTTTAATATTTCAAAGTTTCAATATTCCAATGTAATATTTTGTTTGAATATTTTAGTATGATATTTTAATTTGATATTTCTTTAAATTTTCAGTACCATATCTATTTCTTGATTTTCTTTTATTTCATTTATTCAGTCAGAGACTGCTTTTATATCGATTTATTAATTATTAATTCGACGATTAATTGTGTTACAGAATCGTGTTAATTTTGATAATTTTTTGGAAATTATCATCCATACTCCATGGGTTTCCCCTTTTACCATGCAATCAATTACACTGCTCGGCCGAGAAAGTTCGGTGAACGGAGTTTGCAACACGTTCAACTAAACCATCTGATGATCGATGGGGAACTACGCACGAATTTTGGTTCATTATTGCTGTTTAATAAGATCGTTGTCCATTATTGCACTCGAATTTATTATGCATTTACTTTATCCCGCGGAACCGTGACAAATTTTATGAGGGTGGTTCTACTCTCATGATTTATCCTACCGCAAATATGGTATCACGCAGTGTCTATAAATAATCGTCCGCATGAAATTCGCTGCACCTTGCTGTTAATCGAGCCGCAAAGATTGCAACGATATAGTTGTACTAACCATATATTAGGTTTAATTTAATAAAAAAAAAAAATACGAGCGTGTCAATTCCTCTTTCTCTCTCATTGTACCAATCCTTTGAATTTAATTCAATTTAGAAACTCAATTTACAATTTACAATTTCTTTTTTTTAGAAAACGCAACATAACCAAAATTTGTTTTATGAAATTGCGAATTGTAGAATCTCTCTCTCTCTCTCTCAAGCTTGATATTTTCATTGTAATAAATTTTTATGAATGACTGAGAGCTTTCTATTATAAATAAATATATATACACAATATTGTAAATAAAAATTTTGTCGCACTTGTTAAACGATGGAAAAGATCGAGTCGAAATTTTTCAAACGCGCGTTCGAAATTGAAAGGAGAAAAGATAAACTTGTTATCTCAAAACAAACTTTGATTTAATTTAATTATAATTACACCTTATAAATTTATTGTTAATTATGATTTATAAATTTATGATTAATAGCTTTATCGAAAAGTCTCAAAAACTCGGTTTCCCTTTCATTTTGAGAATCTGTTGTAATTGAAGCTTGCTTCGCCCGGATAAGTAGGAAATTATCTCCTGCAACAACAGAGGATTGAACTTGCAGAAAATTGGAGACGAGAGCTTGTCGCACAAAGGAGAAAAAGAAAGGGAGAACGTTGCGAAGCTAAAGAGAGGAATGTGAAAAAAAAGAAAACTATTCTTGCGTCGCGGTTACACAATACGGTAGATGTACCTGCTGGAATACAGAAAATTTTTTCGTTCTGCGTTTCCTTTTACGCAGTGCTTGCCTGGCTGCTCAGATTGGTTTCCCTTATAATTCTTTGTGGCAAAGTTCTGTTTCCTTTGGCGAAAAAACAAGCACAGCCGGAAATAATTCAATTTTCGTAATGGTATATCGTTCTTTCATTACGTTGGAAGATACTGATATCTCTTTGATGTTGAAAGACACTGAATATCTCTTTGCGACTTTTTGGAAATTCACTTCGACTCTAAACGTACCTATTTCTTTTTTTTTTTTTATACATATTTCGGATTTCTTAGGAGATATCGAACAGCTCGATATAATTCTTACTGCATTCTTTGCTTCTTTTCATCTTCTTTTGTCATTTTCTCTTTTTGATATTTTTTCTTAAATTGCACAATTATTTTTTGACTCTTTTCTTGTTATAATCAGAGGCCAATAGTGTCTCTAAATATATAATCGATTGTTAGACGCAATTTTAAAATATTTTAGCTTAAATAACGATAAGATTGTTAAGGATTTTTATGTAATTTTTCGTATTTTTTTGAATTAAACTAATTACAAAAGTAGAATCTGAGCAGAAATTTCGACTATCAAACATCATAATGGATATATATATTTTATTTTCGATATTTTATATATCTTTGCATATTGTGTGCACTCTTTGCATTTTCATAAAGTATTATACATAAATGCATAAAAATCCACAAATATCCTACTTTATCCAAAAATTAGAAGGGCGTACTTGCAATCAAATTATTAATGGCAATTGGCACAAAAAAATAGTTCATCTGCACGTATATTTTTTTAAATGAAACTGTAACTGTATTGAAACTGAAGATATAACATGTATTATAAATGAAGTCGATGCTTGATCTTCAAATACTGAAAGTTTTTCTTTTAGAAAGTCGCTTGTCCAGCCACCATTTCACCAGACACGTCTATTTGAATTAACTCTCGAACCACCGACCGAAAAATTATCGATCTAAGTCACTTTTGACCCATACTGATCCATATAACACGTAGACATTAAAATTAATATAGAGTAGTCACTGAAAGACTGAAACGATATGAAACAAAGTAATTTTCACAAACACATGTTTTTTAAATTTTTTATTATTTTATTTGGAAATATAATTAATGGATTTTTTCTCAGTATTATATGTGAAAAACAACATCCCTCAAATGACCATTTTCCTGCTTACAAATACGGGCTTTTTCAACCCCTTGCGCTGGCAACTGGTTCGCGGACCATAACGAGTGACCGAACCGTATACAATAATTCGTCGCTTTCTTTTTCTTTTGAACACGTCGGTATATCACTGGATAGAAATTATTAAGAAGTACTAAATTTATTATTTGCCTCGCCCGGATATTTATACTTAAATATACTTAAAACTGAGAAAATATTGCAATTTTGGGGACAAAAAATTCTCGACGTGCGTGGCACGTCATTCCAGCGCAAGAAACCCTTCAGTTTTTCAGTGTCCACCAGAAGATTATACTGTATACAAGGAAAGACAAAACTCGAAAACATTCTACGTATCGGTATATTCGTGATTGTGCTTTGTGGTGATATCTCGTATGGGAGAGACATAAGAAAGACAGGAGTATGTGTGTGTGATTGATCGTGTGAAATAAAAGAAGTCAGAAGTTTGAAGAAGACTGTGGAACATGTTTGGATGCAGTTATAGCGTGCCAGATACCTAAGAGGAAACAATATTTTATTAACATTAACATAATAAACATATGTTTATATTGAAAATAAGAAATAAAGCCCCAACTTTACACTACGAATTTACGGTTTTGCTTCTAATTAATGACAGAAGAGAGTATCTTGCTCGGCCTAGTTGGAGAGCAAGCATAAACCAGAGTTTCAGTTGATTGCTAGCTCCTAAAACGCGAGCTGAATGCGGACTGGAAAAAAAATCGTGAAGCTTCATTCTCCGAGCCTCTCAACACCACCGAGAGGACACACGCGTTACGTTGGATTTCGTTGACGATTCGCGCGATCGTCCTCACTCTTGGCGAACGCACGCGATAATGGCGTATCCGGCGCGAAACGAAGACAGGAAAAAGAGCCGAGAAACATCTGGGAAGAAAGAAGCCAGCCAGCCAGGCTAGGTGGCTGCTACGTAAAAAGAAGCAGCCAGAAAACCTTGCCGAGGAGAACCGGTAACGAGCTTGCGGTCGAAAACTGCCGGCGAAAGAGAGAGAGAGAGCCGCGATATCGAGCTCTCTCTCTCTCTCTCTCTCTTTCTCTCTTTCGTGTTCTCTGGAACGTTCTCGCGGAACGTAATATCGGGTCGTTTTCTGTTTCGCCAGCCAGCGCGCACCGCGTCGCGAACGTGTGTTTCATTACGTGTGTGCCACGCGTTGCCACGGCCACCCTCGTAAAGAAACGTTGGAGCGTTTTCTGTGTCATCTCGCGGCCGCGTTGTCTTTCTTAATATCCCCGTTCCCGGCGAGATATTCGCCTCGCTGCGCTGGATGCCGGATTTGAAACGACTCTCACCCGAGCTCGAACCCGGCGAATATTGCGTCGCCCACGACTTTCCGATTTCTACCATCCCCTTCTGTCGCACGCGAAATTGCCAACGTTGTTGTATGCGGACTCGTCTGTTCCTAAGCGTAGTGTGGACTCGTGTGGGTCCGTATAAGCGTAGACTTTAAGTTCACAGAGATTTTGAAATATACGTCTGAGCTTCTCGAATTTCTCAGCGATACTGCTCAACAGCATGCATAATGTCCAAGTACTAAGCACGCAGTCACACGTTCGTTTACATCAGGTCACACGATTCTTAGAAACCGTGTTTCCAATAACTTCACCGGAAGAAGAAATTGAACTGTGTATTTGTGTATATATTTTGTACAGCATCGTAGAGTAATTTGAGAAATTTTCGAGAATCTCGACTTTTTCGGGAAACCCGAGTCTTTCGGGAATCTTGAAATTTTCGGGAATCCGACCCGACCCGATTCGACCTCTTCCCGACTCCGTCCCGACCATCGGGTTCTTGATATTTTTGGGTTCTTGTACACCCATAAAATTACAGTATTTATTGTTTGCCTAAGATTAACGGGGGCTATAAAACAATAAAACTGTAAAATTGAAAAATTTTAACTAAATAAAACATAAAAACTGTAAAACTATTGATTACTGAAATAGAAATAGTGTTTTTGGAAGTACTGACAAAGACTACCACCACTTGTGCATCGCTGACTTTATCTTTATCTGACGGTCGAGCAACGAAAAAGGTCATTCTAAGTTGAACCTTCATCGTGTGTACATCGGTTAAACATTCGAAGTGAACTTTTAAATAATATTTCTGAATATTCTAATTGTTTAAACATTATCTAACATTTCCA